TTATAGTTCAGTTGACATTTATCAGATTATCTTCCTATATAGAACTGTTGAAAAACTGTTTACTATTTGATTATATCCTCTATCCCTTTTTCTGCTGTGTAATTGTTAAATTTTTCTTATTCATTTGTTAAGGAGTGCTTCATACAGCACAGGAAAATTATATTATTACTATGTACTTTTCTCCTTTTTATTACTTTTCTTGTTTGTCTTTTGTCCTCAATGATTTTTCCATACAGAAATTTAATTTATATGTATTTGAATTTATCTATCTTTATTATGGCATCCACATTTTGAGTCAGTTCAAAATTTTTTCATTAGTTATAAAATAATTCAGTATTGTTTTTTATTTCTACTAAATGTTATTTTATTTCCCAGTATTATTTGTTCAGGAGAATTTTTGAGGAACTAACATGTTTCTGTAGTTCCCCAGTACCAGAAAAAATATCTTGAAATTCATGAAATATTGGAGGATAAGATAAACAGAATTCTGGGGAAATGAACTTATTTAGACAGGATAGTCCTAGATCTTTTTGGAATAACTGACATTAAATATATGAGTAAAACCTAGCAATCAAAGGAAGATCAAACAAAATAGTGGACCTTGATGTAAACATAATTAAAAGAACAGAAAATAACTCCCAGAACAGCCTATTGCATTAAAGAAGCAAACATAAAACAAAAAAAAAATATGCCTTTATAAATTAAAAATAAATTTCCTAGAATTAAATTTTAGAAGTGGAAATTTCCCAGCACAGAGAAAAATTATACATGGATATTTCCCAAACCTTAAAAAAAATCAGTCTTCAGTTTGAACAGGCCCATTAATTGCTGAATTAATTATGAATTAAAATAAAAGCCCCCACTTTTTCTCATGAAAGTTCTGAATAGAACATAAAATCTAAAAGCTGCTGAAGAGAAAACAAAGTACCAACAGTAACAAAAACAACCACATGATCTCTAATGGGTAAGCATGGAACTGCCCTTGAAGTCCTGATTGATTGAAGATGACAATACAACAGTTATCACCAAAACTGAAAAATTATACTGAACATATGGATGGAATGAAACTATTATTTTTAATTGAAATAATTTCATAGAAAACCCAATCAAATAAAAAATTGTTAGAACACTATACTGCCAAATAACCAGTTAAAAAGATAGCATAAAACAAGGTATGTTCCCAAAAGGAGATTGTCAGTTTTTCTAAGAACCATCAGAGAGTACATAAATTTTCAATGGAAACAAATTTAAAGCTTTTACTAGGTTATAAAATGTCTTAAATAGTAGGTGATGTTCAACCTCTTGAATTAACAGTGGGACATTCAGAGAATAACCTCAAAATTTCAACTAGATATTTTGAAACTTCCAAGATCTGCACTGGCTTAATTAATTATAGACAAATGGACCCAGAATGAGATTTTCAGAATACTTCTCTCTCTCTCATATATATATAATTAATGTCTTCAGTAATAAAACATATAAATAAAGAATGGAGATAAAATACATTAGAATCATTGCCAGTGGAGATAAAAGGGAATATTAGGGGAAAGAGGATTAACCATTGTGTGACTACATCACAATTAATTCATCTGCTCTTGGACACTGGGTTGTTGTTACTTTAAGGGCTATTATGAATAAAGCTGGTATTAATGTTCTTGTATACAACTTTGTGTCATTGTTTTTGAATAGTATCATTTTACATTACCATGAGCAATACATGAGAGTCCCAGTTTTTCCTCATCTTTGCTAAAACACAGTATTATCAATTCTTTTAGCCACTTTGTATCATGTGAATGTTTACTTTGGGCTTAATGCCTTTTTCTCTTTTTAATGTGAAAATTTAGAAAAAAATTTTAAATATAAGCATATAATGCTTTAATTTCCCTTTTGTGCTCTTTATCACCCCTAAAACTATGAAATGTTTTCCAGTTCAAAATATTTATGATTTCTTCACAATTTTTTCTTTAATCCTGAATTGAGAATTGTGTTTAATTTCCAAATATTTGGGGATTTTTCCAAACATCTATTGTTGATTTCTAATTTAATTGTTTTGTAATTTAAAAAATCCTCTATGATTTCATTTCTTTTAGATTTGTTGAGATTAGTTTTATATAGCATATAGTCTATTTAGGTGAATGTCCCATGAAGAATATAGTCTGCTGTTTTGGTATAGTTTTCTGTGTTAATTAGGTTCACTTAGTTGGTAGTAATGACCATGACTTTATTATATCCTTATTGATCTGGTACATCTATTCAGAACTCCTAAGAATGGACTTTTTTTTCCTTTTAGTTAAAGGAAGCTCATTTAGTTACCTGCAACCTGAACAGATGCTGTCTCATTCTTTTTTTTTTTTTTTTTTTGGTGCTGGGTATCAAACTCAGGGCTTTGTGTATGCAAGGCAAGCACTCTACCAACTGAGCTGTATCCCAGCCCTTTCTTCCTGTCTTATGTCACTTTTCAATTTTTTTCTTTTGGAATAGGAGTATCTATTCTCTGAATGTCCCACTGTTAAATTTTGGAAGCACATAACTTGCTGGTTTCACAGGTTCACAGCTGGAGAGGAATTTGGATCAGGATGAACTGTAACTTGAATCTCACCCATTTTTTATTTTGATAATATTTAGATGAGACTTTTTCAGTTGATGCTAAATGAGTTAAGATTTGGAGGACTAGGCTGGACGTAGTGATGCACACCTATATTCCCAGAGGTCAGGAGACTGAGGCAGCAGGATTGTGAGTTCAAAGCCAGCCTCAGCAACTTAGTGAGGTCCTAGGAAACTCAGCAAGACCCTGTCTCTAAATAAAATGCAAGAAAGGCCTAGGCACATGGGCTAGTGGTTAAGCGCCCGTTGGTTCAATCTCTAGTACCAAAAGGAAAAAAATATATATATCCAGAGGACTATTGGGATGGAATTATTTTTCAAATGAAAGGAAAATGAATTGGGAGAGGGGGCAGGTGGAGAGCTCTTTACTGAATGTGTTTCCCCCAAATTCACATTTGGAAACCTAATCCTCAATAGGGTGATAGTATTTGAAGGTGGAACCTTTGGGAGGTCCTTAAATCATGAGAGTGACCCCTCAGGAATGAGATTAATACACTTCTAAAATGGGCTGCACTTTGCCCCCACTTCTTCCATGTGACATGCCAGAGAGAATATAGCCATCTGGAAATGAAAAAGTAGACCTTCACCAGACAAAGGATTTGCCAAGACTGTGATCTAGGAATTTCCAGCTCTGTGAGAATAAAATTTATAATCCATCTACTTATAAATGTGTTTTTAAGGAAACACTTTTAAGCGTGAAGTGAAAACACAGAGAAGGCAGCTAGAGTAAAAAAGGCATTATCTTGAAATGATGGCAACAGTTAAGACCTGCCAAAGAAAAGAAAAAAGGCCAACACAGCATTTTATGACCGTGAAAATATCATTAAAAAGTGATAATGTATGTTTCTGGAAAATAAAAACAAAAAATTTGCTGATAGCAAATACACAATAGCAAAAGTGAAAAGGAAGTAGAGAATTGAAGGAAGTAGCTAAAAGCAGTGAAAAAGGATAAATACATAAAACATGTTGATGGTAAAAACAATAATGGTAATATATTATGGGGTTGTAAAGATGTGTACAATTAAAATGCCTAATGATGATAACACAAAAGTAAACAGGAGAGCAAATGAATTTCTAATGTCCCAATGTTTTCAGGGAAATGGTAAAAGGAATAATTTATATTCTACTGTAAAACTAAGAGGTTAAGAATACATATTGTCATATCTAGGCAAAACACTAAAAGAAAAGTGAATAGTGAATTCATAAATATAGGTTAATAGAGGAGGGAAATATATTTGCTTAATCCTAAAGAAAGCAAGATGTAAGAATCAATGAAATATAAAACATATAAACAATATAGAAAGTCAATGAGCCCCATTGTAGACCCTTTGGAAAAGTAAATAAACTTGATAAAACCCTACTGAAATTCCTGAAAAACCATCCATGTTTGACACTTAATAATACATTAATGCAATTTACCACATTAATAGGTTAAGAGAGAAAAGCCATGTAGTCATTTTGGATTGTTCAGAAAAAGCACGATTAAATTCAATATTAATATATATATTTAGAGCTGGGGCTATAGCTCAGTGGCAGAGCGCTTGCCTAGCATGTGTAAGGAACTGGGTTTGATCCTCAGCACCACAATAAAAATAAATGAATAAAATAAAGGTATTGTGTGTGTTCATATACAACTACAAAAATATTAAGAATATATATTTTTATATATATTTTGAAAGTTCTTTTGGCCAGCCAGGAATATATTCTCATAAAGAACATTATCAAAGTTCTGTAGTCCACATCACTATTAATTTTGATAAATGAATATTCCTGTTATAATCAGAAGTAAAATATCTTCTTTGATCATTACTATTCATTAATGAACTGGCTAGCCCATCTGGTACGATTGGAATCCCCCAAATAATAAAAGTATTAGGATTGAATGAAAGAAATTAAGCTGTTATATATAATATGTTTTGATAACAGGAGACTAAAAGAAGTTATAAATATATTATTAGAATAAAGCGTAACACAGCTGTGGAATGTTTAATATAAAAATCCATTGTATTTTGAAAACCATTTTGTAGTTGAAACAGTAAATACTGAAATTAGGAAAAAAAACATTTTTAAGGCTTTTACAGAAGACAATTACAGAGTTTGAAAGAAAATAAATAGGACCTAAATGAGTGAAGATAAATGCAAATTGTGGATTCTTTTCTCTTTATGGAGATAAGATGGGAGAAAGGCCCATTTTCATGGACATTGCTTTTCATTTTGACAAGTAGAAAAAGGGTTGGTCACACCTTATCACTTATTCTATGTCATTTTAAAGCTTTCTCCCAGGTGACTTAAGCACAACTTTCTTTTGTTAGTTATTCAGATATTGTATTACAATTGTTAACTATCTAGCATGTAGTTTTGAAGCAAAATCTTCTCAATTATTTATTTCCTTATAGACTTTGCCTTCAAAAGAAACATTTTTAAACACTACACAAATGTCTTGCCTACAATCAACTTCAGCTTGGAGTAACTGTGAACATAATTCAAAATCTCAGATATTAAGAGAGCATGTTTCAGAGTTAGATTCTTCTTTCCATTCTGTTCTATCATTACCATCAGGTAAGCCTCCTCATAAACATTTTGTAAGTATCTCTGAATATTTCCTATGATAAAATCTAATCTAATAAATATGGGGAAAGATAAAATTTTATCCATTATTTGGTCATTAGAACTAAACAATTCTCATATAGGAATTTAATCTAGTCATGTGGAGTTAATGTTCTGTGAAAATTGATAAATTCCATATAAACCAATTTACTTTGGGTCAATAACTAGCTTTTAATCTTCTTTGGTAATTTTTGAGCATTTTATTGGTAATATGGCTGTTGTTAAAATGTTTCTCAGTACTAATCTAGTATTTTTCTAATTTGCTATTTTAATGGAGTTTTCCCTATCATAACTTAATATTCATTACATAATATCATAACATAATATTCCTCCATTTATAACTTATGTAATATCATAACATAATATTCCTCCATTTATAACTTACATTAGATTTCTTCAAGTCGCATGAAATCTGTCCATCCACAGGTCTACTTTTGAACCTTGGGTAGATCTATAATCTATGATTGAATAAATAAGGCACACATATCTCTGTATCCTTAAGGTGGTTTTAGAATTTCATTTCTTAAAATTTTTCTGGAACCTCCCTGGTTTTGTCTATATTGGATCCAAAGTAAATATTTCATGCCAAAAGGAAACATTTCTTACATTTGTTATCTCAGGTTCTTCTCTTTATTGGGGAATTTATCAACTGGGCTTGGTTTCCTTTTAAATTTGTGGAAATAACCATCTTTTAAGTTTTCAAAATCTGCTTAAAATCTGAAAACATTAATTTTTATAATTTGCTCTTTATACACATTCCCCTGCCCTTATCCATATTAAAGTGGCATCTTAGCTATGCCATTCTTTAAAATAAGTTCCCAACAGGAATTATTTTAGTCCATCTTTAAGAAAACCTTCATGGTAGGAAGAAATAATATAACAATAACAATGCAGCTAACATCTGGTTTTAGCATACACTGGGCCCTGTGTATATTACGCATAATACATTTTGTTGCTTTATTCTCACAACCCTGTGAGAATAGATACTACCATCCTTTTCATCTTACAGGTGAGAAAATTAAGCTTAAATATGTATCATTATGCAGCTAGCAAATGATGGAACTAGTTCATCTGAGATAGTCATTCTCCAGAACCATGCTCCTAATCACTGTTCTTTACTCTTTTATTAGCAAGTTCACTTCTCTGTTGAAATAACCTTGAAAGCTAGTATAAGATATCCTTCGGGTCTATAAAAAATATAAGATTGGTTTCCTTAACAATTAACTAGGTAGGGTTATTCATTCCTCCCTGCACTCATGAGTATATATACAAATAGATCCATCAGGGAACTTTTATTCTAGTTAAAGACAACTGAAATGTAAAGTAGTAAGTAAAATATTGTGTTACAAAATATTTGGGTAAAAGGCCAGAGGTCACAAGGCAAGTACTAAGAAAGGTACATAGGTAGAATCTAGGGATCTTCTCAGGTTAAATCATGTTTTCCCACAATTCAGTGGTAGAATAGGTGATATTCTCTTTCTAGATAGTTATGTTTAGGCAACTGGAAAGTACCAGAACCCTGAAATATATAAGGAGCATTTTAAGTGAAAACATTTATATTCTCATTTTTGTCATCTGTCATTTGGGACAAACTCCATGACATTTGTGAACAATTGTTTTGTTGTTTTTGCATCTTTTTATATTTGAGGAAGAGATACACCTTCTCTTCGTTTAAAATCCAGAAACTTCCTGGGTCTATCATAATTTATAACAAGTTTTCTTAAAAATGAAAGTTTTTCTTCTTTCAGTAGCAAAACTTTCATCAACTGCTTTATGAACTATTTTTTATTTGCGTCTCAGGAAAAAGTTTACAGTCTCTCTAAATAATAGAAACATGAATAGCTTTGAAAGATGGTTTTTACATTCTTTTACAATTTCATTTTAAAAATTAAACTTTAATACACATAAAGCATATCTTTTTTATTACTTGGCTCCTCTTTGTGAAAGTATAAAATGAATTTCTCTTGAGTCCCTGAAGGAAGACAGTTTATCAGTAGGTTTTAATCTTTGTAAACGTAGATTCATTTAATACTAGTAGACTAAGGGAATGTGAAGTTTGATGTTTTCATAAAAAGTTACATCTGAATTATAGCAATGTTCTCCAAGTAATTAAAAACTACGATCTCTTTTGGAATCCTCATTATTTCAATTACGGTTTGTGGGGTTGAGAAGGAATTGATTCTGTCAGCCAGGTTTTGCTGTAGATTTTCTTAAAGACATTTTGGGTGCATGTGTTTTCATTACCTATGAGCAATATTTATTAATATTAATAAATGCTATATTTCTTACCTACTATTTTAGGAAGTTCACAAATCTATCCCAATCAATAATTTCTAAAATACTGCTAAAAATATACCTTTGAAAAGATTTTGCCACTTCTGATAGTTCTCATTTTTCAAACTTTTGCATATTTTTCTAAATGCATGTGCTATTAACTAGTCATAAAGAGTGGTGTTAACTGAAAGTACTTTATTTTTCCAGATGTGCCTCTTCATTTTCATTTTGAAACATTATTTAAAAAGACTGAAATAAAAGGAGATCTTGCTGAAAATAAAACTGTGGGCAACTGTATCATGTCACCATCACCTGGTATGTCATATTTACAAATCTTGTACTTTCTATTCCTTTTTACCTCCTTATGCCTGTTATTTTTTGCAGCCTAATAAAATTTAACAAAAGAATGAATGTAAATCCTTAATTTTTAATATTCACTTTTCACAAATCACACAAACATAAAGAAAATACATAGCAGCTATATAGCATGGCTGGAGGTACTCTGGGTTTCATTCCCAGCACCAGAAAAGGAAAAAAAATCATTGAACAAGAAATGTGTGATAACTATTAAATGAAAATTATGAATTATTAATAATTTAAATAAAAATAGTTAACCAGCATTCCTATATGGTAAAACTAACAAGCATTTCAGCTCTCTTTATTACTTAATGTTTAATGCAATGTAACCTGACATTCTAATTGATTTGATTAACTTAAAATTATCCCACAATTCACTGGGTAGAATAAGCAGGGCAAAGTATAAAAGGAATTGCTGGAAATTTTCAGAAAATCTCTACTGCAACCACAAATAAAGGCATGCCAAAAAAAAGCCTATAATAATTAATTAGCATAAATTTTATTTTGCTTATAATTATGAAAACAAATTCATAAGGGAGACAACATAGTTTGTATTTTATGTTCAGGATATCAATGGGAAAATGGAGAACCATTCAGTAAACAGTATATTAGTCTTTGATTAAATATTTTTTACACATTGTTTTCACTTGAATCAGAATAAATTTTAATTCATTCGAAGAATTTTTAATAAGATTAAAATTACATAAAAAATACTTAAATTATACTCAGAGCTGGGGTTGTGACTCAGTGTTATAGCTCGCTTGCCTAGCATGCGTGAGGCACTGGGATTGATTCTCAGCACCACATACAAGTAAATAAAATAAAGGTCCATCAAATAAGTTATACTGAAATAATTATGAGTGCTCCAAAAGGGTGTGAAGGTTTTAGCTATGCTTGGAAGCAATTACAAGAAAGTCACACTATCTGCAAAGTTAAAATCTTAATTTACCTCAGTTTGTATGACTTTTGATGTTATCTGCAGATGAAGTAATTATTTACCTCAAAAACTCAAGAGCCAAATGGATGCCAAATTCCAAATTAATGGAGTTTTACTATTAAAATCAGCAGCTTTTATAAATACCAATAACTAGATAGAATATGTAAAGGAATAAAGTATTCTAAGCATGTGACAATGAAAATATACCTCTGACTAAACTTAAGAACCTACATAAAGAAAAGGGTTAGAGGATTTTCCTATACGGAAATATCCCATTCTTACTGGAAGACAGTGCTATAAACTTAAGGTGTCAGTTTTCCCAAAATTAACTTATACACAGAATGTAATTCTAATAAGAACCACAGGGGTATTCTTTTTGAATAAAAGTTATTCTGAACTTTATCTCAGAAAACGTTAAAGAACAGCCAATAAAATTCCTTTAAAGATTAAGGGGCTGGGGTGGTGGCTTGGTGGAAGAGTGCTCGCCTAGCATGCATGAAGCACTGGGTTCAATCCTCAGCACCACATAAAAATAAAATAGAGTGTGTCAACTTAAAACTGAAAAAAATATTTTAAAAAAAGATTAAATGGAGAATGTGTCAGATATCACAATGTATAATAAAGTTCTAATCATTAAAATTTGTTGATATTAATGAAAGCCAGATCAAGGGAACTAAATAACAAGTCTACATACAGACAGACCCAAAGGTTGAATGTATGATAAAAAGTGGTATTTTCCTATCAGTGTGAAAAGGGTGGCTCAGTTAATTGAATACTGACAAAAACAAATTCCTATGATGCATTCTTTGTATGGCAGCACTAGTTGAAGAACTTTTTATTAGTTAATTCTTTTAATCCATGGGGTAGGCGTTATTATCCTTAAATATCCTGTCCCAAATCACAGTTGAGTAGTGACACAGCTGAAACTCAAACCCAATCATTCTGGCTCAAAGTCCATGCTCTATTTAAACAACCAACTCTCACACATAATCTGTGGCATCAAATAACTCATTAAATGAGATTGATACCTCATACAGCACATCAAGTTTAGATGAACAATGAAAATACATTTGAGATGGATTAAATGTTAAAAATGATGTCTTTTCCAAGAATCAGAAGAAAAACTAGGTATGTTTAGTGATAACTGTAAAAGTAATGAAAATGACAATAGCCAACATCTACTGAAAACTTCTGTCAAGTCACTGAATGTTTACTTTTTATCCATTATATTGATACTACAGTAAAAATAGCACTCTCAGATAACAATAAGAATTGAGACACAAGCCTTCTGGGAAGCACTGTGAGATGCATTAGAAGGTCTTTAAAATATATATATTTTTATAAGTTGAGTGTGTGGGGAAAAAAGAAAAAATGTCCTTTTTACTTTTATACCTGCTCAAAATAAGTATTTACTGAACTTAATACCAACTTTGTATTCTGGACAGTTATTCCATTTCCAAGAATGTGGTCTAATCCTAAATATGAAACCTTTATCCACAAATATATTTATCTGAGCATTTTTTTGTGATAATGAAAAACCAGCAACAACTTGAAGAATGATACAGTAACCTGTATACTATAGTAGAATATGCAAACTTAAAAATACCTTAAAAGTTCATGTAAGGATGGAAATGTTACTAATCAAAAGAATATTTTAAAATAAATAGATGAAAATATTTTACTTCCATATTTGGTACAATTATAACCATGCAAAAATGTTTATTCTTCCATCAACCAATTGTGATATGTGGGCCTTGTTGGGGTTCTGAACAAAGCAGATCTATACAGATACACATTCATGCTCTTTTAAAACAATTTGAAAAATAAGAACACTGATGGAGATATTAATGAATTATTGTTAGTTCTGTCTTATGTAATAATGCACAATTTGTTAGAGATTCATGCTGACATATTTGATGAAATTATAGCAAAGAAGTTGTAGAGAGAGAGATGAAACAGGATTGGTAAAGCTATCATTTCTAAAGCTGAGTGAAGAGTACATGGGAATAATTCATTATTCTAGTCTCCTTTTTTGTATGTTTAAAATTTTTCCACAATAAAAAGGGGGGGAAAATGCACCAAAGGCAAGGAACAATCGCCTACACTTAGAGAAAAAAGACTAAAGAAATACTGGAAAGTATAGGTTATGTTCAGGTACTTTTTCATGACATAATTCTACTTATTGGGAACTATACATTTTTCAAAAAGGAAAACAAATATGTGGATATTTCAAGAATTTCCATAATAGCAATAATTCCATGATGATGATGACAGAAGTAAAACTGTATATCCAAAAACTAATTCCTGTAATCAGAGGAATGTTAGGTAACTTATGTAACCATAAGTTACAAGATAAAACATAACATTATACATTATCCTAACTAATATACATTATCCTAACTAAATTATGATTATGCAAAATAAAAGTATATGATGTTAGAGATCATATGATTACAGTTCTTCTAAAGTTACTGTACTGTTTATCTGACTGAAATAAGGCACTGTAAATATTAGGCACAGAATTAACAGTAAATGTATTGACTGTAATGACAACATATCACATGTAATAAAAAAATAAGGGTAGAAGTACACTTTTTGAATGCCTTGGTAATATTATACAAATCAATGAAGTATTCTTTTGTATACAAATCTTTCATTCCCTACCATTCCTACTCCAAATAATTAAGCATTAATAAGGCTTCATCCTATATATCTTTAATAAAGTAGCTGCTCATTAATTTCTTTTACTATTAGTTATTTCTATAAAATTAAGTAAAACTACGGAGTTCAACATTCCTTGAGCACCTCTTCTGTGCCAGGCAGATTATGATAAGAATAAAAGGTGAATCACAGGAGATCAAAGAAATTATAATGCAACAGGGGAAAGTAGACATGAATAACTATTATAGTATGTGTTGAACACATATGGCAACAATATTCTATATATATATATATATATATATATATATATAAAAAAGGAGAGCAGAGGGCTTAGCTCAGTGATAGAGCACTTGCTTATCACATGCAAGACCCTGGATTCAATCTCCAGTACCACAAGAGGGAAAAATAGTGGGGGAGTAGATAGCTTAGCACAAGCCAAGACAGAGGTAAAGGGGAATAAGATAAAGAAAGGCAGGAAGGAACTCCCAAGACAAACAGTGATGCCAAGTGCCATCTTGGAATCTAGAAGGTTGAAGTGTTCCAAATCAATGCTTCTCAAAAGTTAATGTGCAAACATATTCTTCGAAGGATACTGTTAGAATGCAGCTTCTGCACTTTAACAAGATCCCAAATGTCTGATTTGGCCATACTGTGTAACAAGGCTTTAAATAATGGAAACCAGCATGCATCATAAAAACTTAGAACAGTGTGATATGTTACAAATAGCTTGGTATTCCTGCAGAGGAAATTGTGTGAAGGTAAGCAGACTATATGGCACTGCTGACATCAGGCAACAAGGACATATGCACAAGTCAAAGTGCAGAGTTGAAAAGTAATACAATCAGCTCATGGGGAAATATAACACAATCAGTTCAAGAGGCTGTAGTTACCAGAATATTCAAGGATATGAAAGAAAAGAAAGACAGCAGAACCATTTAAGACGTGAGACTTTAAAAAGAAGAGACTGAACACAATGAGCAACTGGAATTTTCTACAATGAACAAGTTATTATAGGGATAATTGGTAAAAATTGATTAAGGTACATAAATTAGCTAGTGGTATTCATTTCTTGATTTTTGACAAATTTAACTATATAAAATGATGTCTTTATTTTTGAGAAGTACACACTGATATATTAAGGGGTAAAGCAAATTATGATAAAATGTTAACATCTGGGTAACCTAGGTAAAGTATATATGGAAACACTGCAATAGTTCAGCTTTTTTTCTAAATTTGACTATATCAAAATTAAATGTTATTAAAGTGGATAGAAGAGGAGAAACAATAGAACCCTAACCCACAATTAATCCAGAAACAGAGTTCAACCATCTTAACCCCTATTTCCTCCCATATGAACTAACCAAGTTGTCAATAAACTTATAAACTTGTTTCAAATCTTCCTATCTGCATTTCAACCACATTCAGACCAACATAATTTCTAACCTGTATTGCTGAAAGCAGCTCATTTTCATTTAGTTTTAATCACTTTAGACACTGATCTTTTCAAAATGCAAATCTGAAATCCTCACCGGGCCTTTTAAGACTTTTGAGGGAATATTCTTCCCCTAAAGTGGTATTTACATAGGCTACTGGCTCCTGTTTCTTTGGGTGGGGGGGATAGGGGATTGAACTCAGAGGCACTTGACCACTGAGCCACACCTCCAGTCCTATTTTGTATTTGAGACAGGTTCTCACTGAGTTGCTTAGCACATTGCTTTTTGCTGAGGTTGGCTTTGAACTCACTATCCTCCTGTCTCAGCCTCCCAAGTGCTGGGATTACACGCGTGGTGCCACCACCAGGACTCCTGGCTTTTTCTTCACCATACTTCTTTACATACCTGCTGCTATCCAGCTCCCAGATTTGTCTTGCTCCCTTGGACATTTGCCCAAGCTATTTTCCTTCTTTCCCTTGCTGTCAGCTATTTCTGATAATATATGAAATCTCTTCATCTGTGAGTAAAAAGATAGCAAAAGGGTGAACTCTTAGATTTGCTTAAAATACTCCACCAAAATGAAATTACAAGCTCCACAACTGAGCTACACTCCCAGCCCTATAGTTACCTTTTTCTAATGAGTATAGGATTAATGCTGTTTATTATTCTGTTTAACATTTTCTTTTTTGAATGGTGGAAAATCTTAAAGAGACCATCTTAAAATTCTGCCCACCATTTTTTCCCCTGGACTGTCATTGATTTACAATTAATTTGGGTATGGCAAATGGATTCCCCTTTCTTCGTGGTAATATTAACTCTTGTCTTGTAACTTTCAGGGTATTCTCACCTATGATATCCTGTTTGATTTTTATTTCCTGACAAGTGAGTTCTTTGAAATATTAAGGTTGATTCTAGAAACATTTTTACTATCATTTCAAATATTATCTCCCCACATATTTTCTCTCCTGTTAAACACTCTTTTTCTTCATATTCATCATTGTTCCTTTCAGTTGTAATTCCTTTTCTAGTCCCAATTTTTATTTTTGGCAGTGTCCATTGTTAACTCAGCTCATTCAGTTCATATTTTGAGCAATTAACTATATTTTATATTTCTGAGATCTCCCAAGAAGACTCTTTATTTTTCTTCACATTTGTTTTAAAGACCCGTTAATCTGTTTTCTGTGAATGTTCCAGAAATTAATTCCTGAGATGGTTTTTCCACTTGTAGATCTTGTTTTATGATGTTGGTATTCAAGATTTCGGTTTGTGAACTCATCTTTGAAGTTGACATTCATTGTTAAAGGTTGTTTTTCCACTGTTATTGATGACAAGGGTAGGGATTTACACCTTACATTACTTCAGATTTATGAGCGAGACATTTAAAAGTAGGACGCTAGGGTATGGCATCTTTCTGCCCAAAGCTCTGGTTGTTACCTGTTGAGATAGGTAATCTCATTTGGTAGCCTGGCTGACATGGATATTGGCATGTATTGACAATTATCAGCTGGTACAGCTAATTGTACTGCTCTGTTTTTCTCTCCTCCAGGTCTACAGCACCTTTCGTATGGATCACATTTTTGTGGCAACACTTTCCTATGTGCTTCTGCCCTATAAATTCTGTTTTATTTAATAAGTTCCCCTTTCTGTTTACAATTGTGCCTATCTCCATGAACCTACATATACAAATTTTGTCTTATCATTTTTAGAATACTTTGCCATCAAGAAACTGGACTCCTTTACTAGGCTATGCCCTTTGCTTCAGTCAGAGTTTCAGAACTGTAACTAATGTCTATGTAAAGGAGCCAATTTTGTTATCAAATCAATACTGAAAATAGTTTCAGATAGATAATACTAATGATGAAGCTAATATTTATTAAGCACCTATCATGCTAGATACTCATTTAATCTTCATAATCCTATAATCCCAAGATTTTATAGATGAGAATACTTAGGCACTGAGTGACTTAAAATTGTGCACTGTTTTTTGTTTAAAAAAATAAGAAAGACTAGTGCTAGTCACTGTCCGAGATGAATAAAATCTAAAATCTGGCTTTTAAGGAATCCAAGACTGTTGTGACCCTGTTGAAACTTACTTGATCTTGAATTATTTCTGGATTTAAGGTAAGCAACTTCAGGATTCAGATCCTATTTAGCCCAAATTTGCAGATCTGAACTAATCCATACTAATTTGGAAGACTTTGAGAACAGATCACCTTCCCTTTTCATCCATCCCCTTCAAAATAATGAAGCAAATACAGGAAGTTGGCAATTTCCTGAGGTTGTTTTTAAGAAATCCCATTTCAGGTACTTTTAGCGTAAGGGGTATCCATCTTGGTACTTAAGCATTACTAGTGGTTTTGAACTGATATTTTAAAATTCTGCATTGTTATAAGTACCAATTAACATGTCCATTATTTGTGTTAAACTTCACATTTCCTTTCATTTGTTGTAGTACACAGTACTTCTCTGAATCAGTGGAGTAATGGATATTCACCTACATGTAAGCCTCAAATAAAGTCAGAGTCGTCTGCACAACTGTTTCAGGGAAGAAAGAAAAGACATTTGAGTGAAACAGCATTAGGTAGGTTAAAATGAGGATATGACCATTAGGGTTAAATACTGAAAAGAAAATCTGCTTTTCCACAAAGTTTATAATTGTCTCAGGAGTTTATAATTCAGAATTATCACTTAATTAACTAAAATATTTATTATCCCATGAACATATTCAGTATTCACATAGTTAATTCAGATTTTGTAAACTGGTTATTTACCCATTTTATGGCATTTTCCTTCCAGTGTTCCCTGACTAGTTCTCTTTCATCAGCTGCTGTATGGTTAGAATTCAGTCTCTAAGGTTTTTTTGGACTCAAACTAGTTCAATAACAGGTCATTTACATAAATTTATTACTACTTCTAAATAGTAATTTCTCAAGATTTTGAGAAAGTTGTAAAGATTCAACTAAGGCACTCAACCACCTTATTCAGGTCTCCTTAGGAGTCTTTATAGTTCCAAGGTAATCAAGATATATCACTTGAAGCTGGAACTCTTCCAATAATACAAAATTGATTTGTTGTGGAGATACAGGAGAACACAGTCATACCAGTCATTGTTATGTTTAATAAGAAAATGTCTACATGATTGGTGTTTGTTCATGTTCCAGGGAACATAACCCTATATTTTTGTAAGTATTCCCCAGATGTAACATCTCAATAATGTACTTAACAAATTATAAACTACTTACATCCAAGATGTACTTAACTATAACTATACACAATGGATTTAATGCATTATCTCCAGTATCTTTAGAAATTCTACCAAAATAGACAAGTCACTACTTGATAGTTAATACCTAATCAAGTACATTTTGGCACAAAATGAACAAATTCCCACTCATTGAGAACCTTTGTTATTCTCTAGTGTCTCACTCTTCAGAACAACCAAGGATCATCAGGCTTTGGAAGAACTTTCATACATGCACACCAAAACACGGGAATTTTTCTTACCTCTTAATAAGATACAAATTGACTGATACTTTAGATCTCATTTTGAGTTTAACAGATACTTAGGGATGTAAGAACAAATGAAAGGATATACTGCAAAGAAATTATGACAACTCCAAAATTAAAGCACATCTAGTCCAGACTTGTATAACAAGTCATATCATGAAAAACGAGCTATTCCAGATCACAAGAAAACTTGGAGAGTAATAACCAATTTTAATATGTGGCTCCATATTTGAAAAAACTAACCAGAGAGGATATATTTTAATGACTTGAGAATATAAATGTAGACTAGGTATTAGGTATTAGATTTTATATTATTTGGGAAATATCATTGTATTTTTTAAAATTCACACTAGAATAAAATAGTATGTAAATGAATATATATATTTCCTTATTAAGAATAAAAACAAAGGAACTTGAAAGACAGATAATACAAATTAAAAGTCAATTTCAAATCAATATCATTAGAGAAAAACTTTATCCATGAAACAAGAAAAGGAAGGTATAAAAAAGGAATACGAGAGGACAATAACTTTTAGAAATTAGTACTTTAATTGTAGGAATTTTTCAAAATAGTGTTTTTATAAGATCAAGGAAATCTCACAGAAAAGAAAAGACAGACATAAAAAAATGAAAGGATAAGAAAATTCAGATCAGTCTTAACAATGTAGCCTCTGAGAGGAGTCACAGAAAAAAAGGAACTGGGTCAAGAGAGCAGATGGAGTATTAAGTAATATGAACGTGCTGGAGAGAAAATGCCAAGGTGCCAGAAAATGGAAATACCTGTATCAAGATCAAGTGAAGTGAGGCCCTTCTTTTATATTTCCCCTTTTGTTTATTTTCAAAACATGAATTTTTTTTAATCCATTGATTAAACTATCAATTCACCTCTCAATGACTGGAGAAATAATTCTAATAATATTGGTCATGTTTAATTTATGACATTATGAATGGTTCTTTCCTTGGCAGGAGAAAAAAATAGATTTGAAGAATTTGCTTTTCAACGCACAGAACCAGGATCCCATTGTAATTTCACTACCATCTCTAATGTCAATGTTATATCAAGAACACAGAATTCATCAGCACAAGTAGGTTTTTACTATACCGAACTCTAAGACTGCTTTATATTATATTGTTATATTGTGTGCAAGTAGAAATACTTAACAATGAAACCCATATTTTGAATAATTATAATGCATCAATAAAGAAAAAATAAAAAACTCCATATTATCAAATTCTTTTTAAAACTATGTATAGATTTTTTAAATAAAACCAGCTGATTTAAAAATTTGGGTATTTTGCTAATTTATATCAGCCTTACTGGCACATTTAGAACTATCTTATTAGGAAATAATAAATTTGATAAATAAAACTTTTTTCTTACTTGGAAAACAATTATTAATCTTCAGTTACAGATTCTTTTCTGTGTTAAAAACTAAATTTTATCATGACCATTTCTATTCTTTAGCATATGAAGCTACAAAGAGCCTTGCTAATAATGTGAGTTCAGGACTTGTATTGTTCTTAATCTGCCTTGTTTTTTGGCACAAGACCCAGTAAAAGAAAAGTTAAAAGGTGGGAAGTGTTAGAAATGAACAACTTGAAACTCGGGGACCAGAAACACATAAATTAAGACTATAATAATAATTTTTACTAAACGTTTCACCAAAACATATTTCATAAACTTTCCTAATAATAAGTATATATGTTTGTGCACATAAATATACAAATTACAAACCTGACAAAACAGTTTAGGCATACTTCCTTAACTGGTTTTCTTAACATTTTATAGTCACATTTGAGAACAATGAATTTACAAAAATTACATAGATGATTATTATGAAACTAATGAAAGAAATGTATCACCAGAGTTTAACTAGGTATGTAAACCATTACCATAATTCTACTTTGCAGAGTACGGCACGAAGGAGGTTAAGAAGTGAGAGCTCTTATGACATAGATAACATTGTGATTCCCATGTCTTTAGTAGCCCCAGCTAAGTTAGAGAAACTCCAATATAAGGAAATTATCACTCCAAGGTATGTATCCTTACATTCTTTCCTCTTCCTTTAATAAACTTAAATCCAGAGTGAAGTGGAAATCTTAACTGAGAGGAGAATGCTAGCCTACTTTCTGGCCTACTTGTATAGCCACAGAGGGAAAATAGTGAAAGAAAGCTTCACATTACTCATGGTGAAGAAAAACTGCCAGAGTATCACAACTTTACTTCTTAGTTTTTATTAAGAACTGAGAATTTCTAGATTGATTTACTTTAGCATTCTAGTCATGTTTTTTTCATTCATTTGTATTTTGGTTCCGATTATGTACAATGGCACTAAAAGGCACTTTACTGATAGAAAAACTACAGCAACAAACAAATTTGCCTTAAGAGATGTACAAGAGTTCAAAGAAAGCAACTACCTTTGTAATAATGTATTCGCGACATGAGACAGTAATATCTGTCACAACAAAACTAAAATTTTGATTTGGCCAAGTTAGCAATAAACACTTAAAAGATGCATGGGAAGGTCTGAGAAGACATACAGGGAGTTATGGTATTTACAACAGGGAGATTATAACAAAGGTAGACTGGCAAATGTGTAAGGCTTAGCCAGATAGGTTTTGCATAGACTGATAAAGGCAGGTAAGCCTAGAAAAGAACCAGACTGTGGAGGTCCCTGAATACCATATGCAGATCTGCTTCTATTGGCAGTCAGGTTAGCCCAATTTCTGGCAGTGATGAAAGCAGTTCCTAAAAATATGAATATGGCACAGGAAGTAGACATAAAAAGACTAGAAATCAAAACTTGAGTCAGGTGATAACCAATTAAGGCCTACCCATCTCTAGTTTAATTTCAGTTTATCTTAATTACTTTGAGGTATTAAGGCAAGTCTAGTATTCTAAGAGGTATTATGAGAATTCATATTTTAAAAGCCTGTTGAAATTTCCTACAAAAATTAGAAATATCATTTGTTCTGTAGCAACAATGTTTTTTCATTTGCAGTAGTGGGCTGGAACTAGCTGGTGGACCTGGCTATTAAATACAGAATTCTATAAGTCGGTTAAACTATTAGTAGCTGAAAAGGGGCCCTAAGCATTTTCTCATCAAAGAAATTGGCAGAAACGACAAATCAGGTCTTTTTTTCCTTCTTCTCTTTGGTCAAGTTGTTTATCAGCATACCACTGACTTATTTTTAAATCAGTACATGTATGTAACATCCAACTATACAGAAGAGGTTTCACTCACTGTAAAGGCAAAAGTAAAGACTCATCTTCCCTGTTTTTTTTTTCCTCATAATACGAATATTCTTTCTCTTAAAAAAAACCAACAAAGTATTAAGATAGAACCACATGAATTATGGAAATCCCAAGGAAAGAAATCACAATGTGCTTAAAAGAATAAATAGCTACAGTTAGAGAAATTGATAAAAGCTATTTGAAACTGGTTTATATCTTCAACAGCTGGAGGATGGTTGTTCTTCAGCCTTTGGATGAATATAACTTACGTGAAGAAGAGGTAAGCTACCTTTCATTTAATGAGATAATTACACCTTTTATATTATGAAGCCTGTTTAATTTAACATTTAAGGAAATAAAGGAAAACATAAACCCTTGAACATCTGACTTTTTTTTCACTTAACCAAGTTTTTCAAAATGGTTATTAATTCTATAGAAAAATATTTCTGTGCAAATTTGACTTCAAAAAGATAATAATGTTTAAAGAAATAGAGGAAAAGTAAAATATGCTATTTATGAGTTGACATTGATATAGACATATTCCTCTCAGCATTAATCTTGTTTCTTTTTTTATAAAAAGACAGTGTCAATATTCACTCCTACAATTCCATTTTCAATATATTAGAAACAATTTAGTTTTTTTTAAAAAAATCTTTATTTATTTTGTATGTGGTGCTAAGGATCCAACCCAGTGCCTCATGCATGTGAGGCAAACGTTCAACCACTGAGCTACAACCCCAGCCCGAACCAATTTGCATTTGAATTTGGAAAACTTTGGAATTTAATATGGTACATGTATCTTGTAATACCTAGCCTAAACAGTTCTTATAACATTAATCAAATATTAGTAGTTCTGTAATCAAATGGGATAAACACTAAAAACCGCCTGATACCATTTCAGATCAGACTGGATTATATGAAAAATCTGTTTTTTCAGATTTTTGGATTATGGAATTATAGGTAAGGGTTTATAGATCTTTATCAGTAAAATTACACTAGGACAAGAATATAGGGAATAATATATAACCAAACTAATGTCAACGTGATGGTCTCTAAAAGCAGTATTTTGTAGCAGATAATTGATTTCTATGAAATAACGGTATTTCTATGCCCTGTCATGTTTTTCAGCTACCCTACAACTTACCTTTAATGACCTTCCCTCTTGTAATGCATTCTATTTCAGAATGATCCTTGTCAAACCCAAATTCCTAAATATAACCCTGTCCAGGTTAGATTCCTAGATAAGGCATTAATTTTGACTTACAATCAGTTTTACTTTTCTTTGACATTGACATTTTCTTAGAACAATGTGTGCTCCATAAAGAACAAAAAATCGATATAAATCCAACTGAATGAATAAAACTCTAAGATTATTTCATGCAAGCTGTGGCTAATGGAAAGCATACCCATTTGCAATCTCAATAAATCTTCAAATGTGAACCAAGAGTAAAAAGATAAAAGTTTTGGACTCCCACCTTTCAGGAATTCGAAGCTAATCTCCTAACATTCTCTTGACTGACACAAACTGCATTTTAGAGTCTGCTTGCTACTGTTCTCTAGATGAACCATTTGAAACCTGTTCAGAAAGTTTCCCATAAAAGCAAAATCTTTTTTGCTAATTCCAGATAGAAGATCTTTCTGATGAAGTCTTCTCCCTAAGACACAAAAAATATGAAGAGAGAGAGCAAGCCAGGTGGTCACTATGGGAACAAAGCAAATGGCATAGAAGAAACAGTAGGCAAGTATTTTAAACTTAAAACTCAAAAACATGGAATCCATGTGGAATGAACAAAAATTCTGCATGAATTTTGGGGGGCCATTAAAAAAGAACACATAAGGATGTATCAGTGAGTCGTGTACAAGTATACGTACTGGTGTGTCACTTCATGTACTGCTGTATTAAAAATATATTGGGCTAAGTACATGAGGATAAGATGAGTTTCTGTATTTTACTCTATTTATCAGGTTTTCTATCAGTATGAGGAATAGATTTAACTGGCAAATAATATAAAATGTATCTCTATATTTAAAGTAGGTCATTTTAATCTACTCTAACAGTGGACCTAACACTGGGGGATAGAATTAGATAGTCCATTTTAACATAACTATTTCCAAATTAGCAAGATTTAAAAGAAAAATTCAAGAATAACTGTCTTATGTAACAGGCAAATAGTCTAAAGTACTTTTAAAAAACACAGACTAACCTTTGGGGAAGGGAAAATAAATCATAAACATAATTAATAATTATGTATTTGAAAGAATCTCTAGTAATAATCATTTACATGATTATTTTTAATATATCCCAAACTCATAAAAACAAGATCGTGTTAAATATAGCAGTCACTTCAGTGAAGGGGCATCTCTCATTTAATTAATGCTATTAAAAATACCTTTCTCAAGATATCCAGGCTTGCTATAAATCCGTGTTCAGAGTTCTCCTAATATAGATGAGATTATGAATTCTCATCCTTTCCCACATTCCAAAGGTAAAACTTTCCAGAAATACAGAGGGAAAGATGAACTGAGACATTCATGGATGACATTATAATAATCATAGAATACCCTAAGAACTCAAAGACTATAAGGATCAAGCAATTGCTGTTTCTTGTCTTGCGGAAAAAAAAAAAAAAAAAAGAAAGAAAATCAAGTAATAAAACCTGTTATTATAAGTTGGCTAAATATTTAATAAAGCCTTTGAGATAAATATGTAAATATGATTTGACTAAATATTTAAGCGTTTTAAACAGGAAAGTAATAGCACCAGAAAGGTAACAGATGAATTTTTAAAATCTTTTGGGTGGAACTATGTAAAGCAAAGATACTATGTTTAATTTAGTGATACCTTTGGCCATAAAATGTTAAGATCTCAAGAAATTAATATTTTCTTGCTAGGGCTTACAGTAAAAATGTTGAAGGACAGGACTTTCTTTTGAAAGAATGCCCTAATGACTTCAGTAGCGGTCAGCAATGTGCTGCTGAAAGTCCTCCTGATCTTCCTTCAGAGCACCATGATCTCTATGCACATGGCTCACCCTTAAATGAAAATCAAGAAATTACAGTAAGTATGACTTTAATTGCCTCTTAACTTTTGTGTATGTAGAAATTGCTTATTGTAAATTGTTTCATCACTACATATTGAATTCAGCATAGTTCATTCAGCATAGTTCATTCTAGAATAATAAGAATCAGATCTGTATTGCAACACTCTAGTCCACCACTAACTATAATCCCTTTTTTTTCTATTCTGTCATTAGCAACTTCCACCTACCTACTTGTTAGGTAATACAGATGTTTTCATTACAAAATAAATATGACTAATGGAGAATAGCACCTGCCATAGTAAATGTTAACTGCTATTTCTCTTCCTCCTCTTACAGTTTTTACTTGTCTCCCCATAGATCCAGTTCCTACCTTAAGGGGAGTGCTTTCTAACACTGCATCCATTTGTGCACCTTTCTTCATAAATAGGTGTTGAAAAGAAAGAACCAGATCTAGAATGGAGAGTGGAGACTATAGAAATTAATAGGCAAGTTGCAGCAAACTCAGGGAAAAAAAAAGTCAGTAGGTATCTTAATAACAATGGGATGGAAATGAAGATATGGAGAAATAGATTAAACTTAAAAAAGCACTTTGAAAGGGGTTTTCCTAAAATACTCTTTAGGCTGAAAATGAAGACCAGTCCCCTGTGACAGCCATTTCCTCTTGCCGACAGAAGCAAAGTGAAACAATGCCCCAAAGTCATTACATTTTCAGTACATCCCACTTTGAGAGATATTTAGGTCCAAATTTGCTAAAATAAGTTAGTATATATTTGACATTTACATATTACTTGACACATGAACTTAAATTATTTGAAACTTAACTGAAAATGTTTTCCCTTTTAGTCTTTGTGGTGGGAACGGCGGTCTTTTCCACTGAAGGATGAAGATACGGCAGCTTTATTATGCCAAGAGGATAAAAACAATCAGACTGAGGTGTCAAGCACAGCTTTCCATGCTGAAGTCGTCTGTACCAGCGCACCAGAGAATGGCCACCACCCCAAAAAACAGCTAGGTGGAACAGAAGAGTATAAAGCCTTTGGTCTAGGAATTACTAATGTTAAAAAAAATAGGTGACAGGCTACAGGTGAAGAAAATGATGTAACTGAAGGGAAGTCAGGAGGGGAAAAAAATAGCCCTGTTCTGGATCTCCCATCCACCTCTGGTCATACTTCCAGAATAACAGAATGTACTGCATGTATTTACCTTTCATGCTGTTTATGGGGAACAGGCAAGATTGTTTCTTTACCTTCTTGAACCACAGAAGTAGCTAGCTTTTTACCTATAGACAAATGCTAGGCATCTGTGTTTATCATATAAATTACAAGCACCAAGATATTAACTGCTGCAATTTGATGTCAAATCACATTATTGGGTAATTTTTAACATCACAAACATACACACACTCACCCTTGCATTAAATGAGAGCTATTTTCCTTCCTATTCACATGGTAATTCACTAAAATTGCCTCAAAATATATTAATATACAAATATACATATAAAATGGGCATGCACGCGCGGGGTTTTTAAATTACACTGGCAGTGACCCACTACACTTAAAATTGCATGTACCAACTTGCCCTATGAAATGTAAGCTGCAATAAATATAAAGCACGTGTTTCCTCTGATTAAAAAAAAATTTTTTTTGAAAGTCTTGACTATGGAGAGGGAGTTATTTTTGTTTTTTAACATGTTTAACCAAGAGAAGTTATTTATGGAAATTCTTATCACAGATAATAAAATACTCAATTTATTTAAAATCAATGATATCTGTTGGACTGACCACAGGCTACTTTCTGTTACTCCTAACAGAATTGAGACAAGCAAATTAATTATATATGGGCGCACTTTAAAATTATACATCTTTGAAAACACCAATTTAAAATGTGCAATAAACAGGAAAGTCCTTCATTATAAAATGTAAGCAATGGTTTAATTCTAGTCTAGAAATACTGTTATATTTCTAACTAATTTGATCCTTCTTTGTCATAGCTTAGTCAAATATCTATTCTGACTTGCATCCTAGATTGTGAATTAGAACTTCTCAGACGCCAATACTTCAATATTTGATACTGAGATTGAACATTTTGAGGCTATTATACTATATTTTTTTCCTATGTGAAATATGAGGACAATTTGTATGAATCACTTGGTCATGTAAAACAGTTATTCAAGTTATAACACTCATCTAACTGAAATCCTGACCATTTGGCCTAGACTATGAAATTTGACACAAAATTTTTGTTTAGGAATGGAAATTATACTGGTCCCTATAAAAGGGGATAAAATTCAAATTCAATACTGACAAAACTTTTCCTTGTAGTTTCACTGTACATTTATTCTTAAAGAAAAAAAAAGCCTGACATACAAGTTGTCCTGGCAAAAAAAAATTCAAATCTTTGTCTTGTCTGATATTATAATCTTCTATGTAAGTTTTTTAATTAAAGTTATTTCTATATGCCTTGTGTTGTATGATTGGTTAAATACTACCTATTTATGGCATACACTTCTCCTAAGGCAAAGTACAACTTTTACCTTGTATAGGAAAAAAAAGCCTAAGCAAGTTCTATTACATGGATAGGTTATCAATGTTCTTATTTTTTGAAACTCATTTCTCAGAACTCCCAGCAGCATCAAGAAATTTTATGATACTGATCCTATTATTTTGTGCCATAATTATTACACTGAGAATATTTAGAAGAATGAAGTAGCTGATACCTACTAATCTCTGTATAACTGGGAACAGTTATAAATACCGAGTTTATGGATTAACACTACCACATCATCTCTTGGCCTACTTGGTCTAAGAATAAAATATATATCCCTAGGGTAAAGATCTATAAATCCATATTTTTATCAGTCATCTGAACTACTACGAGTAAAGATTGACTGGAAATGAGACAATTAAGTAAAAGAAGCTTCTTTTACCTAACCTATTTCCCAAAGGTTCTAGGGGCAGGGTGTGGCAGGGGGATTGAACAGATCAGAAATACAATGTCATACTGGATCTTTCCATGATACCAGCCTATCACAGAGCTTTAATTTCATTTTTTAAACAGAACAAAATACCTGTCCTGCCATTTGTAGGAGTAATGCATAGGTTTAATAAGATTATACAAAAGTACTTTATAACCCATGTTCACATAAACTTACATTGCTATCTACTACTTTGTGCTGAGCATCCTCTAAATTCTGGAAATAGTACTAGAAGCTTTCTGTATATCAACAATTATCTCTTTTAATCTTCAATTCAACTCTGCTTGGTGGTTATTATAGTCAACATACAAATGAAATCAGAAGTGTGAAAAGGTTGGGTGATTTGCTGAGATCAAACAGCTAGAATGGCAGAGTCAGGATTCAACTCAATGAATACCCAAAGCTTTACTCTTTATCTATGGAGAGCTAATACAAAAGCATTTATTTAATGTCCTTATGAATGCTGAATGAGATTAAGAAAACCAGGAATAGGAAAGAATCACAAAGAAAACATCTCAATAAAAATCTATGCTTGCATTTTAGAACCCCTGGGTTTCATAGGACATTGCCTTTACAGTTTTTGATTAATCAAATCTAAGGTGATAAGTGAAAAATAAATGTTCAGATCCAAGACCACAGTATGACATCCTGCCCAAGCTTGTATTTTTTAGCTCCACACTACTCATATTATCAACCATATAAACAAATCACAAATGACGTGAAACAGGAAAAATGTAAGGGCTCCCTTTGCTTTTGGAAAACAGCTGTGAAACAATAGAACATTATTTTTAAAAACATGGAAAAAAATTTTTCATAGTAGCTAATGTCTATCCACTTTAGGCGTTATGATACATTTCTTTTTTGTAACCTTAATACAGCCCATATTTTCACTCTTTATAAAAATCAATTCTATTAGAACAGTTTTTTAACCACACTAACCTTTAAATTGGATCACCAAAAAATGTTGTATACATCAATTTCTAACCTCTTAGAACATTCTGCACAATAGATTTTAATCACTGGAATGAATAATTGCTCAGAAAAGCAGCATTGCCTCAACCTGGTATGATTTGGTAGTCAATATTCCTGTTTTCCAGTAAAACGGTTTCATGAACACAAACTCTGGATTCCTTATGATTTCATCGATCAAGAGACCGTTTCTGAGCAGCTTCTGAGCAAACATTTCTTAGTAAGTTGATCACAGATCTGGGGTCTTCACTCCTCATAATGGCACTGCCAGACACAATCATGTTAGCTCCTGCCTGGAAGAAGTAAACACTTAGGTTAGGCCTTAAATGAAGAAGCAGAAGAGCCTACAACAGAATTCTACCATTGCCTACCCCAGCACTTGGTCCAAAATCCACTTTCAGATAAGCAAACTTAAGCAATCTAGTTCAAAGATGTAAGAAGTTATAATATTCACAAGAATGTAAAATTATTTTTTTAAATGTGAATGTAAATTTATTTTTAAATGTATCTTAAGAAATCACTGAACTTTTTGTTAAATCAATTCTCAATAAGTTACACAATTGTCTTTGCTAATAGATAAAATTTTTAATCCTTTAATCTAAAATTCTATTAAGGTTTCTTCCTCAATATATACCAATGCCCCCAGAGATACTAAAGAAACAATCTTTTAATTATTTATATGAATTTTGGGAAATTCTGAAAGGACAATTACCATGAAAATGTTAATATTATCCATATGACATCAGCAACATTGAATCTAAATGATTTCTCACTTTGTGTCAGAAATACTTCTACCCTAACATTCCGGAATGGTTTTAATAATCTAGAAAAGGTTTTCAAAATGATAGTTTGAGATGCAAAAGCAAAGAAATAAAAATACATTTAAAAAAACAAAGTACGATGCCTGCAAATTTAGTTCTGAACTTCCCAGGATATGACATGAGAAGGGAAACTCAATGTGTTATTCCTTGCTAGAAAGGGGAGCTGAGGAACATTTCTCCAGTGTTACACTATCACTTTATGACAAAACATCACATCTCTAACACACTTCTCACAGAAATAAATTTTATAGGGTTACCACTTAGTATGTCTCTTCATTTGAGCAGGAATAGCATAATAGCAAACAGTTAATACAAAGCAATTCCACAAGGGTCAAAAATTGATAGTTATGTATCAAGCATTGGGGGAAAAACCAAACAAAATCTCCTACAGTGGCTACTGTAGGAGAATCTAGAAGTGCAGATACACAATACTACTGGATAAGAGTAGGCCTCACAAGCATTTACCACCTGCAGTGCTACAGAAGGGATGCCATCCTCTCATGAAGGTGAGGCCCAACTAAGCAGGCTGGTTATCTAGATAAAACAAAACTAGAACACTTCACCTCTATGTAGAGGACCAAGTGGGTACCAGGCCTAAATTTTTGTCAAAATGGTCCTAGCCTGTTTTAATGAGGAACAAATTACAAATATATCTAAGTTCTAAAAATTAACATAATAACTGAAAATTAAATTTCTCTTTTTTTTCCCTTTGATGAGATATCTTTTCTTTCCCTGTTTTAGAAAAATTTCTTAGTCCTACGAACATAATGGTCTTCCAAAGGGATAGTATTCAACATATTCTTTTTCTACAAAGAACTTTCTTTAGCATTACTGATATAACCAAGATTTACTATTTAACAATTCGTCACTTTAAAAATTTACTTATTGGTCTTTAGTTTCTTAATTCTACATTTAAACAAATAAAAAGAAAGAGAAAAATACTTTTCTAAGAAACAAAGTCAACTTAGGAAATGTAGGGGAAATCTCTTTGGCCCACAAGACAGTGTCTTACAAATTTTATCTGACAAGAAATTGGTCTAGTCACAGTCAAGGAGCAGTCTCACCTCTGCACATTTATGGACAGTGTCAGGACCTACTCCACCATCGACCTCTATATCCAAAGATGGGAACTGGGTCCTCAACCAATGGACCTAGATATACATGAAGAAATAAGTGACTCCTAAAGTGGATATGGGGGAAAACCAAACAAAATCAAATAGTTATACTAGCCATTATAACTCCAAATCTCCAAATAACTACATCAAAACATACTGGGCACACTTGTTCTTTAATGTACTGAAACAAATTAAGCTTTATCAGAGTGGTTTTGTTCTGTTTGCCAAATGGCATTCAATTTGCCATGTCTTTAGAGACATGTAAACAAGATAAAAGACAAACCCTCTATATTCAAAGAAAACTTCCAAGGGATCTAAAGGTTAGAGAAAGTTTTGAAAGAAAATTTCACTATAGGGATACATCAGCTCTGATTTTAAAACCTAAATCTACTTCAGTATTTGTCATCCTGTATTACAACAATCTGTAGGCACCCACATCTCTTTTCCCTGTGATAGGATGACTTAATAGACTAGTCTTTCAACATATGTTTAGTGAAAGAACACATACAATAAAATTCTCATCCCAGAATCAAATATTTTTTTTTTACCTTTGGCATCATATCTTCCATGAATTTCTGCCCTCCAAACCCAGGTTCCACTGTCATAACCAAGGCCATATCTATTTGATTAGCCCATGGTGCCAAATACTCAACTGTAGTTCCTGGTTTGATGGCAAGGCCAACCTATAACAGAGAAAAAATTGCTACATCACACTAACAATTAGTTTACTTATTATTGTGCATATTGGGCACAGTATAAATACCATTTTTTTTAAAAATAGAATAATAAATGGAATACATAGATTACTTCATTAGTGGCTGTCAAAAGTAAATGGTTCTACATGGCAGTAATTTTCATAAAATATTAGTGGCATATGTAAATCCTATCTGATAAACAAGTCTCATTCTTAAAATCCTAGCTTTACAGCTGAAACAGGTGCTTACATCAAGTCTTCTTTACCTGCCACTTCTTGCTTTCCATCAAATCTGCCAAATCCTGAAAGGGAATAGTATAAAACATTACCATCAATAACTTCTTACCTTCATCCCATTTTCCCGGATGTCTTTAATCAAAGCCCCTGGGTTCTCAGTGGCCTCTAGATGAAAGGTGTATTGATTGGCTCCTGCTACAGCCATTGGCTTTACCCACTGTTCCGGCTTAGACACCATCATGTGCATGTCTAGAAAGAAAAGACATAGCTTCTAAATATTACTGGAAGGAAAATACCTGGCTCATACAGTTGAAATCAGTCTGTAGTCTTTGCCATTTTGAATGTAAACTCTCCTGGCATGACGGAGACTTAACAGTTATACTTCAAGGTAGTTTCCCTTTATCCTGAAGACAGGTTTGCTCAAATTCATTTGCGGAAAAAAAAGAAAAAAATTCCAAAGCACATGCTGCTGCACATGAGTGCCACTCCAGAAACACAAACAAGTCACACTATTTGTGCAGCCTTGCTTTCTCTTAGAGAGCTAAATTTTGTGATTCCATTTATTCTTTCAACAAACTTAATAAACATTTCCTGCACCATTAACTATTCTAGGCCATAGGAATAGGGCAGAAAACAGGGTATTAGTGGCTGTTTCTCTACTATCACGGTGATTACATTTTTTAGCAGCAGAGAAAACCAATAAAATAAGTAAAATATAAACAAAGTTGGCAGTTAAATAAAGAAAGTGTGTCTGGGATCAAGGTTGTCCAGGGATAAGAAGATGAAGTCAGAGAAAGGAATGCAGTGAGGAAATACAGCACAGAGATGGGCAGGCCCTCAGGTTTTATTCGAAACAAGAAGTGAAAAATACCACAGGATTTTATGTTAAGCAACAAGGTCCAACCAAGGAGGCCAGATGGACATAACCCAGGTGAGGAAGGAAGATGGCAGCAATTGAGGATTCTGGGTATGTTCTGAAGGTACAGCCAACAAAAGGTACAATGGATTTACATGTAGAAGACAAAAGAAAAGTTGAGATGGTACCAAGGATTTGGGCATGAGCAATTAAAACAGAACTGCTGTTAACTCAGTGGCAGAAGATTATGGGCCAGAACAGATTTCAAGTTGACCAGAAGTCTGATATTCAACCTCATTCTATAGCACGGGCATGGCCTTCTTAAGAGAACTTGCCTTAAAAAACAATAGTGGCTTGTGAGAAGGGAGGAGGCACTTAAAAGAGGCTGATCAAGAAATAAGCCTGTGAAGAATGATAGGTGGTAGTGAGGAGAGTTATTTTGCTAGAGAAAGTACATTTCTGATATTCAAGTAAAAAATTCTAATATTCCAGAACTTAACTAAGAGTTAGTTCAAATAAAAGTCCAATAAAGCTCTGGAAAAAATATTAGGAAAAGAGCACATGACTTAACTAATGAAGCCAAGATTAAAGTCTGCTATTTCTAAATGAGCAAAAGTAACTAAATTAGAACATATTTTAATAGGTAAAAATTTTTAAAAATGTATTCCTCTGTTGTGTCTTATTCTTTGCTATTATAAACAAGGAAAATTCAATCCAGCTTAAAATAACTAGTTTACTCATTCCTTAAATTACCAGACTGATTAGTCAACCTTACTGAATCTCTAGCACACAGTAACTATTAGCATCTCTCACTGGAGAATCTCCACAAGTTCAGGGAATCATAGTTCAGTGAATCTGCCTATAACGAACATAAGACTGGCAGTTTTCAAACTTTCAACCACCAGGCTTCCTTTGTATTCTTAAAAAATACTGAAGACCCCTAAAAACCTATGTTGATATGGGTTGGACTTTTTTTCTTTCTTCTTTTAGTTGTAGTTGGACACAGTATCTTTATTCCATTCATTTAGTTTTATGTGGTGCTAAGGATCAAACCCAGGGCCCCGTGCGTGCTAAGCGAGCGCTAGACCGCTGAGGGACAATCCCAGCCCAATATGGGCTAAATTTATAGATATTAAATGTATTAGAAATTCAAACTAATACATTTTAAAGTATCTACTTATTACTTTATTTAAAAAATTAATAAACTGAGTAGATACTCCTTATCCATGGCCTTACTTTCTGCAGCTTCGTTTCTGAGGTTTTCTATAGTTAACTGTAGTCTAAAACTTATTAAATAGAAAATTCTATAAGTAAACAATTCCCAAGCTTTAAAATCACATAACACACCATCCTGCTCTGTGATTCATTTCTCTGTCCAGTGTATCCACACTGCACACACTATCTGCCCATTATTAGTCACTTAGTAACTGTCTTGGTGATGACTTGTACAGTATCACAGTGCCTGTGCTCACGTAACCCATATTTTACTTAATGGACCCAAAGTGCAAGAGTAGTGATACCAGCAATTCAAATATGCCAAAGAAAAGCCACAAAGTGCTTCCTTTAAATATCATCTCACATTATCCAAGAAGAGTAAATACAATAAGATATTTTGAAAGAGACCACAGTAACATAACTTTTACTATAGTATAAATGCTACAACTGTTAGGTGAGGTGTAGTAAACCCATTTTCAACTTAAGATACTTTTACCTTTACAACACCCTGAGTGGCACATAGCCCTACTGTAAAAAAGGAGCATCTGCACTTAGAAACTGTCAAGCTCAGAGGAGTAAGAAACAAGTTTTCTAATATTCTAATTTTCTATCCAAGCTCTATCTGGCTATAAAACTGACAAAGTATTTTTTTTAAGGACAAGTTCACCTTATGAATTTTAAAGAAAATATCATAATATTCATGAAATATGCACCTAGTTCAGATCATAACTCAAACTATGGCAGAAGTGGTTTTCCTTAAGAAAACCATCATAATTGAGTATGCAACCACTACTTTACATGTATTTCCTACTCTGCCACACAAATATTAAAAAGACATGTGCTCAGGGGTAAGAGTTATTAAAATCAATAATCTGTACTGTCTCATCAAGGACACTTACTGAAAAAACACAGCAAAGAAGCATGAAGTTACTACTGGTATAATTCAATACCCCTCCACTGATTTGGGTTAAGCCACCAGCAAATTAAGTCACCACTGCTTTTGCACTATCAGTACAGAAAGTATCACATATTATGAAAATAGTTTTGATCTCACAGATGACCTGAAAAGATCTTAAGGATTTCCATGGGTCCCGATACCACACTTGGGAATCCATTGATTTAGATAATAACAAGCACAGATTTCTAATCAATTTTTCTCAGATGCTTATTTGTACTCAAAACTAAGCATGAACAGTTAAGAACTTAAGAAGTTGCACATACAACCTGTGATCTAGTTCCTAAAATACATTCATGTATCAATCACCCAATAGTCAAGATCCAAGAATTAAACAACAACAACAACAAATGCTTAATATAAAAAACAAAGATCACAAGACCTAAACATTAAGATGTACAGAGTTCATTCACCTTTATTTTAGACCAAACTCTATAGTGATTAATTAGCAAGCTTATCAGCAAACAGCTAAGAAGGAAAAGCAGAGGGCATATGGTGGTAGCAAGAACTGGAAAGAGGAAAGTCAATAACAGGAGAATATATAGACAGTAATGACACATGACCCTAGGAACCCACAAAAAATGAAGAGAAAAGGAGAAAACAGTAAAAAAGTGTTTTTAAAATCCACACAAGAAAGCCAAAAGCAGAAAACTCTGGCTACCATAAAATGGGAGCAAACAATGCTATTTATTTATCCACCTCTCAGAGCAACAAAAATGATTCGAATTCGTAAAAAATGAGCATTTGTGGTACCATAAGTTGATTAAAAAAGTAATTTCAGAAAATTCAGAATCTTCAATTTCCATGAAATAAATGGCTTCTAGGCCATCTATGAGTCAACTGATTCATAAATTCGGTCAATTATACTGAGTCCTAATCATGTATCAATGCTTCTTTAGGAGAACCACAGTAAATGAAGGAGATTCAATCTCTGCCCTCATGGGCTCTATAGTCTGGTTAAAGTAATCTCAGACCAGAGAAAGTTATAAGAAAATCAACATGGTAGTAAATGTATAAAGGTTAATTTACCACAGGTGCTAAGAAAGGCCTCTCTGAGAAAAGGACAAATGATCTGAGGCCCAAAGATGAGGCATTCAACCAAGTGAAGAGCTTTCTAAGCAGAGATTAGCAAATGCCAAGGCCCTGAGGCAGGAAAGAGTTTGGCTTGCTACTAAAGTCAGGCCAGTGAAGCCCCAACACAGGAAGAAGGGCTGGAGGGAAAGGGGGACGGGTACAGGATAAACTGGAAGCTAAAAAATCAATCATCCCCTTTTCTTTGATCTGAACAACATAATCCAACATCAGATGACATAACACTTACCAAAGAAAGGGTCCTGGCCTAGCTGCTTTCGGAGGCTTTCTACCACAGGGTGACCAAAGGTGATGTTGGGAACAAAATGCCTACAAGACAAACAAAATCTCATTCTGAAAATGTTTTCAATTCAGTTTTTATGTTTCTCTCAATATGAATTCTGATGGGGGTAGAAGGGACTGGCTGGGATTGCAATATTTTTAAATTTAATATCATCAACATGAAAATTAAACTAATAGTAACTGGACAACTTTGTTTTGCAAAGCAACAGCTCCTAGATATCTCAGAAATGTATAATGCCACATACATCTTCATAACAAATTAGAAGAATTTATAACCATAACAGGGAGAAATGGAAAAATGACTAAATAAAAAACCCAAAAGTTTATGACTTGCCCAAGTCACATACTAGTTCGCAAAGTTCAGGACACTGGCACATATTTCCTGAGTCATAGCTTGTCACAGAAATTTGTGGCTACTTCTAATGCAATTTCACTGGGCACTAAATGACAATTTAAATTGTCCTGAAGATAACCAGTAAAAAAATTTGATGTTTTTAATAACTACCTTTTAATGAGAGTTTACTACATGCCAGGCATTGTACCTTCATTTCATCTTCACAATAGCCTAACAAAATTGATACTACTATTATCCCCACTTGAAGAGAGCAGGATAAATAAAATCCTTCAGTCAATAATCTGTGGAGAAAGGATTCATATTAAGTGTCTGATATCAGACCCAAGGTACTTAACCTTTCACCTACCCCACTAACTCCTATTATGCTACTTGCTCACTTAAACATTTAGCAAAATCTTCTACATGCAAGTAACCATGCTGGGTGCATAAGATATTGTGCTTAATAAAGAAGTATGCTAGAATTCCTCCATACCCTAAGAGAGTTTACATTTTCAGCTCCCTTTACCTCCATGTCAGCCCATATGATTAGTTCTCATCAATGACCCCTGAGTAGTGGTATAGGCTGAGAATCCCTAATCTGAAAATCCAAACTATTTCAAAACTGGAAACTTTTTGAGCACTGACTTGATGCCATAAATGGCAAATTCCACTCTTCACGTGAAAAGTTGCAATCAAAATGCAGGCAAACTAACAATACCATGTAAAATTACTTTCAGAAGTGTATAATATGTACATAAAACATAAATGAACTTTATGTTTAGACTTGGGTCTCATTCCCAAAATAACTCCTTTTATTTACATGTAAATATGATAAGAAATCCAAGATATGGATAAGGGACTTTAGATAATGACTATTCAACATGTATTCCTTTCCTACTCTAACTTTACCTTTCTGATAACAAAGCCCTTTGGGCAGGAGAGCCTCAGGATGGAAGGGGAAGGACACACACTCAATGTTACATGAGTAAGAAATAAGATACAATGTTACATTAATGTAATCTGGGTTTTCAGAACATTGAACAGTAACAAGCAAGCAATACATGATTATAGGTAAACTGACAAAAAAGTATTACACAACATTAAAAGAAGATCATAAGATTTAGAAATCAAGATTTGTAAAGATGAGAAAAGAAATGAAGCAAAGGTTTAAAATGAACCAAAGGAAAAATGAAGCAAGTTATGTTCAAAGAAGAGGTTAAAGGTGTTAATAAGTTAGGTATGAAAAACATAGGAGGTGGGTTAAATCACATTAAGGGAGTCAAATGCCAATCTCAGCTTTTCAGACTTCATCCCACTGAAAATACAAAGTAAGATTTTTAAAGCAAGAATACTAAATAAGATTTGAATAATAAAGCAGAAAGAGGACTGAGCAACAAATTGCAAAAAGAAAGATAAAAGGCTTGTTAAGTGGCAAGAACAGTAATGACAAGGTCAGGCAAAATTGATAGGATGTGTCAACTGATTAGATGTGAAGTGTCCGGGAGTAAAAGCAAAGAGAATAAAGGTTGACCAATGTAATTCTGCAACCTGTACACTCAGAAAAATGAGAAATTATATCCCATCTGATTCAAATGTATGATATGTCAAGATCATTATACTGTCATGTGTAACTAATTAAAACAAATAAAGATAAATTAATTAATTAATTAATTAAAAGGTTGAGCTTTTAAGTTTAGATGACAGAAACAATGAGTGTTGATACAAAACAAACTTACATATATTCCAGGCACAAGTTCTAAACACTTCCCATATATTAAATCTTTAAAATCTCACAACAACCCTATGAGATAGGCACTACTATCTATTTTACAGACAAGCAAGAGGCCCAAAGTCACCCATTCAATGAGTGGCAAAGGTAGGAGTTCAACACAGGCTTACCTAAATTACTATGTTCATCTGTCCCTACAATGACAACTAAGGGGAGAATGGGGGAAGGTCAGGATTCAGGATGCACCTGAGGACAGATAAGGTGGATCAGGACAGATATTTTTCATTTACTGATATGTTGGCCCTTGTAGGCTAACTTCTAGTATCCAGACAATTATTCTAGCGTTTGCCTAAGAGCAATTGCTGTCAGGATTACAGACAGATGAGGTGCTTAGGTTACTTAAACCAAAAATAAAGACCATATAAGAAGGCAGCAAATCTACTAAATATTTTGCAATGCTGGAATTAAAAGATTTTGATTCCCTACAGTGTTCTCTGAATTTGCTGTGTGGCCTTAGAGGTAATTTTGTTGTCTGAACCTTAGATTTCATGTATCATGAAAATATGATAACATCATGAAAAAGTACAACTCAATACATATTTACTAGCAAACACAAGCATAACAACTATAACGACTAACCACCAAATTATGTGACCAATTTGTGCTTCTGAAGATCAGTTTAATACACTGGGTTCACTAAGTATCCTGGAAGAATAAAATACACTTAATAGACTCAGAAGATATGAAAGGCTTGTGTCTAAGCCCTAACAAAAGAAGGCTACAAATTCAAGCCTGAAGTCAGAATGTCCTGAATTTGCCTAGGTAACCACACAGAAGCACCTGATACAAATGGTTTACAGCCTTTACTTCAAGCTTACTGACTCCAAAGGGGACCCAAGAATCTGAATTTCTCAAATGCCCCAAGAGTTCTTATCAGACCAGCATGGAAAAGACTAAATTATTTCACTCTCACAAACAGATATTTCATGAAAAAGTCTGATTTATTATTATCTCATTATGCCTTTTTTCCCCCTTGAAAGTAGTTTCTGAACTAGTCTATAAAAAATAAAATGTAATAAAAAAAGTATTTCTTCTTCCCAGAGACTTACTGGAATTAAACTATAACTATAGTACAGAAATAAAATCATTTTCTCTCTCGTCATATTTCACTGTCAATCTTTAGCTTTACTTATAAATTCTGTAATAAATTCTATTTCAGAAAAACAAGTTGAAGGTGGTAAGGAGGACTAAGGTTGATATAAAATGTACCCAGACCAATACCAGAAATCAAATTTCCTGTTAATCAGGAGTCACAAGCCAATGGGAGTTGGCAGATAACATCAAGGAGCAAAACAGAGCAGATGGGGATGAAGGAGCAATGAACACCTGGATGGACTAAAGGTATTTAGCTCTAGCCAACTGTGACCTTGCCAGAGTGCACCCAGGGCTGGCAAATCTTTGATTCCACCCTCCCAAGATTAATGTGAAATCTCCCAATTTCAAATTTTGTTAATAGCTTATTTGCTCTGTTCTCATGCTTAGGATCAACACATTCCAGTCACTGCCCTGTCATGATGCATGTGCATTTTCCAAGGTATTTGTCTAGAGAAGTAACCTGTCCTTTATTCCACACACAAGTATATAAGTGCCCCACCTTCCACAGTGATCTCCAAACTAGTGTCCGACTTTCTAGATCAAAATGTTTTAATCAGGAGAAAAACTGAGGGCCTGGGTGAGGGAGACTAGAAAACAAGCAAATACAAAGTGTGATGTTAGATGATATTAAAAGGGCCAGGGAATAGAGAAACAGATGGCTGAGGATGTAGCTCAGTGGCAGAGCACTTATCTAGCACATGTGAGATACTGGGTTGGATTCTCAGAGGAAGGAAGGGAGGGAGGGAGGAAGGGAGGGGAAAGAAAGGGGCTACGTCCACCTACAACTAAAAAAAATATTGGGGAAGAAAAAAAGAGAGAGAAACAAAGGGAAACTAGGAAGGGAAGGTTCTCACTGGCCATCTGCAAAAAGGGAATCTACAACCCCACTTTCATAACCCTGGCCTAGGAGACACTGGAGCACATGGCTTATGGGCATTGGCTGAACCTCCCTAAACAAATTTTCTCCACTATAAAAGACACACAACAATTCTTACTTTTAAAGGTGTGTGAAGGTTAAAAGGAAAACTCTGCAAACTATATGCAGGTTTTATTTTTTCCAAACCAGTTTCCTGGCAAAAGAGTGTCAATATAAAACAAAATACTTTATCTTATTTAATATACTCAGGGTCTGCCACAAGGAGGGGAGTGATTCCCTAGAGATTTCTCCTATTATGATTTAACCCCTCATTCATTTATCAATGATAACTAAACTTGTAATGGTGTTTACTGCAGAGAATACCTAGATGAGCAAGAGAGAGGGTAGACCCTGTTTCCAGGAAGCTTTTTCAGTGTAAGAAGAAAGGCAAAAAGTAACAAAAGTAAGAGTATAAATAATGAATTACTCTTTGAGGACAGAGAATGTCTTAAATCATTCTGTCAGCCCAGGACTCATAAAAAGCATTTAATTGTTGAGAGAACACCAACTATTACATTGCTTCTAAGGCTGGCGCCACCATTTTCTAGTAACAAGACGCAACTCAGTGTCTTACTCCTCCCTGTCAAAATGTTGGTGATACAATGGAGTATTACTCAGCCACAAAGAAGAATGAAATTATGGCATGTGCAAGCAAATGAATGGAATGGAGACTATCATACTAAGTAAAATAAGTCAGACCCAGAAAGTCAAAGGTTGCATGCTTTCTCTAATATGTGGAAACTATTCCAAAATAAAGAAAGAAAAGAAACAGGGGTGGGGGTTGACCTCTATCAAAATAGAAGAAAGATCAGTGGAGTAGAGAAAAGGGATTGAGAGAGAGGGAGGAGGGATGGGTTAAGAGAAAAACATTTGACTCAACTTTCCTATGTACATATATGAATATACCACAGTGAATCTCACTGTTATGTGAATTTTTAAAAAAAATTTTTTAGTTGTACGTGGACACAATACCTTTGTTTTGTTATTTATTTTTATGTGATGCTCAGGATCAAACCCAGTGCCTCACATGTGCTAGGCCAGCGCTCTACCACTAAGCCACAACCCCAGCCCCTGTCATAATATTCTTGATTGGTGAACCGAAACAAATTATTTTCCTCATCCATTCACTTACCCATACATGGCTTATTTCAAACCAAATCGCTTTCTGTGTCACACTCACAGACATGCATGTAACCTGTTCCATCCTAAGACCCCTAGGTGTTCTCTTAGCCTTAAAAATGTAATTAACATCTCTAAGGTACACACTCCAGTTAGTGTATTACCTGTGAGAGTTGAGGGCTTCCAAGCAAAGCTTTTAAAAGCATATACAGAATTACACATGACAGTAAACTAAAAATCAAGCTTTGAGAGAGGTAACACTAACCTTCTTATACAATAAGCCTATCATTCTTAGTAATCTGAGGTCAAGGCAATGGCATCACCAGTTAGGAAAATTTGTAAGGTAAAATGTGAAAGAGAAACACCACATCCAACCACACAAAAGAAAGGACAAAACTCTACAAGTGACAGTGAAGTTAAAAAGAAACTCATTAATCATATTTTGTAAATAACATCAATTTATAAATGTGAATGAGGGCATGTGGAGGTTTTCACCTATTTCAAATAAATTTCTTTTTCCTTTCTCTTTTCTTTTTGGTACTGGGGATTGAACCCAGTGGCACTTAATGACTGAACCACAGTCACAGCCCTTTTTATTTTTACATGGGGCTTTGCTAAGTTGCACAGGGCCTCGCTAAGTTGCTGAAGCTAGCTTTGACATTGCGATCCTTCTGCCTCAGCCTCCCCAGAGGTTGTGATCACAAGCGTGCAGCACTGCAGTGGCTGCAATAAAAATCTTCTATCCCAACACACCGTAATGAATTGCCTAACAGTGCAGACCAAAGAACTACAGATAATTCGACAAAGGGAAGATAAAAGTTATTAAAATTCTGTCACAAACGTCTATGATCTTGAGGGCCTCTTACTGTTTTCTCTCCATTTCTTTCCTCATTTTGTAACCAACTTAAGAAACTTGTATTCTGATTCCAAATAATATGTTATAACTACAGTGCTTAAAATTTACTTACAAAAAACTGACCTCACTGCAGAGCAGGGTGCCTGAAGAAAAAATAGATAGGAAAATCAGAATTGGAATAAGGATACAACAGTTACAGAGAATTTATTATGCATCAGGCACTGTAAACTTATATTTGCTCATTTTGTCTTCCAAACATACCTAAGCATAGGTTCTGTAAGTATTCCCATATTTTTCAAATAATGAAACTGAAGCTCAATAAGGTTAAGTGGCTTGTCCAAGGTAATCCGAGAAGTGACAGAACTTGGGCAATTTCCCTTCAGGTGCCAAGCTCTTAATGGTTACACAAATATGTCTCCCCAGCTTTACCACTAACTAGCTATATGAGCTTGGGCAAGTCATGCCTATCCCCTTGGGCCTCAGTTTCTCTACTGTACACGAAAGGGCCTGGAGATTTAAGGTCGCTTCCGGGTCCTAAGACCACACGTTACGTGGGGGGAGGGGAGGAGTTGAGGTTTGGGACCAGCCCGCAGCCCAGGATGCTGCGTCAGGTCAGTTCCAGCCAGGGCCTTCAAGCTTCCCACCCCATTCCCCACCTCAATACAGTGTTCAAAGTGAGGCGCCCCCGGTCGTACAGGGACACCGTGCACCCAACAGGCATTCAATACAGGTGCGCCGTCCCGCCCCCGCGCGGCAAGCCCGACCCGAGCCCCGAGGAGTTACCCGTCCATTACATCCAGGTGCAGATAATCTGCCCCAGAGTCTAGCATCCGGAGGCACTCAGCCCCTAAATTGGCCAGGTCGCTGTTAAGGATGGACGGGCCAATCTTGCAGCCCGACGCCATGGTGCTGGTTCCGTAGTGCTAGTTACCCCCACGAGTCCGCGGCTAGACGAAAGCGTCACCACGATTGGGCGCGCAGCCCGGGCCCCGCCCTTTCCCCCCGTGCAGTCTTCCGGACTCTGCCGGAAGCAGTGCCCTGCGGGAAGGAAGTCCCGCCTCCAGCCCAGGGGCAGGGGCAGGGGCAGGGGCGGGGGCGGGGCATAGGGGCGGGGCCTGATGGGAGTCCTTTTTCCTTCTCCCTCTCTTGACACCCTTACCTTTCGCGGTACCCAGGAGTTTCTTGATCTTCCTCCGCTTTTCTTTTTCTATATTTTATTCTCCTCGGCTCTTGACCTTACTTCTCATTTTGTTTCTCCATTATTTGCTTATGCGTTCCTTTCCTCCGCAGCTCCTGTGTTTGCCCTTTAAAAACAATAACCACCTTTCCCCTGTGCTTTCTCATTCCTAGAACTTTTCTCACAAGTGGAGCAATTCTGGCTGTGCCAGGCTTTAGCAGGGTTACCCGGCAAGTCACTTCTCCATGCCTTGGGTTTCTCATCTGTAAAGACAATGCGCAGTGTTTAGAATTGTTGTGAGGATTAAATGAACAAGGCCAGGTGATGAGCCTTGTCTGGTGCCCAGTACAAAATGATGTTATCATTAGTATCCACCTTTCCTGCCCCTCGCCCACCTTTGTTGTTGTTGTTTTTCCCTCTCAGCAATACTCATTGACATAAGTGACACATTTGGTTACTGTTCAGACACAATACAGAAATGAATAAGTGTCCTGCTGCCAAATGTGTGAAGATCCTGGGTCCTCAAAAGAGATGGAATTAAAACCACATGGAGGAAAATGGATTTAGCAAGAGCAATTCTAGGGAGTAAGGAGAGAGCACTTCCTAATTTGTATTAAAGATATAACTGATGTGTTAACTGGGCCCCCATGGTTTTTATGGACTGTCAGAGGATAATCAGGTCTTTAACACCCCCACCGGGACATCTACCAGTCATTCCAGCAGGTCAAAATCTGGGCAGTGAAGGCAAATTGGGGTACCTGACTCCAATGCTCTGGTTCTGCTTTGTTTGAAAGGATGGAAAGCTGGGGTAGAATAAAGCTGGAAGGGGTGGGGAAAGTGCCTAATTGGAAGGTAACCTCAGGCCAGACTGGAGGTTAAAGAGGGACAGCAAGACATTAACAAAGGCATACCCCAGGGATCCAAAATGAATATTTTCCTGAATGAGCAAACGTTTTCTTCCTTATGGTGAGAAATAAAACTCAGGCATATTAAATGCTCTTAGATTTCTTTTTATTATATGTGCATATTCAAACACAGAAGTCAATATCTTTCATAAATATCTTTCATAAACATTTCAGTATTTATTCATATGCATTTTTCCATGCTCTTTGGTCATTCAATATTCACAACAGACTTCATAGTCATCTGAGGGAAGTTGGCTGTGTAGTCAATCCTTTGTTTTACCTATAAAATGGCTAATAAAGGACTTTCATCCTGTGGTCACAGTGACAATTAAAAAATATTATGGAGGTACATAGATCTGTAATCCTAAATGATCCTAAAATAATATAAGTAAATTTGTCTTAAACTTTTCCAAACACATCCTGCCCTTGTTTTATATTCTCCTGAGTGTCAAATCAAAGTTTGCTTTTGAAATGCTGCAGTTGAGACCCACTAAAGTAAATGAGGAAGTGGGGCATTTTACTCACTGCAAGACACAAGGCCATGGAATTGGAAGTGTGAGGTCACAGGGCAACAGCATGACTTGATGTGATAGCAGCAATTCCAGAGACTGTGCTCTATTAAAGTGTATAACTTGAGGAAGGATATTTAATTCATATTTTGGACTGCCATTCTATTCATTTTTGGCCCTTTCTTTCCTATAGTTCTCTACCTCTACGTATGCTCTATTTTCTTAAAAATTCTCAGAGCTGGGCAGCAGAGTGGAGAAAGTTCTTTCTTAAAGGAACAGATGCTAAAGAAGAGGAGATGTCATTCTGTCTAAGATATTCTTGGAGGCTTGAAGTAGCAAACCATCTACTCCCAATCTGTGCAACATACCCTAATCAGATCACCAATACTGCAGACTCTACCCCCAGCAACACCATGTGCCCATTCATGCCTTTGACACTGTAGTTCTTAATGTCTTGGGACATGCACCCAAGAACTAATTTCCTTTTATGAAAAATCAAATACTTTATCTAATAGAATTATAGAAAGCAGCAAATACTGAAAAATGAAAGTAAAATGATTACTATAGAAAATTTGGTATCCAGGATTTGAACCGGTTAAATTGAATCTGCATATTATGTATCTATACCCACTGTTATGGATAATACATGTTTATTCCAGGGTCTCTCAAATCTTATTTTCTGAATAAGCAACCTTTTTGTTGTGTCCAAGTTTTTATACATGGGAAGTGGGTGCCTATATTTTTTTCCTCTGAATAAGACAAATATCAGTAAGTAACATAGCTTAAGAAATGATCTATTATTACCATACTGTATTTATCATATGTAATAATTAACTTTTAGTCAAGTAGTCAATAATATTTTGAACAATACAAAAGATTGTCAATTACCTTGAACTTTTTTCTTAACTTCCCCAACTGTTGTTTTTAAAAAATAGTTATTCCTTCAAACTCCAGGTGACAGTATTCCTGAGAATACTTCTCATGAGGGTCTTATGCACATACATATAGATACTTTAGCCATTACACTTAAACATTCAACACATTACATTCAACACATTTAAGGACACCTCCAATGGAACAGACACACACATCGTCAAAAATCTCAGTAGTCCCAGTATGAAAACATTCCCACTCTGTAAGCCCCTGTTTCCCAGAATGGGAGGGTTTTTTTTTTTTTCTTTTTTTGCAAGGTATGACATGATTTAGCTTATTGAAAAAGTTTCTAACAGAATTCCATACACTTGAGTGAAAGAGTTGGACTAAAAGGCAGAAAGACCAGCAAAATCATGTTCAAAACAGCTCAATACATTTAAAATATATATATATATATAAAAGATATTTAGGATGACCCCTTACTTTTTAAATATTTGATATACCATAGAGAATTTGAGTCAAAAGTCAAGAAACTGGAACAAAGCACACACATATAGAAAGACTCACATAGCCCAGACAATTGTAATTACCAAACATAAGGCCTCTAATGCTAATTGAGCAGCATGATTTTTAGCAGGTAAAATATATCAGAATCAGAAAACCACTTATATGTCTACTTTTGAACTTGAGAATTAATTCAGCATTAAGTGTAAATAATGTGAAAATGTTATAAAACATAAAAGAGGCCATTTACCTCCTTAATTTTTCTGAATTTTGAGATTTTAAATTTATTCTTTTATCATTAACTCACAGATAGCTTTCATTCTCCTAATAAATGGGACCATAACCCCAAATTATATTTGAAACTGTAAATTATGATATAACCAGTGCCTATTTAATAAGCAAGTCTAACAGAAAAATAATTTTTCTTTATAACTAAGGTGGGTTTAGTAGGTTTCCTCTTTATATACATATACATTTCACAGTCAACATAGTCAACATTTACGTATATAGAATGTATTTTAAATCTCAGTGTAATAAAAGTTTATGTTAAACTTTTACTTCAGGACTAGAAAATACACACACTCACCCAATCATACCAATTTAGGTATGCATATGGATTTTTTTATGTGCAGTAGTTATGTAACAATTTTATAATGTAGACTGTTAAAATTACAAAAATCTATTTTGTATTCTTTGATGCCCAGCCCTTTAATAATCCACTAGATATTGGCCTCAAAGCTTTCCAAATTTCATACTTTATCTTAAAGTAATTGAACTTCAAGTTAAAAGCCTATTTGTAAAATGTACAAGCTGAGTGTACAAGCTGAGTGTCTATGAAGAAATGGCTAACTTTATATATTTTTCCTCATAAACATAGATGTCCCAAGGATCATAAGAGTATTTTTACTATTGAGAAAAAAGTTATTTTACTGAACCAATTCTAACAACACTAACTTTAATGTATGAAAATATGCCCTGAAGGGCAGGCACAGGATACCACAGGGATGCCATAGGGGAAAGTAATCACATTTCCCAATAAATCCGAATCTTGGCATGGGTGTAGTCAGGGCTAAAAGTGGGAATACTACCTCTTTTGATCTATTATATTTACATGTAGATTTTAGAATTATATAGCTGTTTAGATTCTTAATTCAGAATTATAACTGATAATTTCCAAGTATTCTCTAATGTGATTATGAAATGGAATCATCTTATGGCATCAGCATTCTGATTTAAATGTGCACTGAAAATGACAGTTGAAAAATAAATTTTGAAAAGTCCACAGCTCTAAAAATAGTATTTTTTCTTCTTCTAAATGGCTACATTGTTGACCAAAACAAAAATGGCTGCAGGCTTATTTGTTATTTATTCACCCCAAACTAATATTCTCTATATTGATTATTATCATGTAAATCACTACTTGTATAGCCACCTGATTTAATATTTTTGAAGCTATAAAAATAAACATTTGCATGAGATGTATAATGTGAGCAACCTCAAAAAATTGCATTCTTTTCTTAGAATATATTATTTGTTAATATTCCTGTGAAAGCAGTGCTCTAATAGTATAGACTTTTAACTGCTCAAGGCTTCTTGAATCACAAAGTACAGTGAAATGGCTCTTTCCCCTTATTCTTCCCTGGTTTTTCTGGTCTTTACACAACTAAATCCTTTTAGCCTTTGATTTTCAAGATGTTTATGAAACCTACATTACTAGGTATATTAGCAGCAAAATCTACTCAGATTTGTGCCGCTCATTGGATGTAAAGTGCTGTTTTATAATTAATCTTTTTAATTAAAAGCAAAAGTATTCAGCTTTCAACAGAGTGATCCTCTCCCTGTCTTCTCTATACCTTCAATACTAACAAGATACAGAACTAAACATGAGACTCATCTAGGACTACATCTGTCTCCCCCAGCTCAGGAGTAAAAGTGAACTGGCTAGACAACAGGGGGTTCTCCATGCCATTTTCCTCGCTGATGTGAAGCACAGTGTCTCCATGCTGTAGGAGGCTGGATGTCTCAAGGCCTGTGAAGTCATCAGGGTCTGAAAGCTGAGGAGAGAGGGGGCTGTGTGCTGCAGCACCTTGTGCTTCTGTGTCCTCCTTCTTTTCTCCTTCTTCAGTGGGGAGGGGTTCACTCTATGATCAAAAGGATCATAACATTGTGAACAAATAGGATGGATGCCAGAGAAGAATATCAAAGTATGTCGTGCAGCTATAACTGGACAAGGAATCAGAAAGCTAGTCCTGGTTCTAGCCTTTGTTACTGGTAAGATCTTACATAGACCCCTTTAGCTTTCTAAGCTTCAGTTTTCTAACCTGTAAAATGAGCAGAATTTTTTATCCTGCTTATCTTATTGACACTGAAGATCAAATGAGATAATAAGTGTTAAAACATTTTTATATACCTATACAAAGGTATATAGTAACATTGCCCCTTAGTTTTCTTTAAATACCACATTAGAAGAATGTGATTCCTATAGGAATTTACTTGTAAAAATCAAAAGAAGAAAAAAAATGTCAAAATAAGAAAAATATCAAAACAATTAAGAGGAAGATCAAAAAAAAAGTTCCTTTCATCTTACAGGAAACAGAAGGCTCTCAATGTAAAGTCTTCATCTAAATTATTAATTTTATTTATTTTTTCATTGACTATCCTTCAACTAGGTATCATACACCTGTTTTCAATGGTTATTTCAATTGCAAAATATTTTCTTTAGGTTTTTGTAATTAAGATTACAAAGACTTCTCTTGGTCTTTTATAGTTTGGATATGAGGTATCCCCCCAAGTCTCCTGTGTTTATGTGGGAATGTTTGGAGGTGAGATAATCAGCCCATCCTATTGTGAATAAACTGAGTGGTAACGATAGGTAGGTGGGGCATAGCTGCAGCAGGTGGTCACTTGAGATGTGCCCTGGAAGGGTTCATCTTCCCTGCAGCCCCATCCCCTCCCTGGCTGTCATCAGGGGAACAGCTTCTCTGCTGCAATGTTCTGCTTTACCTTGGGCCCAAAGCAATGTACTCTGCTGACTATGGACTGAGACCTGTGATACTGTGAGCCAAAATAAACTTTTCTTCCTCTAAGTTGTTCTTGCCAGATCTTTTGGTCATGGTGACACAAAACTAAGTAGATATATTCCTAGCTATATACTTTACATAGATTTTCTATTTCATGATGGCAATACCATGTTTGGATAAAATGTTACAGACCCAGATATATATGGAATAAATTTGCTTATCCAAATGGTTCCTAGAAATAAGAATGTAGTGAGCAGTCCTTGCCTATTTCTTCAGTGTCCTCACCTTGGGAGATAAGCTGTGGAGATCCGCAACAACTATGGCCGGGGAAGACGTGAGGACTGGTTTGTCCAATCCTTCTGGTTTCCTGCTCAGGGCTGGGCTGCAGCCCTGTGGTTGACCTATGGCAGGAAGCGTGTCTGTTGGGGCAGCGGTTGGCTCTGGCTGAGACTCAATGAAGGTAACAGATCGTTTCTGATCCACTGTAAGTCAGAGGTGAGTTAGTAAATAGGGGAGAAATTGGTGGTTGATGCTTAGTAACTGGCATTAGCCAGTGTCTCCTGGATTTTCTTAATGAAGACATTGCTGGGTTATTAATAAATGAAGGCATATTTGACTGTTTTGTATGCTTTGATTTCAACTTATTATAAACAGTAGGAATTGGTTAGGAAAATCATTTTTAAATAATAAATGGCCTAAAACAAGATTTGCAAGGAGCATTAGTAAACTTGATTGGCCCCTCATAACAACTGTCAAAGGACTTAAAAGTCCCAGAATATTATTCTTCATAGCTTTGTCTTCAGTGAGAAATAATAATCCCAATTCCTTGCTCAAGTAGAAAAAAAAAAAACCACCCTTTTTACTCAAATGTCAGAATATCAATGGTTTGGCTAGGACTCTTCCATTTTCTTAGGTTCATGGGGGTAGAATCAGGGTTAGAAAGAATAAAAAGCATTAAAATTTTCTGGAGAATTTCTTCCCTTATCCTAACACCTCCCCACTGGCGTTTATCTGCATCTGCTCGGTTTCTGCAGGCCTTTTTGTCTCACTTGCATGACATCATTTCAATGGCACAGGCAGAAGGGACCCAGGAGGCCTCACCAGATGGCTTCGTCTTAGGTTGAATACTCCTGCGAGTGGTTGACAGCCGAGCCCCATGTCTGTTTTTGGGTTCAGTCTGAGTCTTCTGCCGTGACAGTAGGGGACGTCTTAGCTAAAGAGAACAGGCAGAATAAAACTGGCAAAGGAGTCCAGCTGCTTGCAGGGAAAGCGGCGCTCAGAGGATTCTGACTATAGCTTTTACCTTTATTTTCATGTTCCCCTGGACTCCTGTTCTTACATTTATAGCTGATAAAATTCTTTCTGCACATTTAACTGTAACTGTTTTCTTCTGGTATCCCTTTTAACCAATTCATTTCCCAATTATTATTCCTTTAATGTTCCTAAGAATATTAATTGACATAATTTAAAATTTTAATTTTGAGAATTTCAGTGGATATACAATGAACAATTATTGCTTACTAACCAATCTTTATTCATCTAAAAGGTATAGTTGAACATATGCTAACTTTCAAGGAGGAGGTTCATTAAAAAAAAAAAAACTCAGATGCTGGCAAAATATCTTGTACCTGAATCAGTCAATTCTGGGAAGTTCCCTTTGAAGAAACAGTGCAGCTTCATTTCTATTTTTATTTAGAAAGTGATATAAAATAACCCTACCTAAGGACATTTGTAAAGGTGATCTTTACTTCAATTTTGGTTTTAAATTAAATCATGAATCTTGAAATGAAAAAGGATTTTTTCATCTTTGTTTCTCTGAAGAAACTGGCCTTAAATATTAAATCAACAGATCTTTCACTCTAAGTGAGATTGATTGTAAAGAAGATTTCTGGGTAGAGAACAAGCCCACTTAACTTTTCTAAGTAATCTTCTTTGTAAATAAGGAGATTCAGATCTGAAACAAAAGCTCAAAACTGTCTAAACACTTACCATGTTTTAAAGTTGCTCTGTACTGCTTATTTGATGTAAAGAGAAGGCAAAATATAATCTTAATATACATAGGCACTAAAATTCAAACAAAGCCTCCATTTCACAGGATGGTTCTTCTATTCTTTCAGGGTCTGCTTACCTGCCTCAAACCCCTCTTCCTCCCCAGTGGCTGCTGAATAAGAAGGTTCTGCTGGCCAGGTTCACTCTGCACACTTGCCACCCTGTCAAGCATCAACAGTGTTAGTGTACCCTAGAGAGAAGGCAGAAGACCATCCTCTGGTGGGTGTTAGCCAAAACCACTTTTATGGAACAGTCACTTCAAAGATACCATTATCTTTGAAGGATGTTTGGGAAAGAGTCCCTGGGATGGGGGTTTTAAAGGTTTGGGTGGGAGGACAAGGCTTTGTAGCCCCAAGCTGCCAAAATTGAGATTCTGTTTTCAATCACTGATACTGTATCTGTCATTCAGCAAAATACTGGTTCAATCACACCCCTGGTTTGGAACCACCAAAAGGTTTATGATGCCATATTCTAATCTCAATTTTTTTCCAAGGGGAAGGGAAAAGGTGGTGACAGACACACACAAACAACTCTATCACATGGATGGGAAACACCTTTTTAAAAATTCCAATTTAAATGAAAATAAGATGGACAAATATCAAACACATCAGACACAGAATCCATTTGGGTGAAGGGGCACATTCAACACATGTTTGCAGCCTGAAGTCTCTGTGACTACTGAGTAAATGAGTAGTCACATGGGTAGAAATTTCAATGTTTTAAAAAATGATTTTAGATTTAAAAGGCTGGCAAAGTAATTAAGCTGTCATTACAACTCAGAAGCTTTAATATTGAGTAGCTGCACTCAAATATATTGTGCAGTTTATAAAAGCAACAACCTGCTCCCCCCAAATTTACTGTGTATGTGTGTTCTTTCATAAGCAAAAAAATGACTACTGGAAGTAGTTGCTATTTTAGTGTTTAGTGAAACTGAAAATATTAATATGGCCCATGGTTCTTTTTCATTCTGCATGCAAGTATCATAGGTATTTATAATGGGGGAGTGGTAAAAAAGAAATACACCGTGCCCCAGACAACACTGTAATTCTGTGGATGATGCCAATGTGATTATTTGGTTTATGGGTAATTAATTTCTGCTTTGCCTTTGCAAAAGGAGAGTCATCTACAGATATTTTTTAGAGTAAACATATTCCACAGAGGAACCCAGAGTCAGCAACTGTCCAGAAAAAAAAGAAAGGTTCTGTCTATTTATTTCCATTTCTTAAAAAAACAAAACAAAACAAAAAACAAAAAAAAAACACCAAGCTACCCAAATACCTAGCTGCAGTTTTAGGAAGAGAAACTGGTGGCAAGATGGGAAATAAGATATGTTTCCCTGTTGTATTAACAACTGGGTAATTATCACATAGTTGACACAGTCACTTTTTCATTTTTAAAAAGTTTTAACTCATATTTTCATTAGAAGAAAATTGATGATTTACAAAAAGGATTTGTCAGTGTTTTTATGGAATAAGGATATAATCACACCATTTAGAGTACACAACACAAACTTGTAAAACAAGTACCAAAAACAAGTGTTTTAAAACTTTTTTGTTCTCCTAAATATCAAGTTCAAAAGATCTATGTACATTATCATCATATATGTATATGTATACACACATCTACATATTCATATATGACCTTATAGCATGTATAAACTTTCTGTGAAGATGAAAAACTATCCCAGTGGACCAGTGTAATAAATTCTGATAATCCAGACTATGTTGCTGGCATGTCTGAAATGACATCTCCTTATAATTATACATTATAACGTGCCTTTTAAATTGAAAAGAGTAATTATCTATATGCACAAAAGTAGAATCAAGTTTCTCCCAATACCAAGCAAAGCTTCCATTGGAATGGATTCTTCATTGACATCTAAATGTTACCTCAGTTCCCTTGGCCATAAAGGGAGGTTGATACTTACCAACTACCTCCCATTAAGGTAGAGAAAAGAAGTTAGTTGATGTCAAATGGTTTGATCATGAAAAGAAATGTATATAGCATGCTTTCTTGTTTTACATTTGATGTTTGTAATGAGTTTATTGCTTCTAGAACACTACAGGGAAATTGGTAATACAATGTTTTGAAAATAGTTGGGCAGAGAAAATGAATTTGAGGCAGTCCACTTGTCTCATTTTTATTCAGTAATCTGAGATTGTGAGGAAAAAAATGGTGCAAGAAAAGAAAAATATGCGTTACTTAGGGAGTGTTAAATGTCAAAACATAATGATAATTTCATGATGATTATTCTAAGGGAGGATCACAAGCACCAAAATCTTCTCTGTGGATAGAGAGGTTTATATCTAAGAAATGTATCAAGTTTAGCTTTAATAATTAGCCGTTCTAGGTAAATAGTAAAGCATTTCATAATGGAATGCATATATCAAAGATGAAATCTTAGAACATGCCCCTGGAAATACATCCTAGCTGATAAATTTATGCTCCCTAGAAATATGATGCTAACATGCTTATATCTGGAACATAAATGGGTGACTTAACTGTGAACAGTTAGGAGTCATTCATAATAAAGAGCCAAGAAATCCTGTTAAAAATGTAATTTATGCAAAACACATTACTTTTTTGTAGTCTATATCAAACTGGAGTCACATATAAAAATTAGTTGCTCTCTGTATTATGTAATATTTCAGTTACCTGTAGGATTTGTTATGTATGACTATAAGATGTGTAATACTAAATCGAACCAACAAAAGACCAAGGTGTTTGCATTAAGAACCTCTCTATATTATACCCCATTTTCTTTTCAGTTTTTTCAAGCAGTTCCATCATAGTCCTCACATACTACAACTGTAATAATAAAATTTATTTTTCTCTTCAAGGAAGTACTATATTTTATTGGACGGTCTCAACGTTTTAAATATTATACTCTAATAGGCCATTGGGTCCTTATGAATAACTACAGTATCTATTTCATGTATCATAGTCATGAAAAGTTGAGATTACACCAAGATTTGTCAAAGTAGTGGGAGAAGTACTAAAAATTCTTATCTCATACAGAAAACTGATTTCTTGACATTTTTAATCTTGAGAATGAGAAATGGATGATTTCCATTTGTCTTGGCCAAATATGGTGAAACAAAAAGCAGAAGAAAACTTTCTAAACTGAAGTTAACATCTTACAATATGTTTCAAAGTAGATCATCCCTTGTTATTTTTGATTAGCTAAAAAGTATCACCTCAGCAAATCATATAATGGTGTAGATTTTAAAGAAGTAAATGCAATTGGGACTCAGCAGAACTAGGTGGTTCAAATTGTCTGTAAAAAACAAAACTTCTCATTCAAAATACAAGGAAGTAATTTACAAATAAAGAAAATTTATATACTATTAGGAAAACAATTCTAACACAAATAACTTCTTTTCCCCCATTTAAGCATGATGGCCTGGGTTGTAGTATGTAAACATATATGTATACATAACTTGGTTTCTTAAAATAAGGAATAGGCAAACAAGGGGCCATTCAGTAAGGCAATAAAAATTCATCTCACTTGACTCAAATTACAAAAAAAATTATAAAAGATGGAAGTATATTTCATTAGAAAAAAAACTTAAGTAGAAGCACTGAATGAGAACAACACATGAAAAAATGAATGAGTATTTTTATTGCTTCTATCTGTGCCTTTGTCTTTAGTTTTAATAAGGTTATAGATGTCTGGAGGTTGAACATGAGACACACAGCATAGCCATTTACCCTGGGTGATTGCCTTGCGATGGAAATTCATAAATCCAGCACTGAAGGAGCCATAAGGCATTTTTAGAAAACAGGGAAAGAAACAGTAGACCAAATCCTACTTCCCCCTTCCCAATAAAAATTATTGTTTAAAATTTTCTTAGCCTCCACAACATCCAGGAAAATATATTTTAAGTGCCACAGATTTTAGAAATTAGAGGCTGGAATAGAAAGGGGGGAAAATCTGGATTTTAAATATCTTATAAGAACCAATTCAGCAATGGCAAAGAACACATCTGAGTGTTACAACACACATTTTCTTAGCCATTAATTCTCAGCTACATAAAAAGTTGAAATATTTATTGTACTTTAAGAGGACTTGCCAAGGTTTTATGCTGTGAAAATGTAGATGACCATGAGATGGATTCTACTAAATAGGTTATCTTTATTTCACTTACACTATAGTCTTGTTCAAATTGAAGCCACATGCTTATTTTTCACTGTGATTAAAATTATCCTGACAAAATCAAATAACCTAAAAATTTCTCTTTAAAATTAGATTTTTGCCTTTCTATATATCTCTTATCCTAAAAATAAAATATGACCATGGTGTGTGCATGTGTGTGTGTGTGTGTGTGTGTGTTTGGGGTGGGGGAGGGAGAGAACATCTATACTGAGTTTCTACACCTCTTCACCCTCCAGAGAAGAATATTTTTCCATGGAATATTGATTGCTTCAGTTTATGAATTTCCAAAGAAATAATTTTTTATTCAAAGCACAGTGTTCCTAACAGGGTATTTCTTGGGGTGAAGTTTTAAAGATAAACATGTTAACATAATTTAAAAAAAATCTTAAATCTTCTATAGGTGTGCAAAATTGCTTATTAATTTCCTCCTATTCATCCAGTTTTCTTGGTCTCTTCCTCATTTAGCCCACTCAGTTCAACTTGCCCATTTGCCTAAAACAAGTGCTCTTTCACAGGCCAATTCTCATGAAAGTTTAATCAAAATGTTATTGGGGGTGAGATGGGAAGAACAGGATTTATTATTTTTCCTTAGGCATGATTCCTGATGTTTCCTTGGGCCAGATTTTCCTTAGGAGTACTTTGAGTGTATTTTAGGTCCTGAGTACCAGAGTATGTGCTAACTGTAATTTACATGGTTAGTGCCTTACTTGAGGATTTTAAAACTATGGAGTAATAAAGCAGTCTCATGCCAAAAAATAAGAAAGTCTGGAAACCAAATATAAAAAGTATACTATTTTATAAACCCACCTCTTAGTAAATACCAAAAAGTTCCTCTCCTCCAAAGAGAACTTGGTGACATGATGGAGTTCAAGAGATACATTGCAGTATATGGCAAAGGTGGATGTGCTAACTGGTGGTGGAATGCCTCTGTGTTAATAGTATTATTTCAGAATCCAAAGTGAATGCCTCATCTTCCCATCTCTTAATGACGACAGCTGGGTCTAGGTGACTGACACCCAGAACTACAATACAACCAAGCAACAGATCAACAACAGCTGATGTAAGACAGCCATCAAAATCCTGACCACCTTGACTAATTCAGCTATAGATAAAATTTATAGCTTTAGCTCCAAACCAGTTTCACCTAGCACAAACTTTGAGTTAATTCCCATTAACACTGGACCCAGGGCAGCCTGAATTGGTTTAGATAACTTCAGTCATTTGAACCCTGAGTCATCCAGAGAAGGCCAAATCATTTGGACAATTCATAAAAATAAACTCAGTCCCCTGCCTCCTCTCATTAACTCTAGACTGGTACTTATACTCAGCAAAAGGAGAATTTGGCCTAATTAGAAAAGTCTACCCAAATGGAAGCCCAATTTAATACTTTCTACTCTCAGTAGGCCACTGAAATTATCTTCTAATCAAGTTTCTTTTGTCCAACATGCAATTTTAAGCATTAAGCAAAAGCATTCTTTGAAAGCAATGGTTACACTGCTAGACTTGGTTCAGATGCTTCAGACACTGTAAACAATTAAGGAAAACCCTCTTAAGGATTGTTTTGTTTCTCAACTTCTTCTTTGTCCCTACAGCTCTTGCTAATGGAATTAAGTTTGCATCTTCAGCACTTCCACATTTACCACCAATAAGAGACTGATCTATCAAGGCAGGGGCTCGCAAACACAAATGAATGTCATGAATCATGGATCCAGTTAATAATAATAATTAAAAAAAGACCCAATGATGGACTAAATTTCCCATTTTCAATTGCAAAAGAAAATGTGAAATCCAAACAAGGTGCAAGGAAAACAAAAGACAACCTTTCACAGGAACGGCCTCTCAACATTTCCTCATCTTTGTGATAAAGCAATAAACACGGATATATTGTACTCACTACATAATGTTTTACCTTGAGATGGAACAAAGACACTCTAAGGATGAACAAGAAGCATTACCCCTAATGAGGATTAGTTGAGAGGTGTAAATTAACAGCACAAGATTAGGAATGTTTGACGTGGTTTATCTGAGTGTTAAAGGTGCAGTCCCCTTCTCTGAGCTTTAAATGAATAGTCAAGACATATCATTTGCATGAGACTTCTCTTACCAGAAAATGTTTTGTGTCTGATATTTAATGGCAAGTTTAAAGTAATCTTTGTGCTAGAACAGACATTTTTTTTCTTATGTGTAGTTTGAAGAAGCTACTATTTTAAATAGCTTGCCAAATAGCATACATCAAAGAGAAGGAATTATATAAATTGTAGTAACATGATTATTCTTCTGATAGCATGGTTGTTTTCTTACCATCCATGGTATCAGCTAAAAGACCTGGCTCAATTTAATACAAGTACTTCTAGATGATGGGAAGTTGTATTAAAAGGCCTCTGAAAAGCAATTGTTAATTAATCTCAGTGTAAAAAGGAATGATTAGATGGGACAAATTTAACATTTGGCATTATCAAACTTTCTGTTTATGGGGTGGTGGTGCTGGGGATTGAACCCAGGGCCTCACATGTGCTAAGCACATACTCTACCACTGTACCACTGAGCTACACCTCTATCCCCTGACATATCAAACTTTTTAGACATCAAGGGGAGAAGCCCCATAGAGAATTCTGTAGATTTGATTTTTTTTTTTTTTTTGGTAAGATTTTTTAGGCCATTCATGATTCAACTCTGAAGCTGAAAATGATGGAGGGTTTGCTACACCTTTGACTTCCAGGCTTGAGTGTTCATGAACAACAAAGGGCAAGGAATGGAAATAGGTATCAAGACTGGGAGAGAGGAGACAGAGAGACAGAGTTGACAGGGAACAGCTAGTTTCCCAGCACAGACACCAATAGACAGGTAGGCGTTGACACTGTACCTAGAGAGGCTGCCCTCAGCGGCCAGGCCCTGGGAGTCATCGAGGACATTAGGTTCACTGCAGGAGGGGTAGGGAGATGAAGCATTTAGGGAAAGAAAGTGCAAAAAGAAGAAAAAAGAAAACAAAAAGAAAAAAGAAAGAGAAAAAGGCATGCAATTTTCTGTTTCCAGGAACCAAAAATAAATTTAACAGAACAAGGAAGGAAAAGGAGACAGTCAACCATTTCACCTTGTGCTGGGTTTGTCAAGACATAGGACTCAAGGCAATGGGGAAGGAAGGACTTTGGATGGATAGGACTCTCAGAGGAGTGGTCTGTTTATTGGTCAAGAGTTAAAATGAGCTCCAAATGGACAAATGAGCTCTGAAACGCATTAGAGAATGAATCTGTAGAAGATGATACTATTATTTCTTTGGTAACCATTTGGTTAGGTGGTTATTATTTTTAACCTATCTCAAGTACTTAGTTCTTTATTGACCGGGACCCTGCTTCTTGTGCAATCTATGACGAAACCACTTACCATAACTTGCCACAACCAAACTCTTGGAACCAATGCCATTAAGAAAAGCAAAGAATGATATCAATTTTCCCTGCTTAGTTTTGCATTAAAAATATAAGTAAATGAATGGAAGGACGATATTTTGGAAAATTCACATTTACCTCCTTACTCTCCATCCTCTAATGACTGAATTGTAAATGCTAAAAGAAGAAACCTGTCAGGTTGGTGGAAAAAAATTATTTTATTGATTTATTTGGATGTAGATAGACTGAGATTTGTGAAAAGAAAATGTGTGATACTTTGGTTTTCCTTTGTGCATCACATTGAGCCATGAGGCACTCAAAACATACTTATGGAATTAAACCATTTAGGAAACTGAAGTAGCCCCAAAGAATTGAGGTTTGCTTGATTGTTAAAATAGTCTCTGTCCCCAGGAAGAGGCTAATTTTCTCTAATGTGCAGAGACAGTATTACCTTCACTAGTCTTCTGAAATATGATTCAAGTCCAAATGGATTAACTATTTTATCTTTTCTGAAGTTCTAGTATATTTATATACTAAAGAGATTTTCTCCCTGAAAACAATGTTTTTTGGAGAGGTGTACCAGGGATTGAGTTTAGGGGCACTTGACCACTGAACAACATCCCCAGCCCTATTTTGTATTTTATTTAGAGACAGGGCCTCACTGGCTTTGAACTTGAGATCCTCCTGCTTCAACCTCCTGAGCTGCTGGGATTACAGGCATGCGCCACTGTGTCCAGCCCTGGAAACAATTTAAGCCATTAATAACTATGTAGAAAGGGAATTGATAATCTGGATTATTTTAGGTAAACAACATAAAAACCTTCTATTTAAAATTCCTTTTATTCTATGGTTTAAATAAATTGCTAGCTTTATTCTTGCTATAACCTTGTACATTGCTACAAATTAAAAATAAACTAATATCTACTAATATTAAGTGCTTATGTGACTTCACATCTTTTTTTGGATACACTGTTGGGCTTTTTAATTTTTTTGATTACAAATTTTATTTATAAAGTTTTTTTTCCAAAAGAAAACTAAAAATATTAGGCTAACAAATATACAATGATAGGAACCTTTATATGTTGATATTTATAATAGTTAAAATACATATACAATATTATTTTCTTAAAAATATACAATTTACTTGTTAGTCACCTTTATCATTTCACCCTGTTCTTCGATATTCTTCAAAGGTTAGCTTTATTTCACAAACTTTATTTCATCAGTGCAGTTTTCATGAACCATTTGTTAAAGGATTTGAGTACAGGATAATTATTCCTACATATATATTTTTTAATCTGATCATTACCATGAGCCTGACTTATTATTTTCAGTGTGTGAATGGGCATGAAAAATATGGTGGGTATTAAAAATAAACAACAAACTAACAAAAATCCCAGAAAGGCAATTCTTTGAAAGAATTCAATTACTGACATGAAAATGTCATTGTTTTTAAAATAGATAATGTTTGACTCTTATGTCAGATCATTTTCTATATTATACTTTTATTATATCTTAGAAGTTTTAAAACTTATGTTCTTAGATGGCAGATAACACAAAAAGGAAATGTTAAAAGGGTTTAGTCATGGAATCATAGAGCTATATATAGAGAAATTGCTTTAAAGATCATTTTGGCCAACCTCCTCATTTCACAGAGGGAAAAACTGTTAAATGACCTGTGCAAGGTCACACACAGTGGCATAGGTCCCTTTCTGCTTGGTTAAACATCCCTACCTCCAGCTGAACCCTGATGACATATCAGAAGCCTAAACTTTACCAAATATACCAACCTGGTCCTAAGCTCTTGTCAAATTCTCATTATTAGCTTAGTTAATCATGAATCTGAAATGTAAGAATGCCATTAGACCATCAGAAAGAAGACAGTATATCTATTTATGGAAAAATATAAAGGAGAGACAATGCTTTGGTTAGAAATTGGGGTCCTTCTAGTAGCCTGGCCTAGAAAACTGCAAATTATTGCTTGCAGGTTTGTAGTTGAAAAATCCTTTGTTGAATGGTCTGTCTGAAAACATAACTGTCTCTTGCTTCTCCTTCAGTCTTTGTAGAATAACATGAGTATATTTTCAGAATTTCTACCTTTGTCCCCAAGTGCCAAGTATAAGATAGCATAGCTCTTTACCTCTGGCTGGGTAACATGCCCACCTCAGCCTGAGGTGCAGACATGCTGGAGACATGGCTAGAGAATCGACGTCTTCCAGTGGCACTCAGGAGGTAAGCTTCCTGTTCACTTACCACACTGGGCATGCTTACAGAGTCGTCTGAAAGGGCAGAGGGACAGAGTGTTATAAAAACAGTGATACTAATCAAAAAACACCAACCACAGTTCTACTTAGATTCCATCTGTGGCTTGAGCATAATCCTAGGGCTGTCACTAAAACTAAATTATCATTGATTTCTTTATAAGGATGAAAAACTAAGACCCCAGGGACCTATGACAGCTCTTCAGGTCCACATATCTCCCTCCCTCCCAACTAGAACAGTTTTCATAAAATAAATGTAAACTTCTTGTCTGTTTTACAAGTATATTATTTCTGAAAAGTTAACAGGCACTTGCAAATTAAAGATCTGAAAGCTAGAACTATATAAATTTTTAAGACATTCCAGGAATAGTTTAATAGGGAGTTTGTTATTGAATGAGTAAGTATATTTCTTTGACTTTTAAAAACTACTTTCAGTACATTATATGATTTCTCTCTTGTTTTGAGAAAGACTATTTCAGATATTTGGGGGAAAAATATTTGAGAAACTTTAAAGTTCAGAAATAAGTTCTTATTTTAACCAAAATTTTTAAATTTACATATATAATCTTGTTTTCTCTATAAAAGCAGAAACTAATATATTCAAATCCAAATTAACTTTAGCACAGTATTTGTGACAAGCTGACTTTTCTAAGTGAGTTAATATTTATTGCTGAACACTAAATATTCTTCAATAAGCATATCATGTTTTGGTGAATATATCTACTATATAAAATTATTCAATACCATCTATTTAAAATAATCCATGGTAATATTTATTTTTTAAAATGTATTTTTTAGTTGTAGATGGACACAATACCTTCATCATATTTATTTATTTATTTTATGTGGTGCTGAGGATGGAACCCAGTGCCTCATACATGCTAAGCAAGAGCTCTACCACTGAGCCACAATCCCAGCCCCAAATGATAATATTTCTAATTGAACTTATTTTGAAAAAAAAATGAATATGAAAAGTGCTAGAAGTTTTAATTTGTTGTGTAATGACTGACTTGAAATTGATTATTATAGAATGGCATTTCCTTTTTAGATGTGTTCATAGACAAAGCTATACAAAACATGATAGAATACCTTGAGCTATTTCTACAAAGGCTGTTTCTAGATTCCACTGTCTACCCCTTATTTGAACTCATATCACTGAACACTTACTTCCCCATATTTGTTTGGTGATTAATCACATTTGGTCTTCCACTAAGCCTTTTGTTAACTGTTCTATGTTGTGAATGCCTATCATTTCCTCTGTAGGACTACATCTGACATCTTAGAGAGCAGAGAACATGTCTTTCTCATTCTTCCTTGTCTGATGTCTGATAAGTGTTAAGTACAGGTTCAATGATTGGAAAAAATAGTTTAATTTTTAACAGGTAAATATCTGGCTCTCATACCCCTCTACCATATTAATTAACATATACCCACATCACAACCACACTTCACCATTTGTTAGTAACCTGCTTTCATCAGGATGACTGTGATGTCTGAGAACAGAGATATTAGCAAAAAATTGCAAGCTCTCAACCAATGATATTCCTAAGATCTTAGCCACCTTTGAGTATGGCATCTTCTCTACTTTTTATCTGTGGCTCCTTCCCACTGGCTAGTCATCTGCTTATTCACAAGGTTGCCTGCAAAGTAGATTTAATTCTAAAAAATAAAGGTAGTATCATTTCCCATCATGAAAAAAAAAACATGACTAATTCAAACATTAAAGACAAAATGGATTTTACTTTAAGTTCTGAACTATTACCAAGACTTAATGTTTATTTTGAACTGCTGATCCTTGTCTTTCTTCTCGTTTCTCTTTCTCCCTCTTCTCTCTCTCTCTCTCTCTCTCTCTCTCTCTCTCTCTCTCTCGTATTGGGATTGGATACAGAGGCACTTTGCCATTGAGCTGCATCCACATCCCTTTGTATTTTTTATTTTGAGACATGGTTTCACTAAGTTTCTGAGACTGTCCTTGAACTTGTGATCCTCCTGCCTTGGCCTCCACAGTCACTAGGATTACAGGCATGTACCAATGTACCCGGCACTCATTTTGTTTATTGGTCAATAATTTTCAATTTTCTTTAAGCAGAATTTGAGGTGAATTTCCATGAGCAGTCACCAGGGTAAGTTAGACACATTAACTGTACAGGTTGGATGCAGACAATATGATCATCCCTTTTTCCGACTAATATTTTATCTGACTAATCCAGAAATATTACTGATAAGTGTTTTGATGAGGCATTTCTTTTTTTTCCTGTTCTACGTACCCAACTATAGTGAGACACTGAAACACTCATTCATCTTAGTTAATTAAAATTCTAGCCTCAACTCCCAATTCCTCTATTTATTTAGTTCAGAGATGGGATTTTTGTTGTTTGGTATGAAGAGCCTAGGAGTGAGGATCTAGATTTTATTCTCAATCTTAAGGCACTGAAAGCACAATTGTGCTTTAAGTATTATATCAAGGTGTCTCAAAACACAAGTGGAAAATAACCAAGGCCATTTAAATGACAGTGGCTTATAATGGAACCTCTAAATCTTACTTTTACTTCTTAAACAGATTCCTCTTCAGGATATATATGAAGTATTTCTTGAGCAGATTCCTCTCATTTCATAACACTGCATCTTCAGCATACCATTAGAAGCTCCTGGACTGACCTCATCACTGGACTGGTTATTCTCTGAACTCAAATTTGGGTAATCCTCCCTAAAGACAGCCGCCAGTTTTATTTTGACTGGCATAGCCAGTTAGTTTCTTCTGAATTCTAAATATACACTCTGCCCACTTTCCTTGCCCAGTGGGGTCATGAAAGTGCTGGTTAGCCCTCTAAGCAAAATGTCCAGGAGAAAAAGAAATGTCACATATCCACAATTTAAATGAGTTAGTAGAAAAGGCTGAAATATGTAATCTGAAAAAAAAATTAAGGGGTCTTCTAAAGATTTACTTTTTGCCTGAATTCTTTCCAAATGACAGAGGCTATCAAGGAATTTATAGAAGAGCAGGAGTCACAGAATCCGTCACAATTCCATTTTGAATCTTTTTTTTTGTGAGCATGACTGATGGGATCAGAACTTGAGATGGTGAAAGGTAGAACTTCTTTCCAAGCCCTCACTGACATGACCAAGCTATCTCCTGCCCAGATTCTTTGGAGTGACCTACTTTCTTCATCCTCCTCGTCAGTCCGACTCAGGGTATCCTGGGAAGCCTGCTGGGATGGCTCGCTGTCCTGCTCCCAGACAGTGCCCGTGCCCGTGTTAGAGCGGGACATGGTGGCCAGGCTCAGGCGGTAAGCAGAGGTGGAGGTGCCCACAGTACTGATGGATGTCTTCCCTTGGTAGGCTGGAGAATAGAAAGACCAAGGGAAATTCATGTGAGGCTCTGGAAAGAAAGGAAATGTTTGCTTCAAAGTTCTCCCTGACCAACAGTATCTTTTTAGTTAAACAGTATGTCTCAAACAATCCTTAGGACAAAGTAGCAAATGGAATTGGGAATGTTAACAAAAGCAAAACAAAAAACACAGAAAAATCAATATTGGCCACTGATGCACTTACAATCTAATAGTTTGTTGGTGAGAACATGTACATCCCTAACAATGTAAAGTGTTTATTGACATCGTTCCCCTTTTGTTGCTTTTCTGTTTTATTTTCCAAGGCTGGTAGGACACAAATTAATTTTGACCTGAATTGCTACCTCCAACTTGCCAATTTTTACTGAGACATATACATATATACCTTCTCTGACACAGCATATGGAAATAAAAATAAATCATAAATAAATGATATGAACCCCATAATCAAAATCAGTACACATAACTGGGTGCAGTGGCATATGCCTATAGTTCCAGCTACTCAGGAGGCCAAGGCAGATTGACTGCAAGCTTGAGCCCCCCCACCCCCCCACCGGGCATCTCAGTGAGATTCAGTTTCAAAAATAAAATAAAAAGAGATACAGATGTAGCTCATAGGTAGAATACTCCTGGGTTTAAGCCCTAGTACCACATATTCCACAAACACACACACACAAAAACAAAAATCAGAATACGTATCAAAACTTCATTCTCATTCTCCTTTCCTGGAAATTATTATACATAAAGTATCTCTCAGTTCTATCAGATTTAGATCAGATTCTTTATCAGTTTAAGCAGAATATTTGAATGGCAATGTGAAAGTTTCAATGAGTTTGCTTCTCAAAATTTTTGTCTTTAACATATTATCTGCAAACAACAAAAGCTTTAGAAAGAAACAAAAAACCCAAGCCTAACACATAATATTTTACTTATGGATAATGATTGCCCTCTAATGATTGGCAGAGGTTTTTTTCCTTCCACATTAATCTGCTATTTATATAATAGTAAAAAGTAAAGAAAGCAAAGTCAAAGAAAATCTTTTGAACAGTATAAATGCCTCTTAGCCTGCCAACTCTAATTTACCTCTCCCCAATTTCATTTGGAAAAGTTAAAGGCTTTTCTGATTTAAAATAAATCCCCTCCAAATTACCACTTTCTCTGCATATAAGTCGTTTAATCTCTATTGAATCTCAAATTCTCCTTATTCAAATGCACTTTCAATAAGGCACCTTGCATGTATTTGTGTGAATTAAAGGAAATAATATCTGTGAAACAATCTACCATATAACAGATGCTCAATAAATTTAAGTTCCCCCTTTCAAAAAGGAAACAAAAGAATTCAAACAGGGTTCCCACTAATTAAATATTCAAGAAAGAGCTAAACTACCAAAATGAAGATTTAAAAAATATTTAGAAAAGAATAATACTACTCCTTTGGTACCCCTTTGATTTTTGTTTTCCTGTTCATGATGATCACCTGGTCAAATCTACTGTTACATCATGACAGGTAGCTTAGACATGGTTCCCAAAAAGAGGAGTATCCAGGGCATAGGGACTATTTGTAGGTCGTATTTTTACAAAAAATTCAAATTATCTCCATGCATACTTACCTGAACCACTGTGAACCGCTTCTTTTAGAATTTTTAGTTCACTATTGAACTCAGCAATGAGTGAACTCTTGCACAAAGGGCGTGGTATGAAGCGCCGCTCCAGCTGGTCAGCAATGTGTTGCCGAGCAGAAAGTTCTTCATGATTCTCTGCTGGTTGGGCCAGAAGCTAAAAGGAAGGCATTGAGTTCTCAGGGCATTAATTTCCCCATCTGAAAATTAAGCTAATTACTATACCTACTGCAAAGTTTAGTTGAGAGGAATAAATAAGATAGCGCATGTGAAGTCCTTAGAATAGTACTTCACAGAGGAAGTGCTTTCTCTATGCAGGAAGTACTTTCTCTACACAGGAAGTGCTTACTCTATACAGGAAGTGCCTACATTGCTTTGATTCTCTGCCTTCAAGAAACAGAAACAGGAAAAGGACAAGAGTAGATGCGCAGATGTGTACTAAATACCTTGGAGGAAAAGCATGCCTTAAATATCCCATCTTTTTTCATATGTTTAAAATAATTATCTCAGTCATGCCACAGACAATAGAACAACATTCTCCAGAGGATTCCATTAGACCCATTCTTTTTTTGTTGTTGTTTTTTAAGGGGAGGGGGCTAATAAATGGGGAAAAGGTTAAGTTTTATAGTTTCTGATAATTGTGAAGGTACTTCTGAAGTGAGATTTTACCATCTGGACACATTTGGGGGCTGTTTCCTCATCAAGCATGGTATCAACGAGCCCTGCTAGCTCGCTACAGTACATCCCACATGCCACACTCCTGCCACAATCCTGACTTCCTGAAGAGCAGCACATTCACAGAGCTTTCACTCCAGGAGAAGCACACACCACACCTTGCACTGGATGAAAGGGCGCAAGAGCACGAAAATGGGTATCCGGGTCCGCACAATGAAGTCGAGGAAGTCCCACAGGGCCAGGCCGCCCACCTTCCGCAGAGCCATCTCCTTCACCTGCAGGCTCAACCAGTACCACTGGCTTCCCAGCTGCCTCTCAAAGCAGACGAGAATCACCTTCAGAGCTTTACACCAGGAAAAGAGAAAAGTGAGACTGAGGGCTGCTGCTTGAAGGAACCCTACCCTGAGCCTCTACCCTGGATGCATCAGGAATTTTTCTGAATTTCTAAAATTCAGTTATTTCCAAAGACTCAACATGCATTCCTGAGTGAGTGTTCCTGACATCAAGGTGAAAAATTGTATAAAACAAATGTTTTGATGCTAATTAGAATACAAATATCTTTGTTAAATGCATTGAACTCCTATTTTGGAAAATACAAAGTAGTCCACACCCGTGAATCCCTGGTTCTAATGACATTTCTATTCCATTTTGTGCTGGCCAATGTTGATTTTCTGCCTTTCTGCTTTCCACCTTCATCAGAATAACACAATACACAAGTTGTATAAAAGGGGCTCAAGAACACAGATGCTAGATGACTTGATTTGAAATCTAGCTTGACTTTGTGTCTTTAGGCAAGTTACTTAACCTTTCTGGGTCTCAGTTTCTTCACTCCTAAAATAAGAATAACATTAACTTCTTAGAATTGTGGTAGGCATGTGAGATTTCACTGTGAATATTATAAAGCACCGAAAACACTGTTTGATGATTAATAAGTTTTCAAAATAAAGTAAAAAAAATTAAAATAGAGATGCAGTAGTCTGACCAAATAAACAAAGTAAAAACAAATCAAAACCCTTCATTAAAAAGGCAGAAAGTGGGGAGGACTGAAAAATACTTACTCATCAAGTGTTTTTATCATATTCTTGGCTTACATAGTAAGCCATTTCTCCATTAGACTCTGTGTGCTCCCTAACTTCATTTAGGGCTCTATGTCAAAGTTTGGACCTTATTTAAACCTGACTTGTTTTCATGCCTGGGATAACTGAGCATCTGTATGGATAGGTCCTGTGCACATGCATTTTTTCCCCTTCTCTTTTTTCATCACATCCCTTTTTAATGCCGTCAAACATCCCACACACTCCAAACTCCAAAGTCCCATTTTTAATCAGTGTTTGAAAAATGTCAGGCAAGATTTTCTCAACTTTCTCCTTTTGAGATTTCCTATGTCAGTGCTTCTTATTCTCACTCCTATGGTAAGAGTGTTTTTTTCCCTTCCCTGAGGTCATTCAGGACCAAAGAGTGATTTTCTATTGTTCCATGGAAGAGAAACAAGTTAAAGGCATGGATAGTCTAGGGAAAAGTTGGAATTGAATCAAGAAGGGAACTGGGAAGCCTATGGGGAGAGAATAAGTGGGATGGTAAAGATCACAATGGAAATTTAAAGATGACATTGAAAAGGAAAAAAAAATTGCTAGTAGGGGGCATAAGTACTGAAAGTCCAGCAGGTCTAACAGCACAGGCTAAGGACTGCCTAATTCCAAGGGCTCCAATCACATAGCTGACAGACCAACCCAGGAATTGTACTTTTATACCAGGCTGTGTAGATCTGATAACGACTATCAAATCTCACAAGAGATCTTGTACTTAATGAACAAAAAGGAATCTTTCCTGAAGATACCTTTCTTTTTATAAGCTGTCTGTCCCAGACAGCTTATAAAAACAACAAAGTAATTTAGGCATTGTAGATATGAAAATACTTTGTTTTGACATATGTTTACTGAAGAAAACAAGATTTTTCAAGGATGTTTCTTGTTTAAGTGGCTTCTTTAAATACTTTGAGGCAAGGTGGAGAGAGAGTGGGGGCAAAGCACCCACCCAGGTATGCTGCTTGGCTGGTGGACTCAGCCAGCCCTTCCCTGCGCAGATCCTTTCCTGCATCCCCAGGGGTGGAGCAGTGGGCAGGGGAGCTCTCCAACATGAAGTTCTTGCTCCTAGAAGTGCTGATGATCCGGGGTGGCAGAAGCACATTAATCACCGTCTGCAGCAGCAGCTGCACCTCAGGCTGCTCCAGCCATGGGCTATCTGAAGGGCAGAGTTTGGGAGAGGAAGCAAGCATAAAGGAAAACAGTCACAAGGTAGACTTTCCACATTAGACATAGAAAAATTCAGTTCTTTTTCCAATTCCAAACTAGAACACCCTGGAAATTGGGTATTTCCTGCCAAGTACAGCTTCTCCCACGGACGGACACCAAGTTCCTGGCACCTGAGTATTCTCCGTAGTTGGTACCCAAAGAAAAGCTTGCGTTCTTAGCCAAATCTCCTGCTTTCCATTTCAACCTTCTTTGTTTTCACAAATACTCAAAATGAACTGACCTTACATTTGAGGTAAGCATTTCCTAAAAGAAACCCCCCCCTAAGAAGGAAGAGTAATGAAAAAAATATCAAAATCGAATACAGTGGCAGAATTTCTGTAACCCCAGTGGTAGTATTATAAAGTCCATTCACCTGTCAATTCTCATCATATTGAAATTTACTTCAACTAATACCATTTTTCATAACTGAATTGAAACAAGGTACTCCTGGTTTTTTGCTGTACTGAAATGATTTTAAATAGGACGTATCTTCTAAGAAGAAGAGCAGAGAAACTCTTGTTCCAGGGCAGCTAAACTGAAAAGAAAGAAAAATTCTTATTTTCTAAGGTAATCCTATTTAAACCCTTCAGATCAACTTCATGTGATGGCCTTCATGGGAAAAGGAAAAAAGAAGTAACAGCCTGATATACATAAGAAAACACAACAACACTGATAAATTGCCTTTAGTTAAATTAATCAGACCTTTGCTTCCAGATCCTACTGTGAGCACAAATGGGATGAGTAGATTTAAAAGCATCCCTTCCCTTCGCTCTTGATTGGTGAATGGGGAGATCACATGGCTTAAAGGAAAATCTTCTTTTAGTGCCTGTGCAGCAATAATAGAAAAAAAGATTAATTGACCACCATGCTCATTTATTATGTTTGTTTTCACACAGCATGATGGAGACGGTGACCCCCTGCTGACTTCTCCTGTAAACTATGAGTTCAATTGTCTTCTGTGCAGCACAGCAGATTCAACCAAAACTGATACTGTACCATTTGCTACATTCCTAAAAAGACAGCAACATCTTGAATATTAAATGGAAAGTTATGACACTTAGGGTCAGATAAAGAAATAACCCTGTATCCCCATTAATTTTCTTCATGTTTCCACCAATAAATATTGTAGAGACAAAAGGAAGAAAATGAGAACTTGCCACTTGCTCCATTTGAGAATTATTAAAAATCATCTGACCCCTGCCTAAGGCTTTCTCTGAGCCAGAAAGCAATGAGCAACACAGAGAGAAATAAATGATCTTTAGAAATGGGTTATTAAAATGTATCACATTAGGGATGTCATTGCTTCCCTTTAGCATGGTAACCACAGCTCTTAATATGTGTGCTATCATCTACCCATTCTTTGGATGACGACCATCAAGCTTAGAGGTCAGATAATAGGTAAATAAGTTATCCATTTACATAACTTGCATACTTTCCATTGATCATAGAGCTTTTCACTGGTTTATTGATATTTAAAGTTGATTGACAGAATTAGGCAGGGGAATTGGGATTCTGTACTTTTTGCTTTGGAAATGATTATTTTAATTTTAAGAAATAAAGTGGGGGAAATTTTTAAAAAGCACCTACAATATTCAACCCACAATCATTAAAGAAAATTAAGATATTCAAAGTCTAGTAATTTGAAAGAATCTTATATTGTAATTCTTTCTGAAAATACCTTAAAACCAGACTTTGAATACTACTGCCTGTTTTAATTAACAATTGTGAGCTGATTATCTGAAAGCCTTCATTTTGCACACATTTTAACTGTCCAAAGTGGTTTCTGAAGTTGTGGCAGGACTAAACGACTCTGCTATTTTTGAGATCTCAAGAAGAATTACAGAAGTACAACTTAGGGCCACGCTCAGGGCTGAAGCTCCAAATTTTTCAAAGTTTGGAGACGTACACACTTTGGTTTCACAGATTTTGCCCAGCCTTTGCAGAAAGAAAAAGAGAACACCATGATCCGGTGCCTCAAACAGCAACTTAATGAGCGTGACAAACAGGTAAGCAGTCACACCTGTATCTGCAATGCTACAAGCCGGACAACAGCTGTGCTGAAGGGCAGAGGTGGTGAGAGATAAGGGCTGAGATGAAGAAGGGGTAATCCATCAGCAACACTGGAAGGTCCTACCACTCCCATCACCTGAAATACAAACAGAGCACATGACCAGCCTTGACCATTGCAATTTCATGCAGCCATAGTAAAGGAGTCTCATTCAATAATAATAATAAATTGAAGGTTGGACATGTTACTTTCCATCTTTTCTTTCTCATTGCCTTTTTCTGAAGGCATGTAATGTCTGGAGTCAGTCAATCATTATGCTGGATTCAGCCAAGGTTTTGTAGAATGTTGTTTATAGCTAACTATGTAAATAATGAGAGATGAACCAAAAAGCTAGTCTAATCGGGAGATAGGACACTTACTTGTGGATTCAAAGGAGTGCAATTAACATTCTTTGATGGAGCAAATACTGACAACAATGATGATGGCAACAGCTCTATTTGCACTAGGCATTACAACTACAGATTGATTGCCCAACTAGTTAAGCAGCAGATCCCATTCCATGAAATGCTCTAACATGATTTCCATACATTGTACAAAACCTTGTCAGGACCAGACTCTAGATATTACGTAAATGATTAAAAATATTTTTTCTTTATATAAATTCTAGACTGGCCAACTCATATTGTCATTTTGTTCTTTTTTTTTTTTTTTTTTTTAAAAAAAGCCCTTTTGGCATTTTAAGGTCCCCACCCCAGACTACCTCAACCTCTAACAAATTGTGCAGTCTCCACCACCCCACTCTCCAACTGGCAGCCCTCAACTCTCAGCGCAACTTTAAGAGGTGAATTGTCAAAGTAGTGCATGGGAAGCAGCACGCCAAAATCCCATCTGCAGAGTGATGGGCCCCTGTATCTTCCCATGCACTACCTTGAAATGTACCTCACTATTTTCAGTGTCACCTGAGCCATCAGTTTTCATGGGTAGGTGGGGCACAAAGTGGTTGACCTGTAAATCTTCATTTCAGAGAAATCAATAGCAGAGTTAAACTGTGCAAAGTTTTATAAGATTGCCACTTGGCTACTCACCAGATTGACACAGACATTGATCAGTGACCTAAGGTGAGGCAGGAAGGATATGATTGGCTGCCTCTGAAGTGTCAAACAAACCCCTTCAATCAAATTGCTGGCAGGCTCCCACTCAACCTGTCGCCTGGAATACAATATAGGAGCCATTAGCGGCATGGCTCCCTTCTGGAGACAGTCTGAAATAAGTGAATGACACAGTGATTCTGACGCCATCTAATACAGGACATGTGTCTGAGATGACAAAGTGCTTCACACGGGATGAAGTTTACCCATGTTGTTCCAAAAGTACAGAGCACACTGGGAGAGAAAGAAGATACTGAAAACGCAGCAGAGGCACTCCTGCCCCATCGACTAATGAGACAAAATCTATTGAAGAAAAAACAGAGATGATGAATGGATTGCATTTTAAGATCCCTGTTATAGGCTTTGAGGAAGGTCCTAAGGCTATCACTTAGGAAACCCATCACATGGGTTAATCACTTCCACCAGAACATTTCTGAAATCTGTTTATCAGACTACACTTAACCTCATCAGTCTTTATACTGGATTTCTCCTAACTAGAATTAAATGGCTTAACTCCTGTCAAAAAGAGCACGCTAGAAGAAAACAGCCTATTTTAGAAGTGTTCTTATTGGCCTCCCAAGAAATGATATTTTTGGCTCTTTTCTATAATAGTATGAGTGGTGGTACACATAACCAACTAGATGACCATGGATTTTCTGTAATATAAATCAATCCAGCCTGTAAATTGTTCCAGTAATGATAGATTCTTTACTTTGACTTCAAAATAACAGGTTGAGCTTTGCTGATAGCAACACTACTTCCATATATTTTCTTGGAAATACTTTCTAAGCTTATATTTCCTACCAAAATGGAATCTTTGCAAAGACAAAATGAAGATGTAGTCATAAATAAGGATAATTGACATCCCTAATGCTGAGTGCCCAAGTAACCCACAGGCCAGGTTCAGTTAATATTTCTTGTGTTGAACTGTGTCACCTAAATAAATAAAATCCAAGCTAAGTTCATATACATCATGCCTCCCAAGAAAATTGCCTGCAACTTGGCCAAGTCTATGTATTAATTCAGATATCTACTTTTGGGAAACATGATGTTATAATGGTATTTGTCACTATGTGACAAATGGGCCAGTTTATAGATATATTTAACATCTTTGGATATCTAATTTTTAAGAAAAAAATATTTTAATATACACTCATAAGATAGTTATAAATCTTCTATCAGTTGTTTGCTAATAGACATAGATGCTCCATTGGGACCACTAAAGAAGTAGTGCTCTAAGAATAGGAATTTATTGCCATGCCACCAAAAAAAAATTACCTTGAAATTGAATCTAGACATTCATCACCATGGTATAAAAAGTGTAAAAACAAGCCATCAATTATTAGCATGAAATCATTGAATTTGTTGTTGTTTCCTTCAATGCCTCCTGATGGGAGCATAAAAGGTCACAGGCTAATACCTGGAATAAGTTCTGACAAACTTAATAAGTGCTATAAATTCTTAGACAAGAAGTAGACTAATTTGGGGTTAGTTTAAAAGGAAAGAAGAAACTCTCAACAGCCCAAATTTGAAATTTCTAAGTTAGTGGGAACACCAGCATTTATCAATTAAGCTATCTTTGCACTGTGACTACAGTAGCCAAATTGGTTTCATATCACAGAGGCACCAACTAATAGGAAGGGTACCCCTGGATACTTTTCAGGATACTTAACAGAAGCCAAGTGGTAATGGTGTTCATGTAGAACTACACTGAATTAGGTGAAAATCACGTATTTATTATCAACACTGTAACTTTTTAGGTGCTGTTTGGCTGATCATTACAATACTTGTCACTTTCCTAAGTTGGTACCTAAATATGTTAACTAACTACACTAAATACAGTACTTTGGACATCAAATTAATTTTTTTTCTCTTTTTAGTTATTACTTGTAAAGCATACTCTGTCTTATTTCAAGAGGGAAGAAGCATACTAATTGAATTTCTAATGTGCATCAGATAAGGAAGATGATAGCTAAGAAATGGGTAGAGTTTTAAAAATAAACACATATATGTTCTAAAGAAAATATCACTTCCTCAAAAAGAATATTTCTACTTTGGCACTCAGTCCTGATTAGTGAGGCACATACACCAACAGAACACTTTCAAGTTGTTCATTTTACTCCAGATTGACCTACTATCTTAAAAAAATGCAAATTCTAACTTTGAGGTTTATAGTATAGACAGCTGACGTGGAGTTCCCTTACCTCAAAGTTGGCATCTTATGAATTTTGTTGAACATTCTATCCAATCTCTTTAGAATGAGGATAAGGGCTGGTCTCACTGCCTCAGCTGTCCAGTCGGTAATGGGTAGCATCTCCATGATGTAGCGCCGAAGCCCACGGCTCTCCATCGTCTGGGTGTCATAGGGTGCCAACTTCAGAAGGGAATGTGCAATTTCTGCCAACCTAAAATGATTGTTTTAAAGAGTAAGCATAAAATGCTATAAAAAGAATTTTCTCACACAGCCTTATGCTAATTTCCTCATGTCAATACATCAACTCCCTGAACATATCCTCCATCTTCATGCTCTCCCCACATACATCATTGTAATGGCACCTGCACATGCATAGTAAGAGAATCATATTTTATACATATGTGTGTGTGTGTGTATATATATATATATATATAAATAAAAGAAAGCCTTTTTCTTTTCTTTCTTTCTTTTTTTTTTTTTTTGTGGTGCTGGGGATTGAACCCAAGGCCTCATGCATACTAGGGAAATGCTCTACCTCTGACAGCCTGAGAGTCTACAGTTTAATGAACAATAAAATAACATTGAATATTGAAGTAACTTCATGGTTTCAATACTTTCTCACTGAGCCTAGTCAAGATCAAAGTTACCCTGTAAAAGGTAGTTTTGGTTTATGTTACAGTCCAAGCAGTTCTTTAAGCTCTATTTTCACTTCTCTCCTTTAGAGCCTCCTCCTCTCTTTTTGTGTTGTATCTGGAAGCTCCTGCTCTGCTCAGTTATGCAGGTGGTTGGCCCAGTTAGAGACTATGAATAGCTTTAGTTTCTGATGTCTATACTTCTTAGATTTTCCAGCTTGGTTTCATACAGAAACTATCAGAGGGAATGTTGTGCTTTCCCAGGTCGGTCCAGGTTCTCAGTTGCCAGATCAAGTGTCTGTGTCCTAAGTGTAGTATTTTCTGCGGGGGAATTGGACAACAAGACTTTCTGGGCAAATGTGGTTTCTGGTAAATGTCATATTTGGTTAAATAATTAATTTTCAATACTAGATATGAATTGCCAATGTCCAAGTAATAAAAATCTATGATATACATAGTTTAAAAGCCGATTTAATTTAATTTTGTATGAAGGAGAAAGTATTTTAAATCTTATTTTGTTTCATCATCAAATAATTTTAAGGTAATTATTTTTTAATTTATTAGATGTCATATTGCATGTCATATTGTGGTTATTTATTAGATATCATATTGCATGTCATATTGTGGTTATTTTTTTTCTCTTAGTCCTTTAACCTTAGAAATACCTATTGAAATATGTATGGATAAATGATGTGATCCTTGTGATTTACTTCAGACCAGTCTGGGATGAAGGGAAGGGGGAACGATTGAAGACCATTATTGAATCTGGGAGAACTTGCTATATATTCATCTTTCTAATGTTCAAGATTTTTTAAAAATAAAAATATACAGATTTCTTGGTGGATTCTTTGGAGATCCTTGTTCATTAGATATTGGATGAGGCCTGAGAAACTATATGTTTTCAGTTTTCCTTTTAAGTCATATTTTTTAAGTAAGAGGTGTCAGCCAGAGGCCAAACATGTGGAACCTCACTGCCTAAGTGACTATTAAGGTCTCTTCCAACACTGAGATTTCATGAATCTAGGGAGATTATCATTAGAGCCTCTCCAAGGCAAACTTGCTTTAAAAAATAGCAAAGCTTATTTCAGATTTTCCTATACCTCAAACTCCCTCATCTTTCAGTGTCAGTCCTAAACAGGCTTAGTGTATGGCTGGTCTCAACACACCATTCACATGTGCACTATCAGATGATGTCAGACCTCTAGGTTCCTCTTCCCATGAGAATTTCCCTGTTCTGCACTCCATTTCCAGAAGTTCCTCTATCTGCCTGGCTAGGCATATTTTGATTCAAGCTGAAGATACAGATAATGAATGACAGTGGCTTAGCATATTACACTTTCTAAAGAAATTTGTTTTCAGAGGAATTTTTAGGATCTTAATAAATAATAGACTTCTCAGTCACTGTACTAGGTATATTTTTAAAAGTCTAAGCCTTTTTTAAAAATCAAGCTCAAATCATACAACATAGATGGAAGATAATTCCACGAATGAGTATACATGGCCTCTTTCTGCAGTGATCTTTCTGTCTCAGCCTCCTGAGTTGCTGGGATTACAGGGGTGTGCTACTACATCATGCTCTTTTTTGCTACCTTGTAATTTATTTTTTTGGAGTAATTAGCTACAAAAATAGTCTGGATTTTGATGACTGAATCTCTATGGCATCACCTAATCTATCCTACTGTATTTAACTCCATAGCTAATTAAATCTAGGGACCAGACCTGAAGACTAGGTCTAGTCTTTTTGATTTTCTGGCAAGAGTACCTTACAGGTGGTGTGTATTTCCTTGAGTAGATACATGATTCCAGTTGTCACTACTGTTACCAGTGATCACTGCACAGGTCTATTAGTACTATTGTGTACAACAACATCAATATGGATGCTCTTTCTTTTCCCACATATTTAACTCTAGTATTTTAATAAGGAGAAATTTTGACTCCTCCAAAGGACAGGAGAGACAGGATAAATGCTGGAAAGGATGTGTGGTGTAAGAGCTCTCCAGTTCTCTGCTTGGAGAATCACAGCCAAGCCACTGCCTCTCTAATTTCTGGAACACTGTGCAACTGCTTAATCTAACTAGCTCCATGGATGCAAGAATTTACTACAGTACAAGGTAACTTATTTCATCTTTGGCATTCCATACTGTAAGAAGCTCTCCTGTTTAGGTCCCCACATTTCCTCTAATTTCTTTCTACCCATCTTATTCAAGGCAATCCTTCATTAAAAGGAAATGGTTACTGTCTCCTCATCCCCAATGTCTTCCCTTTAAACAGAATGTTCACATTTTCCTGGACATCATGTGTGAATTTAGGTGTTCTAAAAATAATTTTAAGCAGCTAACACATCCATTTGTTTTTCTATTTTCCCTAAGTGAACCATGATGAATATTTTTCTTTAATCCTCAGATTGTGTGATAGACGAGTATATCAATACACACTTATTTCTTTTCCCTGTGATTTTACAGATAGCAATAAGAAATGCTGGAGAAATGATCAGCCTGTCTACTTTAAGCTTGAGAACAACACTTAGAGCTGAATTTGAGTAATTTTATAGATTACTACCTGAATTCCCTTAATCCCTGGAGTTATAACAAAATGAATTTTCTCTGGAGCATAAAATAAAATTTCCTTTTCATATAGTCTTTGCTGTATTACCTCATGAATAATCTCTTGATTAAAAAAATGTTCCTGTGATCTTTTCCCAGTAAGAACACAAGAGACCTTCTTATTGGAGGGAGAGGGAAATAAGGATGAGAGGGAAAGAGGGAAGGAGAGAGAGGAAGACAATTGCAGATCCCACTATCCTACTGCTTTAGCAGCTTTGGGTAGGGCAAATGAGACCAAAAAAAATTCCTCTAGGGCCGAGATTCTATCTAATCAAGCATATTTTCTGCGAGAATCCTATAATCAACCATGTATTTTTCAAATGCAGCTTATGGGTTGGTTCCCCACTATTTCTTAGCTCTTTGGTGCAATTCAAATTTTTCCTACAATTCCTACGTCCTGAATCTTGTATCATCCCATTTCTCCCTCCATTTTTCAAATCAAATTTTCCCTTTAAGTGATATCCATTCTTATACCTTGAAATATCACCCATAATTCTTAAACTTATATTTACTTTGACTTCTCCATATTTCTGTGTGCTTGGTTTATGAAAGGAAACCTTAATTATATCCTTTGCTTGGTAAAGGGTTAAAACATTTGGATTTGTGCCTCCTTAGCAACAGAGAATATCTCTGTTCTGCCAGAGAACATGCAGGCCTGTCTTTATCAAAGCTTATTGTGAAATATTGTATTAATAGAAGACATGTAGTCTAACTCTTACCTGGGCAGGAAAACTTTTGCCCTCTTACAGATCCAGGCCATGAAATAATTGTGTTCTTAAATGACATTCTCCTGGCTCCAGATAGGTTGCTCTTGCCTACTAAATTGTGACATTATGTCAACTTTCTAAACATCTAGCCATGTGAAACTAACCTTTTATATTCCATAAGGATGTTGTTGAGGACATCATTCATCATAACACTCTTTCTTCCTAATGAACAGTAACCAGAAGCTATTTCTTGTTCTTTATTATTTTAATATAGTATTATTTCACCAAATAACTGGTTATCTCATTTCACCAATAACTGGTCATTATTGACATGATAATTTTGTAATTGATCACTTTTCATTCACTACTTTGATAATCCAAAAGCTCAAATTCATGATTCATAACCATAATATCTAATAAAATTTCAGTTTATTTCCTATGCTAATCTCACAGACACAATTATTTTCTTCCTCATTTTTTACATCGCTCTGACACTCTGATTTATACATTCTATCATTAATTTTCTAAGTTGCTTCAAATTTTTTATAAAAGGATAAACACATAAATATATGCATGTGATTATATACATGAAAAACTATACTATAGTCAGTTTTATGCCTCCTCCATTAGACTGTGATAATCTTGGGGACCAGGGATTTATTTTATTTTATTTTATGTATATTTAATTGTAGATGGCCACAATAACTTTATTTAGTTTTTATGTGGTACTAGAATCGACCTCAGTACCTCACACGTGCATGGCAAGCACTCTACCACTGAGCCCCAGCCACAGCCCCTAGGGCTTTATTTTATATTCCCAGGATTTATCATTCTTATTAGTGTTAGTAATTATTATTATTGTATCATTCTTATTAGCATTAGTATTTATTGTATTATAGGTCTGTGCCAGGCACTGAGCTAGCTCATTTAACATTTAACAGGTGTTGGCCTCTAGAGGGAGCCTGAGGCCTCTCTGACTCCAGCTGTACCCTCCCTTTAAATGCTTCATACACTGGTCAAATTATAGGGCAGTTCTGCCCCCACTCCCCACCCATCATAAGCACACCACATCCATCTTTTAGGAATCTTTCACAAAATGGGCTGTTGGTAGTAGTTAGTGATTTTCTGACTCTGGGAATGTGATGTTTTTCTCTTCACAGAATTACTGAGGTCAGCTAGCCATCATAAGTAGGATAAGTAGGGGAGGGGCTGAATAGGGCCCTTGGAGGCTATGGCAACAAAAGCTTGGCCCTCTGCCCTCCTCCTCCTCACTTTTTCTGTAGCTTCCTGTCTAGGAGCTAGACTTGTCAGTGTATGTAAGTTCTTCCCTATCCCTGCACAGTGGGGAGTGCGAACCTGTGTGAAACCCTGGAGTTCACCCAGCATTACTAGGTGTGTGCCTGGAAGAGAAAGAGCCTGTGTTCACTGTACATTTCTGGCCACTCATTTCCCTTCACTTAGTGCTTCCTAAATTTTTTTTCAAAAGATCATTTTAAGACAAAGGATAAAATAAAGTCAATCAGAAAATTGGTTGTTTTTTTTCCCAAATTGCCATTTTATTTCTAGGATATAGAAATAACAGACTATAACTCTATTTTTTGTAGATACACTGAAAGCTTCCAAGTAAATCTTTTGTTATCCCTGAAATTTTTCTTTCAAGGAACTTTTATAACCCTTTATAAATGGTTACAAATCTGAATAGATGTTCTTCTGGAACATTGTCTTTTAAGAACCTAAAAATACAAACATATCCTTCATCATGATTAACAAGTGAGGTGGCATCTCCACAGGAAGAAGGAAATATGAGTGCACAGGGATATAATTCTGAGGTCTTTTCCTGAAACACCAGGAATAAAAATTCAAAATGATGACGGATTTCACCCAGTTCCAAATTTTTACCGGTGGGGCACTGGTTTTGAGTCACTGAAGACTATCACACACAATGAATACAAAGGGGATTTCAGGCCCAGGCTAAGTGTGGCTGAGAGTAATAATAGTTCACTTCCCTAAAGAGCTCATCACTATATCCTTAGATAATCTAGGGTGAGAACAAATCTTCTGCAGGAAGCAGTGGTGCATTTTTCATATAAAATTACAGAGAGAAAACATTGAATTATTGCAAAAATTAGAATCTGGGCAATAAATAGTACATGGAACAAGGCTATTTTCTGAATGAATAATCAGGTTATGAAGTTTTTCTTTCACTTTCATATATTAAGGAACAAATCTGTGAACTCTGCCATCTTCTTTTAATATTTTCTCTCTGTCCATCCTGATACTTTTTTATTTTTGTGGTACTGGAGACTGAACCTAGGATGTTCTACCACTGAGCGATGTTCCCACCCTCCCACGATTATTTTCCCCCTTATTCTGAGACAGGTATGGCTAAATTGTCCAGGCTGGCCTAGAACTTGCAATCCTCCTGCCTCAGTCTCCTAAATCCCTGGGATTATAGGCCTTGACCACCAGGCCTGGCCTGAGATTCTTTTTGATAGCTATAACGCACACTTTACCAGACGGCTCAGTATGATATGTATTCAAGTCACAGGCAACAAATCATTTAAAATATCTCTAATTTCATCCTAGAGGATAAAAATCCCCATTTCTTAGCCCATCACACATATCTGATTGCATCCACACATTCTGTGGACAGAGTACACATGGACAGAAAGCACACACATGGCCCAAGCCACATCCACATTCAAGGGGCAGGGAAAGCTGGTACAGTACCTCATATGGGATTTCACATCCAGCAGCTCCAGTGCAGTGACCCGTGGCTCCCCAGCCAGGTTTTGCAAGATCTTCAGCCTTGGTCCACAGTGCTTATAGAATTCTGTGCAAATATTCAGCAGGGATTCCCGGGGTCTTCTGAACTCTTCCCGAGCAATTCGTTCATCCAGTTCCTCTCTAGGAAGACCCTGACCTTCCTCCAATAAATGAAGGTTTTCCCTGGAAAATTATAAAAGATTAATGAGGGGTTTGAAAACATGGGTATGTGACAACTATGAGAGGAGAGTTATCATCACACTGAAAAACATAAAATTCCTATTGAATTCAGGAATTAGTAGGGTAAGATCCAGGAGAACCTCATGTGAAGGATAAGAAAGTTATCAGCTTGGAAGAGATCAAATTGCTTTACATTAGCCACTTCTGAGCATTTACACAGAACCAGAATGCCATGCCTCAATTCAATGAATCTAATGGAACTGTAAATCAGATCCAAAGGCAATCATCTCAACATGTCAGAACTTGTAATGAAATTTGATCCAGTTTTTGGTACCTGATAAAGTGCAGTTTGGCTCCTTGCTCCTGGTACCTGGAAGTTGAAAAATAGTCTGCATAACTATCAGAACAAGAACACAGTCCCTTGGCTGAGGCTCCATATATACTTTTTCATGTAAAATTAAAAAGGAAGACATACATTTTGATAAGTTCATAAATACACATATAGAATCTTAAAATAAGAAATATTTTTCTTTCATTCGGCTACTGCATGTACTGTAGTTATAGGTGCTATGAAAGCTGTTTTATTGCCATATAATTTGAATACAGAAAAATATATTAAAAATGCAAACTCATGGAATATAACCAAAGGAAAGAAATTCTTGAAAACTTTAAAGTCTAAGGAATAATTTTAACACCATGGGCTCTGTTTCAGTTGATCAGAGGGAGAAGTGTGGCTGACTTCCTTCAATTCTGGAGACTTACTGCTTACTGATTGATTGATCAGAAATTTGAGAGGCTCTCTTTTTCTACATTCACAATTTATCTAGTAGTCAAACCTAAGCCAATATGCCTAAAAAAGCCCCTGTATATCACTTAAACTCTTTTTCCTTAATGTAAGAGATTAACACATGGGTTAAGCACCACACCAGACAATATATAATTGGTTTTAATTTATTTTTGTCTCATTTTTAATATGAATATATATGATGAACAGAGAATTAACTTTACATAAATAATGACACCCTTAAAAATATGCTTCAGAGAGAGTGGGAATCAGTTTTCCTTCACAATCTCCCTGTTAACTACTCCATACTAGAGAACGAGACTTTTCTTTTAAGCTGATTTGACTGTTCACTATCTTAAGTCTTGCTTGGAGAAGGAAGCCAATTGATACTTTTTGTGTGTTTTGGAGGGATTTATATGTTAATACAGAATGAAGCAGGTCAAGTATTAACTAGTACAGCCAGGGTCTAAGTTACACTAAAACATGAAAGGAGATTAAGTGAACAACCTTGAAAGCATCATTTAAGGACATGAGTCCAAGTTTGGATGAAATGTCTTCAGAAGATCTGCCCCAGGAATGAGCCACCCCTTGATTATCATTGTTTCATTAGCCTTTTGTTGGAGGCAAATGGAAAAGCACTGGAATAATTCAAAGATCACCCAGGAAGTGGAGACAAGATACTCAATGCATAATCATGCAGACAAAACCAACACAAATGTCAATTTATGAAGGTGCTTTGGGTTTCTCTTTGACAATTTTAAAAGAAGCCTTGGTATTTTCTTGTAACTCTAAATGCTCACATTTTTTTTTCTTTTCCTTGGTGTTTTTCACAATCAATTTTGACTATTTTCAGGATTCCTTTCATTCTCAACAACTGAAATTCAGGATTTATAAAACTGAGAGATCGTAGAAAACTAGAGCACAGTGAATTACCTGGTGTTCACTCCAGAAGACATGGTATGATTGGCCGTGGTGGTCCCCTTGTGACCTTGATCACACCTGCTCATCTGTGGGGCTGTCATGGGCCTGCAACAATAATTGCCAGCACAAAACATCAGAAGTGGAAACACTTAGGAAGTTACTAAAGATATGTAAGTTTTAGAATCTTAAAAAGACAGGCTGTCTGGTTTTGAGCTTTTCTGTAACACATTTTCTGTCTGTACCAAGAGGCACTTAAGACAATATTGATTCCATGGACTATGAGCACACCATGATTTAAGTTCTACTTCTTGGTTCTGAATAATAAACCATGACTCTTCAAATAAGATTTGTGATCAAACCCCTAAGTCTGTACTGATCAAGTCTGAGTTTAGAACTTGTTCTTCACTTCTACAGGTGCCAGTCAATGAGTAAAAAGCAAGGGTGTACATACCTCTTTATGTACCTTTTATCTTTTTTCACCCTCATCTACACCATAACTAATCACTCTACTTTTCTGAGAAATCATCAAAGGATGAAATAATCCTCCTAGTGAAAATTATACCTAAGGCTATTCAGGAAAGTGAATAAATCTGTATTTATTTTAAGTCAGTATTTTCCATGATTAGTAATAAATCATTTATTTTTATATCTTCAGGGTTTACTTGAAATATTAGGTAAAATGTGCTTCCACTTTTGTATCTGAGACACAGAAGGAATGATGTAGTTTTTCAAAGCAATTCCTTTAATAAAATCTGTAAGGCTTGCTTCTATGTTGTTCATATTTTGTATGCTGAGTATGATTACTAAACTTTAAATAATCACACTCCATCTCTTCCCATACCATGTGTAGGTGGAATTAAAGATAGCCCCGAGACTTTTGCTGCCAAGTGTTACTCCAGCAATCATGTAACCTTATATGGCAAAAGGGGAGATTATCTGAGGAGGCTGAATCTGACCACACCACAGCCCTTTAAAAGTGGAGGTTTTCTCTGGCTGTGGGCAGAGATGGAAAGCATGAGAAGGATTCAAGCACTATTGCTGTCTGGAAGATGGAAGGGGACAATGTGAGAGAAATGCAAATGTCTTCTCAACGCAGAATGAGGAACCTGGCTGACAGCCAGCAAGGAAGTGGGACCTCAGACCAGAGCTGCAAGAACCTGAATTCTGCCAAAACTGCAAATGAGTTTGGCAGTGGATTTCCCATCCAGTGCCCTCAGATAAGAGTTCAGTTAACCAATTGCCTTAATTTCTACTTTGCAAAACCCTGAGCAGAGAACCTATTTGATGCTGGATCTCTGACCTGCGGAACTGCAAGATAATAAATGGGTTTGTTTTTAAGCCTCTAAGTCTATGGTAATGTATTATACAATAATAGAAAATGGATACACTTATATTATATTTACCATACATAATACTTATATCAACTGTCAAATTCTTTTTTCATTAGATAAAGAGAGCATGGAAATGAAAGGGAATTCTCATTTTCTTTTTGTAAAAAAAGTCAATTTTGTGGTACACACTACCAACTAATGAGACTAGTCTTCTACTCTACAAAAAGAATATTGAATGTACTAGAATTCATATCATTTTGAGGTGCCAGGACTTCATCCATAACTCTTCATGGGATTTTAGGTAAGTCAATTGTGGATAAGTTAGTTGGCTTATCCTTATAAAAGGAATGGAAAGGAAGAAAGGACCAACATTATGTAATATGAGGAGAAATAGCTAAAGTGGCATTTAGGGAAAATTGACTACTTTTCTCTCATCTGTTGTAGGAAGAGGCTGGTAGATGGGCACAGAGAAAGAGTGTAAAGTTCTGTATATCTCTTTAGGATGTTCTTCCCAGGATTTTCATGAAACTACCAGCAAAGCATTGGGACTATTTGTCATTAGAAGATAACTTGTCCCAGTTTCTGGCTCACTGCTTTCATTTACTCATTTTAGGTCCATGTGAGCATGTCAGGATGATCATCTATCCTAGGTTTTGGGGCTATATTCTGCCTGCCTAGATTAACAGTGTGGCTCATGATTAGAAGTCAGATATATGGAAGTTCATGAACAACAGTATTTATCCAAATGACTTAAGGACTCTGTGAAGTTATAAGCCACAAAGAGCTGAGTCAGTAACTGTAAAAAAAAAAGATAGGTATCTGTAAACAAACACTGAGTTCTAGAGATTTTTGCCCACAACATTTTCTTCTTCATAATTTCAATGGGTACATATGGTTTAAGGCTGTGGATATTTATGCCAATTGGATTACCTGGTGAGGACTTCCACACTGTACAAAAGTGCTTGTAAGGATGTTGCTAGAGCAGCTGTGGCAGCAATCTCCTCTCGGGCAGCAGGTACTGTCTCCACCTGTGATGTCTGCCTCTTTAGCTTTTGTAGGTAACATGGAACTAAAGCTTCCAAGACCATCAGCATCTGAAGACTGTAAGCAACAGAAAGAAAACCAAGTCACATTTAACAATCTACTTTTGGGGACTGTGTCATATTTAGGAACTTTGGAAAAAGGTTCTAGAGAGATGAAGAATTCTAAGCCTCCTTCTTATCCCACCCAAATGGAGAGTAGTTAAAGCTGTAAGGAAGCATGTGATCTGGTTGGGGGGAATTAGCCATTTATTCAAATTGTTGAAAAGATAGCATAATGATCACTGGTGGAGCTCCAAGTCCATTCTGAGAAACAGGCCTCAGAATCCTCCATGATGCTTCTATTCAGGAACTTGCTGAGAGTGATTTTCCAGCTGAAACAATTTTAGAGACAGTATGCAACCTTTTTCTACGAGGCTGGCTTCCTTTAAAAAATATATATGTATATGTGTATATATATATATATATATATACATACACACATATACATGGATGTATATATGTATATATAAATATATGTTTATAAGTATATATGTATACATACATACGTACATATGTATACGTATATATACATATACATATATATATTTAAATAGTTGATGGACCTTTCTTTTATTCATTTATTCATGTGCAGTGCTGAGAATCGAACCTAGTGCCTCACACATGCTAGGCAAGCGCTCTACCACTAGGCTACAACCCCATCCCTAGGAGGCTGGCTTCTAAAAGCTTTGTGTGATTTTATAACAAGAGTCTGGCAACTGCCCTGGTGGTGTGGTCTGATAATGCCTACTTAGTAGAGTGAGTGGACACTGCTCCTGTATAGGGCCCACTCAGTGAAGAACTGGGGTGTCAGAAATGTCATCTCAAAGAGGAGGTGGAAAGTAAGTATGTAAGGCAGATTTTCCCTCTAAAACTGTAAGTGCACAACATTAACATAAATATTTTTGGAACATTCCCCCTGTGGAGCTTAAATTTGATAAGCTGTGGGTTCTAGAATACAATATGGACTGGTTGATATTCTAGAGAACCCCAAATCAAGACTTTGGTCCATTTTCCTTCCTACATGTATCAGTGAGTTTCTGCTATGATATTAATCAATATTGAGTACTGGTTTCTGATTGTATAACTGTGCCTAAAATAAGTGCTCTTGACACAGGAAATGGAAATGTTCAGAAAATTGATGGATATGGAATCAGAGCTAAGAGACTGAGCCATACCTCTTTGACAACTTAAAAAGGGAGACGAGAAGTCAGGTATGCTTCTTATGTTAAGAAGCACCTTGTTGCAGATTAATTGCCTTACTAGAAAAGCTGATCAAAAAAATTTTTTTTAATTATTGAAGGAGTCAGAAGTTAAGATTGCCTGGTACTTTTGTAAGTACCGGGTTGCTGGAGAAAAGGAAGCTTATTCAGTCATCCAGACTGTGCAACACTTTTCTCCAGGTATTTGTCAGTTTGTAGAGAGCACTTATACACTGATGGAGTGAAATCGACATGACCACTTTGGAAGTCTTTCTGGTAGAATCTACTAAAGCTAAACATACACATACTCCATAACCTAGCAAAGAATTTCCACCTACAGAAATGCACACTGGACACATGTATGTGTAAAGATACACAAAAAAAAGTTCACTGCAGCATCATTCGTAATAGCTTCAAACTAAATCCAAGACAAAATCTGTTGGCAAAGAGAAGAAATGAATGAATTTTGCCACAGACACACAATGGAATATTATAGGTGAATGAGAAAGAATAAAATGTAGTTACATATAATTATATAGATGAAATAATATTGAATAACATAAGTCAGATATTAAAAAGTACCTACTATAATATTTCACCTAAATGGAGTTCAAAAAGAGGCAAAGCTGATTTACCATGCTGGAAATGGGGATAGTGGTATCTCAGATACATTAAAACAAAAAAACAAAACTGAACTCAGGGGCACTTTAACAATAGGGAGTAAAGATGAGCTACATCCCCAGACCTTTTTATTTTTGAGACAGGGCCTTGTCTCAAAAGTTGTTGAAGCTGGCCTCTAACTTGTGATCCTCCTGTCTCAGCCTTCCAAGGTGGGATTATACGCATGTGCCCCTTCACTCAGCCCTATCTGACTTTTTTTTGATCTGAGTTGTATTTACATAGATGTAATAACTTTATGAACATTTATTCAACTGTAAAATTATGATTTTTAAAACTTTGACATGAATGTTACACCTGTATAAAATACACTTGTGTAAGCACAATTTAAGCACAAGAAGGATCTGGTGTTACAAATACAGAAAATTTATAAGAATATCCCAGGGAATAGCTAGTTAAGAAATCTTGATTTCTCCAGGGACCCAGAGCCTTTGTTCAACCTGAGCCAAATGGGAAATTAGGAGGATCAATTTATTAACCAATCTTAATATCTAATATTGGGCTTTGGTCATTAACTCACAATAAGGGAGTTTGTGAACTTTAATACCTTTTGATTTCAATGTGTTTGAATTTTTAACTTAAAAGAGAATTTCAGGTCTCACTGGGAATTTGGTAATGAGAGAACTTTTTAGTCAAATTTGTCAGTTTTCTATGTTGCTAGCATTTTAATATTAGAGAAATGTTATGCATTTCATTATTGCAGTGTCTTCATGTTGTCATGTAATTTCAGTGCATAACCTCTGACGCATACCCTTAACAATGCATTTGGACACACTTACAATAGCAAATGGAGTAGGAAATACATTTTTACATTCAGATGTAGAGCAGATTTGGAATTCATGTAGGGTGTTGACCCACCCTGGACACTTTTCTAGAGCTGATAAAATAGAAGCAGGAACATGGGAGCAGGCCCATCATGGGGAACTGCAGATTTCTGTCCCAAGGCCACAGCCACACTCCTCCCTGATCATAGGCAGAAGTTTAATCCCTATTGTTAAAGATGATAAAAAGCTGGGAATATTGAAGGGGATAATAAAGAGAGGCCAATTCATATACATTCTGGCCGCTCTTGGCCCTTTATCCCTTCTATTCTGGGAGAAGAAAAGGCTTGCCTAAGATGACAATGGATAAAGATATTCTGAGCATAGTCAACTTGGCTCTTTATTTCTCCTTGGAGAGCCTGTCCACACAGTAGGACTTTATTGGGATGACTCACTTTTTTTTTTTTTTTAGTAACAGGGATCAAACCTGGGGTTGCTTTACCGCTGCCACATCCCCAGCACTTTTTTAAAATTTTGAGATAAAGTCTTGCTAAGATGCTTAGCCCTCGATAAGTTGCTGAGGTTAGCCTTGAACTTGTGATCTTCCTGCCTCAGTCTCCCGAGCCACTGGGATTACAGTCATGCCTGGTGGGATGACTCACTTTTCATGTGAGTCCTCTGCCTTCTTGCACTTGGCAAAATGGAAGAAGAGATTTATATTCTTGCCCTTTCTGTGACAGGTGTTTTTATTGCTCCTTGAAAGGAGTTTTCATAAATGGTTTAAAAGTCTGCTATGAAATTTTGTTTGCTACTAATTTGTATTACATGAAAGGAAAATATTTTCTAACAAGACTAAACATCTTAGCCTCAGCACTAATTCTAAATGAAGGGATTTCAAATTAATGAGGATTTATGATATTTTCCAGAAACTTTGCTATGACAAGTTTCCTAAATTTAGTTTTCAGAACATTACTTGCCAGGATGTTACAGACTGAAAAACCAAATATAAGCTTTGTAGTCAATAAATTTTATTTCCTTTGCTATACTTAGTTATTATGAGGCACAGAATAAAGGGCTGCATTTACCTTCTGAATGATTCAGGAGCATACGCCACCACAGTGACACAGAGCTTAATGGCTTCACTGATAGAGAAGGTCAGATCTTCATTTCCATAGCAGAAATCTAAGGGGAGAAGGAATCAGTGCACACAGTCAGAACAGATTCCACCATGGATAATGAAGCTGACCCCTCTTAACTTTGTCTTTTCAGCTTTATTTTATAGCCTTTTATTTGTTCTATTTTATTTCTATGCTATGAAAACTATTAATTTCTTCATCTAAAGGGAATGAAATTCTGTTTTCTACTTTTGAATAAGTGAATGAAAAAATAAAGTTTTTTTGGGGGGAGTGTAGTTTTAATCATCTCATCTACCATAAAGTCACTGAATGCAATTGAAAGGTAAGAAATGTGAAGCTTTATCTTTGAATTATGTCTAATTCTACATGTAGTAGTATAATAAAAGGCCATTTGGAGGATTATTTACTTAGAATTACTCAAGAGAATGCAACCTTCTGAAAATTGCAGTCTTAGATCAGTAGTCTATTGAACATCATTTTAGTATGATTTTCATGTTTCTCTTTAGGAGCCACAAGAAATTTAAGAAAAACAGGAGATTAAAAAAAATACTACTCATTCAATGTATACCACTGTTCCATTTATTTTAATTGTTTAAGTTCTATATATGTGTGTATATGTATATGTACATACACACACACACACACATACATATACACATATATAAATAATTAAAATGAGAAAAACAATGCCAAGGGAATTTTGCATTACCTAATGACTTGAGAGGCTTCTCAGCTTTGACCAGCTCTAGGATGTCTAATATGTCAGTGGTCTCTCCTTCCAGGGACTGTAGCAAGTCAAACAGGCACTGAGCCGACACACCTTTGTTAGGCCCATTATTGGCAGCATCCTGTATAAGGACATACAATTTTAGTTCATTGACTCCCACTTCAGTACTAAAGTAGTTGACCAGGGGTTCAAACTTCATAAACACTATCAGCAATAACAATTATAATATCTATCTGAAATTCAGCTTAGATAATTCTGTATCCAATAATGCTGGAGCATGATTTTGGAGAGGTACACCTGAATTTTAGGGAATCTATTAAATACTAATCTAATACAAAGGAGATGGTTGTGAAAACTTGTAAAAATACAACAATATATGAACTTCTAGAAAAGTTCTTGCCAATGTCACCTGTGGTATTAAGAGGGTAGAACTAAGAAAATTTCCATAATTGGTTTTGAATACTTGAAATATATTTGAGGAACAGAGGCTTATTTTAAACCAAGTTCATAGGTTTTGTTTAATAATATATCTTCAAAATAGATATAGTTGCCATTTCATATGTATTTAAAATTAATTTGATCCATTCATTAAAACAATAAAATCCTTCTTAAGTCCCTATGTACCAGAAAGCATTCTGTGCACTGAGGTTATAGCAAAACAAAATCAACACACAGAAATAAAACCAAACTATAACTAAAAACAAATGAGCAAATGTAAAACAGACAAAGGTCTTGTTCTTATGGAGCTTAACATCTAATGGTGGGGGGAGGGAGAGATACATGTTAATGAAACAAACTGACCATGGCCAGACCATGTGTGAAAATAGAGCTGACTCACAACCTGCAGCACACTGCCCAAGAAACCAAACCAAGATACTTCTAAAAAAAACCTTCCCAGGAAGCTAGCCTGATTTGTCAGGTTTATAGGAAATCAGACCACTAACTCTACTGGAAACCAAACAATAAGTCCTGCAACAGTTTTTCTCAAATGACTTGGACTTGATTAAAACTAGTGGCTTCCCTAATTTTTGTCTTTACTTTGAGAGAAAGCTAAACATGCAGCCTATCACATAAGACTCCGCTTCTTGTTGGCCTACCTGTAGCTTCTCCCCTCAGGCACAACTGAAGCTCCCTTCCTTTCCACTATAAAGCTTTCCCTCCTCTGCTTGCTCTGGGGTCTCTGCAGCACACAAGTGATGGTGGCTGACTCCCTTGCCTCTGCAAGCTCTGAATAGATAACTTTTGCTTTTGTCAAGTGCTTGATCTTCATTTATTCTCACAGAGCTTACTCACAGGAAACTCCAAGAGAGGGGCCACACTAGCAAACAGCTGGAGCACAAAAGGCTTGCGGTGTAGAATGTAGAACTGGTGACAGGCAAATTCGATGGCTTGACGTAACTGGGGATTGCTTTCATAGTCAGAGTATACCTGTGGGAAAATGTCACAGAGTTACAAAGTGCCTTCTAAAAGTATCAAAGTTGTGTTTGATTTTAAAATTTTGCATAGTTATGGGAAACAGAAAAAATGACTAATTTCATAAGCTAGTGGAAGGTGTGTAAAATGGCATAATACTGCCTGAAATTTTATATATATATATATATATATATATATATATATATATATATATATATCTCCTAAAAATCTAAATATAATTATCCCCTAGAAGTTTATGACTAGAAATTTTTCTCAAGGAAAGAATTGGGCAAATGTACAAAGATATCTGTCAAAGAATGTTTGCTGCAAGATTGTTTGTAACAGTGGAAAACTTGAAAAAAGTCATTCATAAATGCTGATTGGTTAAGTGATTTATTGTACAATGTGACTGATGTTATTAAGCTAAATGAAGCTACATGAAAAAAAGTCCATGGTATTTTGTTGAATGAAAAAAAATAGGTTACAAACTTGAATATATAATACAACTTCTGTTTTTAAAAAGTGTGTGTGTGTGCGTGCAAGTGTACAAATATGTGTAGGAGAGAGTGCCCGATTTTCAACAAGTGTAAACAACATGTCTCTGGGAAGGAGGACTGTAGGTGATCTCTATTTTCTGTTTAAACTTTTTAACTTCCAAACATAATTGCTTTTGGTAATCAGTAAAATAGTTATCAAAATAGAGAAAACTGTGACTATTTAAAGAAAAGGCAGACAGTCCTGTGATAAAGGTAAATTTCTTGCCCCCATAGGTTGAGCAAATTCTTCTTTGCACAAGCATGTATTATTTTCATAACTTTTATTGAAACTTCCCTAAAAGTAGACCATCAACCCCAGGCCCTCCCTGAATTTTATTAAGTGCTCCTAAATATAGCCAGATATATATCAAATGCTAGTAAACAGACATTGTTCCTGCTACATTCACCTCCTCTAATACCATCAAACCAAATTTAGCAGTAATAGAAATTTCTGGGCAGATAGAGGCCAGAGGATCTCTTGGGAGAAACAACAACTGAACCGTTGCCATACATTTGACTCAACAGCGATTCTCTGCCTAGGGCATAAGAACCACCTGGGAGCCTTGTTAAAAACACACATTACTGAACCCTGACCCCCAAAGTTTCTAATTCAGCAGTCCTGAGATGGGCTCAAGGAAGTGCATTTCTAGCAAGTTCCCAGGTGATGTTGATACTGCTGGTTCAGAAACCACACTTTGAGAACCACTGGGCAAGAAGAAATGAGAAGGCACCTACTAACCCTGGGGATCTCAGGACAAAATGGGATATTGTGAACACTCAGAAATTTATTTTGGGGGGGGATTTCATTTGGTGCCTTTTACTGTAATGAAAGAAGACAATCCCATCATTAAAAAGTTTCTGTATAGATCTGGAACTGCTAGATACGGGTAGTCCGTGGGTTACTTTTCTGATTAGGAGAGGGGATTCCGGGCACCTGCAGCATGGTGGGGAGAATCCACTGGTAGCCACTGAGAGAGAAGAGGTGATTGAAGTGCACGGCGGTGTTGATAACAGTGGCAGCGTACTGCCTGAGCAGGGCACTGTCTTCTGGGTGAAGGATCAGAGCGCCGTTGAAAACGTTGAGGAAAAGCATAATTTCATCTCCCCAGGGGAATTCGCTTGGCATGCCCAGGAACATCTCTTCCAGGAGCTGGATCCACAAGCTTTTCTGAAGTGTGTCAAGGCCAAACAGTTCCTTCCCAGCTGTGAGAACATGAAACAGCAGAGATGGAATTAGTACCACACCAATCCCATCAGCAAAAGCAGGGGATCAAACGCCAGGGTGCTGCTGTTTCCCATTTGTTCCTCTGGGGTAAGATCTCCTGCTAAAAGGCTTTTCCAGCACACAGTTGCTGGCATTAGGATGAGGCTTCCTAGCTCTCAAAAGACTTTTATCAGCACCACTTGGATTGAAGTTTGTGGGCAAGCCAGGGCAGCATTCTGCTGCTCAATAAGCTGAAGCTTTGAGAAAATGTAAGCTATTCCAGCTAGAAAACGACAGAGCTAGGATTAGTGCTTGACCTTTGAACCACTCCTCAGGCTGGAGCTCTTTCCACTATTGCTCTGTCCCTTCTGCAGGAGGACAGTGATGCACAGGGATGCTAATTCAAGTAAATGGTACCAAATTAATAACAGTAACAGAATTGGGTTCCAAACTGCATCTCTTTCTGTTTCTCTGTCTCTCACTTTGGATTTGATTTGATTAAAATGCACACATCTTAAATGTAGAGTTCAATGAGTTTCAAATATGCACATGTAACCAATACCCAATCAATATATAGACAATTTTCATCATCTCCAAAAGTTCCCTCATGCCCTTTCTAGAAAGTTCATTTCTTAACCCAGAGGCAACCACTGTTCTGACTTCTGTCACCCCAGGTTAGTGTTGTCTTCTTCTGAAGTTGTCTTCTTCTGAAGTTCTTATACATACCTATGTTTTCTGTAGGGACTCCCCTCCCTACCCCCATCCTCACCTTGCTCCCTCACCATTCACTTTGAGTACTACTCTCCAAGATTGGTGCTTGGAATGGCAGCACCAGCATGCCTAGTGGGGCAAGTTTGGGCCCCATCCTAGAACTCATTCGTAGGTGGAGGGTGGGGCTCAGCAATGTGAGTTTTAACAAGTCATCATGGTGATTCTGATGCACACTCAGGTCTGAGAACCATGGGTTCCATAACTGTCTGCTCATAAAGCTGTTCTTCAAGTGGGGACAAAACAAGGGTGTGAGGAAAGCCCTAGAGAGGAAAGGCTTCGTCATGTCTGATACCTTGAGGATCACTGAAGAGTGAGAATTCGGCATCTATAGCACTCCGAGGGAATGAGGGCAGGCGGAGGAGGTCTTCCTGAAGCATGGAGACGTGGGACTGTTTGTGGGCTGTGGGGATCTTCTGCGTGAGGGAGATGAGAAACAACACCCGCCCCACCTCCTCCAGCTTCCGAGTGAACACCTAGCAGAAAACAAAAGCAGGATTAGGAACTTCCAAGTTGCAGAGTACAGAAACTGGAATAAAATTCTCAGTAACAAATCGGGTTGACAAAATGAAAAAGGGAAAAGCAGAATAAGGGAGAAAGGCTTTTTTTCTGATCACACAGAAAGCAAACAATACTTAATTGACTCTCAGTCTCTACTTCCATCTGCTCTGAAGAAGGAAGAGTTTTTTATGGAGTTTGCAGTCTGGAGGAGCAAAAGGCAACATTGTCAAGAGAGTTCATTACTCCAAAAAGCCTATTTGTCTGGGGGGTCATAATGTGGATGATCTTCTTTTACTGGGTCAGTTTCAATTGCTTCTATGATTTCCATCAGTGCCTGAAACTGTTTACTGGCAGTTCTGGGTCTGTCTCTTAAAAAAAGATTGAAATGGAACCAGGAAAAACCTATCTTGAGAAAAAAGCTCATGGTCCCTAATTGGTGCCCTTTGGCCCTGAGCCTAGGTGGCATACACAAGCACATGGGACTCTTGGTCCCTTCCCTTACTTCCATTTCTCTTGATGATCAAGTGAGCAGCCAGATGCTTATAAATAATCAGCAGCTGTTGAGGGACTTCTGAGCTAGAACCATAGGAATCCATATTGTCATCTCGCTGGGGAATTTAAAAGCCTTAACATCAGCTGGCAGTCTGAAAGTTTGCTGGGGCCCCAAATGCAGTCTGGCTGGGCACAATTCAGGAGCCACTTGTCAAAAGAAACGAACTTTATTTTCAGAACCACACACGCCAAACAAAACAGCTCCTCAGGAAAAACCCTCAGAGCCCAACTGCCACCACCGGCTTCCCACAAGCCTCTCCACCTCCCCCCCTCCTCCTGCTCTTGAGGCCCATTGGCTGGGTCGCGTGGGCGGAGCCAAAAAATCCCCCAATGAGCAGCTCCATGGTCTGAAAGGGCAGGGAAACAGCCCAATGAGCATCACCGCAGAGGAGCCAATCAGCTAGATGTTGCTGGGCCGCTGTGAGCCAATCATCAGCTGGCAGTCTGAAAGTTTGCTGGAGCCCCTTTGGCTGTGGCTCTCAACACCTTAAGATTCCAACTTAGAGTATACAAGCAGGGTCTCATTTCATGGCACTCTTTTGAAATACATTTTTGAAAGATTTTCTTAAACATGGTAAATACATGCAAGCAAAGCACCATTATTGATTATGCTTTTATTTATTGTCGATTATCCTCTGTCAAATTAGAGTCTAGGATCATTTTGGTAAAATTGTTTTAGAAGTTGTTCTTAAGATTTTTCATTTTTGCCCAACACCTCACACCTTGCAACACATTTAGTATTTTCTTTCTTTCAAAAGTAATTTAGGTAGTTAACAGTAGCTATTTTGCTTAAAATGACTTAAGTTATCTAAATCTATTCCATTCTCATTTAGTTCTTGACATGGCAGAAAATAAAATTGAAATAATCAAGTATCCTGAAATTCTTGTTTAGATATTTTATTTAAAAAAAGGGTAATACATAGACAATATTAAAATTGTATTGACTTTAGAATTGTGTACTAAAGCCATATTTTGCATGAAGAATGGAGAGTTTCCTTAAGGTCAAAGTCTGATTTGAGGCTACATATGTAAATATTATTCTGATCTTCAATCTTAAACCTAAAGACAACTACTTGATTTTGTCTCTTCCTGTTTTAAGAAATAATAGTAAGGTCAGATCCTTGGTCAGTAGCAGAGCTGAATGGAATACAATCTCTAGTCCTTAGTTCAATGCTTTTTTTTCAGGATAACAATATTGACCCCTTTTACTTTTTTTCTAGCTGGTGGAAACTTCTGATACTGATCTAGAGGCTACAGTATATGTACTTCTAATATTGTTTCACAAAAATGTGAAATGAATATCATACGTATAAATCAATGGGTCAATAAATTAGGATTTCCATAGTTTATACTCAATAATTCATTATGGCATTACTCTATGTGATTTGTTCTTAATGCCTATTCACCATCCAATCTATAAAACGTAACACTATTTGGGGGACAATCTATTGAACAAGGTCACTCATCCATTTTTTTTCCAGAGAGGATCACAATGGAATCACAGAAGCTCTGGGTGGGCAACACATTTACAGATGATCGGTTCCAATGACACCACAACATAGGATAGAACTGAGTGGTCAGACACCTGTTTCTGAATGAGCTCCTGTCCCTTCTCTGGACGCATGTGTACGAGGTTCAGCTGTGGAGATACTGACCTCCGGAAGGGATAAATATCTCGAACATAGGTCTGTGTGGATTACACAAAGAGAGAGAAAGAAAATTCAAATGGTTAAATTTTACTCATTTCCTCTTTACCCAAAGGTCAGACAAAAAAATTCATTTGCTTCTAACTGTTTTGATTCTTCCTAATTTTATGCTTTCAAACTCCTGCTTAGGAAAGCTTCAACCCATCCAGGTGGGGTGCTCTTTCCAGGCACTGGGTGCTATGTCAGGGGCGAAGCTACCCAGAGGCAACATACTAGAGGACACTCTGAAAGGAGAAGGTAACCTTAAGGTAAAACCAGGGGTCACCATGAGAGCCCTATGGCTCATTAGATCAGGTCACCATGGCCATGTTTAACATAGAAAAAGAGCCAGAATGGCCTAAAAAATCCCAGTAGACACACACAGTTTTTATATGGGCAACTTAATTTTTCACTTTGACATAATTGTGATGAATAACCATATGCTTTCTTGGTCTACCTCCATCAATGATTACAACTGCCCTGAGGCAGATACTATCATCACCTCCACTTTACAAAGGACACTGAAGGGCAGAATGGTAAAGCAACCCTTTCAAAGTCACATAGACCCAAAAGGCCATGCTCTGCCCCTCTAAACAACAAGGTCTCTGTGCCTAGGAAAGGTGCTTTGAACCTTTGGTACAAAACATGTGCGTCATTACTGCAGTCTCACCTTATTGTAGTGGATAAGATTCCATCGCTTATCCATCAGGAAATAATGTGTGGACTGGGACTCGGGGATGTTGAAAAACTCCAGACACTCCTAGAACAATAGCAACAAATTTTAATATATGTTTACCAGGAACATATTGTTTGCTAGTTAATAAGGTAGAAGACACAAGTATTGGAAGAACAAGATAACTTACAAGGATTTAAAAATATTTTTCATATTTTATATATATATACATGTATATATATATGTATATATATGTATGAGGATATATATTCATGGTTAGACAAAAATGATGCAATAAAGACTAATCATGTAATATGAACTGTCTGCTCTCACAGTGCTCAAAGATGTCCCGTTATAATTCAGACCAAGTGATGAACTGTGGGGACACAGTGGCACCTACTGGTCTCAATATCAAGGAAAAAAAATGTTTAGTAAGACTTAAGGAAAATACAAAGTATAATACATCGAACACTTATTACATACCGTATACAATGCTTTCCATGTAGATAACTTATATAACCTGAACTAGAATCCTAGTATTGTTGAAAAAGAAACTGTGGCTAGACAGGCCCTATTATTTGATTTGGGTCATGCTGGCCATGGTGGAGCAAGGTTTGAACTTGCGGTTTGATTCATTACCATTCAACATGTGCATACAAATGGAATGGTTGTTGAATTTTGCTTCACTAGACCTTAGAAAATCTCTGGAGATGTTTGGGTAAAGCCTGAAGGAGAAGGAATGACCCCTTCCACTGAAATAAAATATACAAGTCTGGCAAAGATGAGTTTTTAGGAGGCTTTTCTACTTACATCTGGATCCAGAGTTGTGTTCCAGAAAATTAGATTACTGAAAATTTGAACTTCAAACAGAGAATTACTGTACTAGTTTACTTACTACTTTATTTTAAGAACCTTGCAGGCAAGCGTAGCTATTGATTATATTTCTTTTCAGGAGAATCACTGCCATAAATACTAGAAAATACTTTTTTGATCCACCTGATTTATTTGAAGGTATATATTTTATTTAGAGACAGGGTCTCACTGAGTTGCTTAGTGCCTGATTTTTGCTGAGGCTGGCTTTGAACTCGCAATCCTCCTGCCTCAGCCTCCCCAGCTGCTTGGATTATAGGTGTGCGCCATCATGCTCGGCTTGTTTCACCAGTAATTTCTACTGGTGATAAGTCAAGACTGTATATAGATTCAACTGGATCCCACAAAAGGGATCTCTGGCATGATCATTAGCCAACAGCTAAAGGTTACCCCAGTGCCATCAGTGGACAAAACCAGGTCACCTTCAGAATGACCACAAGTGATGCTAGGAAGCTCCTAAGGTGGAATTCACAGAGTTCCAGAGAAGTGAGGAGCAACATCAGAGTTCATGCTGCTGCTACAACCAAGACAGGAACTCTCCTGACTTGGCCTACTTCAATGCAGAGCTAAAAATGTCAGTGAAAACTGGAGAAAATGACATAAGTACTTAATAATGGAGCAGATTCTCAAAGAACAAAGAATAGTGCACATTCCTTTGGAGATAGAAAAATGCCATTTATTTCTAAAATGGGTGTTCACAAATGTGATCATAGACATTGTGTATAAAAATCGTTTTGTTAAAGGTCATTCCTACCTTCAACAGGGCTTCAAACTGAGTGTCTTCATGGACTGGTAACTGGGTTGGAATGTCGCACTCATTTTGTCCATGAACTACCAACGTTTTGGTACCTACAGACAATAAAAATCACAATAAATGGACCCCACTACAGGAAAGTTTGTATTTAAAGCAGAAAGCCTTAAAATATTATTAAGTTGATTCTTAATTTATAGTTAGTGAGTGCTTAATATGAGTATTGTACTAATTGTACTCCTTTATTCATATCTGAATGTGTATTTTAAATATGTTCATTTCTTAAACAATGATAGCTACCATTTATGGAGTTCCCAATACTTTTGCCCACATAATTGTATTTAAATCCCCCAGCAAACTCATGACATGATCTTCATCTTACAAATTAGAAACACGAGAGAAACTGAGAAATTTTTTGTTGTTGTTGTTACCAGGGATTGAACCCAGGGGCACTTAACTGCTGAGCTGCATTTCCCATCCTTTTTAATATTTTATTTAGAGAAAGGGTCTCACTGAGTTGCTTAGGGCCTCACTAAATAGCTGAGGTTGGCTTTGAACTCACAATCCTCCTGTCTCAGCCTCCCAAGCAGCTAGGATTACAGGCATCCACCACCATGCCTGGCTAGAGAGAAATTTAATAACATACCCAAAGACATATATTTATTTAGTGGGAGAGTCAAAATTCAGACCTTAAGCACTGCAACAAGTAATATATTCCTGTATTTTAAATGAGATAACCTGGCAATGACAGTTGAAAAAATACAAACAAAGATGTTAGCAAAACCAAAACAAGTTCCTGAAATGTAGTTTAAATGCACATTTTCTGTACTCTACTTTAGCTGGTTAAAACATGTTATTTTGGTTAGGAATAGAGCTCAGTTGGCAGAGTGCTTGCCTCACATGCACAAGGCCCTGGGTTCAATCCCCATCACCACCCCGCCCCCCACACACATGTTTATTTTACTTCATTCATTAATTATACAACTTTGTGAATATTATAATATACCTTGATTTTTAACAAGTTGTTCTAAAGTATATGAGTGACAAAATGAATTTATTTACTATAACAAAAACTGATCACATTTTTGGATACTCTACAGAACACACAAATATTCAACTGTTTATTGAATGCTTCCCATGGATCAGGTATGGCAGCAAGTATTTTATATACTTAAACTCATTGATTTCTTGTGATTGTGAAGTATGAATTATATTCCTATTTTGCACACAGGGAAAGAAAGCCTTACAAAAATGATGTTCTTTTCACAGCTGATACTAATTGTATGACTGATAAACGGCAGTGCTGACTTAACACAGGCTTCTCTGCTGCCAGAACCTATGTTCTCATCTCTAAATAACTTTGTCTTTCTCTTTATTTCTATTAAAATGACCAATTCTTTTATTTTTATCGTCACTGAACAAGGATAAAGGCTTGGTAAAATCTTTATCTTAAGGACAAACAAGCTGTGTGAAGTGAAAAGGAACTGTATCTAGAGTTCATATCACACTTGATGTTCTTTTGTAATTCTCCCTCTTCCTGCTTTTCCCTTTTCCAATCTTTCATAAAGCCATCTCTCATTGAGTTTACAAAGGACTGGGGTCCCTGCCATGCAGACAATATCATTCTCCTTGCAGTGCCAAAAATTCACTCAAAAAGGCTTTCAGTTCAGCTTTCCTCTGCGAGAGACTTCCATACATCTTTAACCTTGGCAGTCCTTCAAGGACTGATTCACGAGGATCTCAGTTCTGATGTGTCCCTTTTCATCTGGCAACTGCTCACTTTTTAAAGGGTCTATTGTTTTTTCTCTGATTGGATTAAACAAAAATTCCTTGATGCACTCCATTCTAGGGGTTAGAACTCTGAAAATTTTCTCGTGAATGAAAGAGCATCCATGGTCTTTCAAAGGGCTATTCATAATTTTTTTTTTTTTTTTTTACCTGGCATTGAAGCAGTCACCAGGAGCTTTACTTCACACTGCTCCTTCTTCATTGTCTGCTTGAGGTCCTTGAAGAAAAGGCCCTCCACGTACCCAACCACCTCCCAAAGGAAAGTCAGAGTGGCTGAAATGGCATCCATCCCCCATTCACAAGGGGTTCGCACGAAGTACATGATCAATCCCACCTGAAATTAGAACAAGCCTTCACAAAGCCACAGTGATCCTGAGCTCACATTCTCATTTCCTTGGCTTTTCTTTTTTAAATTTGGATCTTCTCCTGTGACTTCACATTCTTTGTTCAAATGCTTCTCTAACACTTTCAAATGGCACTAATCAGGAGAGGGTGGAATTGGAAAATTGACAAACAGGCTTCCATATATTGTATGTATCATTAAAATGACCAATTCTTAAGAAGAAGGCATAAAAATCATTCTTACAGACACCATATCTCCTAGTATTCTCAGGTACAGAAGCCATCCAAAATTAATCTGTATGTGATGTTTACCCACACACCAGCTGCAGCAAATAGTCTAATAGTCTGAACCTAAGAACGCCCTGCTTTGCCAAATCAGCAAATTCAAAAGTTTTATTTGTGTGTCCTCTAACATGTTGAAAAAAAATGTGCCATTTTTCGTATTTTAAAGTTGACATTTAAAATGTCTTCTAAATCTACTTTTTAGTAGGAAGTAGAATGTTTAACATTCTATAAAATAAGATGAGGACTGACTATAATTGGAATATTTGATGTAATAACTCTTGACTACCTTTCAATAGTACACAACGAAATCAGAAAAGAATAATGTAAAAATTTCCCCTGTGGGTTTAGCCATTGTTTCTTGAAAAATTCGGCAGTCCTGGGAAACTTCTCCATTATATTGAAATAATAAGGGTCACTAAACTCATCTGCTTTGATGGTTCTGAATGCTAATGCTTTAATGAGGGTCAAACATCACCTCTAGCAGAAATCTATAAAAGATGGAAACGGGATGGGCTTAAAGTGTCTCGATTAGTCAGAAGTGTGTCTTCCTTAAAACTGATGTGCATTTCCGATTCTGTCTGTCTTACATGCTATCAGAGCATTCAGGTGCCAGATATCTGAGATGGTGCCATGGGCCTTCTTTGTGTACAGTAGTAGATTGGTGACTGAGATGACAGACAAACTTAAGAACTGGTTCATGCTTATTAAGGATTTTGAGATGTATTCAGAAACATCTTAGAACTATCAAGGTACCACACTCATGCAAAAGTCTTCACATTCCCACAGTTACTCTTGCCCCACATTAAAGTTGCCAGGTCAAGTCAAACAGTGGATTTAAGAGTCTGGAAGTGATGAGTCAGTGTTGTCAACATCCCCACCATCTACACCTCTGACAGCAATTAGAAAAAAAGGAATATCTCATAAGGGTTATTTTTAAAAAATTGACTCTTCCCTTTACTGTTTTTCCTTTCTGAATACAAGCCCCTTCTCCTTGTCCACCAAAGCAGACATCTGCCTGGGATTTGGGGAAAGAGTAGAGTCTGGACAGAAATGCAGAGATAGGAAGGTTTATTCATGCAAAATAAGATTTTTAAGATTTTAAAGCAAGGTCCAAGTATGGCCAGTCCTTTTCTCTATTAGCTTATCTGTTACCTGGAAGGACTTATGTTCACCTCTAAGGCTCACTTGAAATACACAGAAGGAGAATATAGTAGAAGAAAAATTAAATGCTCATCTACTTGCTGCAGAATTAAAAGATGGAGGAGAGCAATGGTCTAGGCAAGCATTTCTCCTGTCTGGTGACCTGGGAAGGTATGTGGGCAAGTGAAGGTAACATTGAAAGGGCTCTTGCCTCCAGTCTCTGGGTTTCCTTTCCATACCAACCTTGACACAATGTAAACTTGGCAGGGCACATACTTACACTGAGGGAGGCCCTGACATTTGTCTTTGCTAATCTATCTTTGCTTTTTGGTGTGGCATAGCCAGGACCCCAAAACAATGGACCCGTGACTGGAGAGTTTTCCAAATGGCTGCAGTAGCTGAACAGGACACTCCAGCTGGTGGACTTCCTATGCTTGAGCCAGATGGGACTCATGGAGAAACTCATGGGCATTTACAGCACCAGCCAGAGTTGAGGTGAGATTGAGACTTCCAGCAAATACCACTGGGAGCAGACAGGCCTCATGTTTCCAGAGTCAAGGGCTTCCGTTTTTGCCAACCTGGCATCTAGCCACCAGTCAGACAAAGAACATTTTCTCACAAGTGTAGCAGCCAGAGGAAACACAGGGATAGACCATGAAGAAAGGTCTTTTTCCTCCCCCACTCCACATGGTTCTTACAAACAAAAGCAGTGGGAAGAAGGAGGCTTCCTAGAGAATAAGCATTTTATCCAAGAAAGACTGAACACTATCCAAAAGTGCAGTTCATATTTTTGTATCAGTCTGAACTTATAACGAGATTGGACACTTATTTATATTTTGTTCCCCTTGCCAACAGGCAAGTGGGCACTCCGGAAGACCAAATTAGTCACAGACAAGAGAAAGGAATTACAAATATTCTCTGCCCATGGGAGTTGTAGTGTGAGTTAAATTTGTCACTCTGCTATGGATGCATATGCATATACATACGGACAAGTATTTCCCTGACGATAGTAAGGAAGAAGGAAAGGAGTTCTCCCAACAGAGACATTAATTTGGCTTTCTGTCTGCCTGAATTAAAGTGTAGTTTCAAATAATAGTCATCATGTCCCAGTCCCCAAAATGCATATTCATGTGAAGAAACTGGTAAGACCTGAAGTGTCAGGAAGGAGTTTTCAGATGAGGTTTAAGCATAGACAGCTGTCATGGAAAAATCCACTTACAAATATTTTCTACCTAGGGAAATACTTGCTCCTGTGTGGGGTGTGTGTGTGTGTGTGTGTGTGTGTGTGTGTACAGGCATACACTTTAAATGGCAATACAGGAAAAGGGAATGAATGCCTAAAAATGACATGAACCAAAATAAGGAAGTCGCATAATGCTAAAGAAAGAGCGGGAAAGCACGTTTGTGGAGTATCCACCATGTGTCAAAACTGTGGCAGGCAGGGTCTTCCTCTACTAAGAGTGGTGGACTCAGCTGATAAGACTCACCTGTCTCTCAATTAATGAAAAATTATGTTTTAAAAACCCTGAGACTTTTATCTCATGTTCCTGCTTCTTACTTGGAAATCAACATAATCTATTGACTACTGACACTCACCAAGTAGTTGAATAGGATATGAGATGTCTGAGCAGGAAAGTCTCCAATGTTTAAGAGAAGTTTGCGCAGCATGTACATTAACTCATCCTGAAAAAAGAGAAGAATTTTAATGTCTTGTTCAGGTGCCATGCTGTAGGAAACAAAATTAATTTGTTGAAAATTGGGGGAGATTTTTAACTTTTTGCTCAGACTTTAATGTAAATGCTCAACATTTTAATATAGTTTATGTGATGCACATGTATACTTATAATACATGTGATACTTAGTATTTAACTAATCTTAGTATTTAACTAACACTTTAGTATTTAATATTAGTATTTAACTAACACCTTTCTTCTAGTAGCTGACATAAATATCACTGACAACTGTGTTGTTGTTTTTTTTTTTTTTTTTAATAAAACTTTACATTGTATCTACAGGTCATGGGCAAACCTTTAGAGCTGTATATTTAGTTAACTATCTGCCATGGCATGCCCTCCAAGGTGTGGTGGGAATGTAAGGAAGACCTATGTTAAGAAACCATTAAACAAACCAAGTTTACTAAACTTTTGAACTTCATAATTCTGTTTCCTAAGTTTTGAGTTAACAAGAAAAGTGAGGTCAAGAGAGAATAACTGAGCCATAACTAACTTATTTTCAGAAACTAAACCTAATATTCAAGTGAATATGGTCATAATGTAGAAACAAACAAATAATTCTTAATTATCAGCATATTTTTTTCATTGCTCAGCAAACTGTTTTTACATAATTTTCTTATAGGGTGGTTTGGCACCACCCTATAAGATGGTCTTTAGGTATTAGCTTTTTGACTTAAGAAGAGTGTTAACCTATTCTAATAACCCCACCTGTACCACAGACTCAGAATTCAACAAATGTATCCAATATTAACAACATTATACTAAATTTAGTCTTCGTTCAAAATATTGAGAGTCTTTCAGATTTAGGGCTATCACTAGTAACATAATCACACACGCAGATGTCAAGTAACAAATTTGAAAGAAAACAGCAAAATTTAATATTGCTCATCATCAATATTTTAAAAAGTACTCTTTGGCTATACATTGCTGTTGCATGCACAGCACTATACAGAGTCTTTAACTTGCTTTTTACAGTATTCACATTCATAACTACACTGTAAAGGAAGAGGAATTTACTTGTCTATTGCTGATTGTCAGTTTTTCCAGAAAATGTCGAAGAACAGTTGATGGATCTTCAATTAGACAATTCCATAAGACTTGTTGGGCCACAGCACTCACTTTAGAAGAGGAAAAAAAAATTGAACATTTGTCTTAAATGGAGATAAATCTATTACACATTATTCAAACAATTAACCAAGCTTAAATTAGTTTCTCCATTTTGCCTTAGAAAGATTCTCTAAACTCTTTTTCTTTTGAAAGGTGAATATTCGTTCTTTTTCTTGTTCTCACTGAACATTTTCACATGTAAAGAAAAGTTAAGAAAAAAGAGTAAGATGGTCTTTAAGTATTAGCATTGCAAAGAATAACTTTGTGAACACACGCAGTTGTCTGTGTTGTGGAAACCACAATAAAATGAGCAGTGGTAAGTCTTTTGTAAAGTCATATTTCATTGCTTATGACATAAATTCCTAAAGTAATTATTTAGTGTTGGAAAATATATTTGGTTAAAGTGCACATGATTTACAGATCATCTTTTAAAGTCTACATGGATGCTTTAAATAATATCTCTTTTGGTAAGTTAAAGTAGTTAAGCCAGTACTAATTGGGTTCCCGTTACTGATGAGAGACTCTTAAAAATAATCAGTCCTCATGAGAAATGATGTGCTCCTACTTTGGAAAAGGTAGTCAGGCTAAGATTACCTGCAAGCATCCAGACTAAGAAAGCCAGTGGGCAAAGGGATCAGTCTAAACAGCATTCCCAATTCCATTAGTTTTCTAAACTAGGTGTATAGAATTTAGCATAAATTTATCCTTCAATCTATATTTTCAACACACAATACCAATTTTTGCTTAGAAATTAACCATCCAACTGAAATTCAGAGCCTTATAAATCAATAATATGAATAAGAAATACATAAATACTAAGCTTTAGCATTCATGTATCCCTATAAATAATTTTGAAAGGTGTGGATTTTTGTTAGGTTTGAAATTGGTTGAAAAAATATCTTTACAATACTTTTTATTCTAATTATTCTAATAAGGCAGTTTGATGCTTAAAACCTGGAAAACACAGAATACCATAAAGGGAAAAATAAAAATGGGAAGGCCACCAATCATAATAGCTATGAACAGTCTGAAGGATGTCCTTTTATATACAGGAAACACATACTTAACATATATGTTGAATCATTATATAGGAAACATTGTTTCATACTCAATTTTTAAATTTAGCAATATGAAGAACAGTTTTTATGTTAATATTCTAGAATATGATTTCTTATGTATACAGAATACTCTCAATTGGCGTAAAAAGGTTAATTTAATTGCCTGTGGTATAGCACATTTAAATTCTTTCCAGACTTTTAAAAATATAATGTTCAGTGTCCTTTATAAACTTTTATATAGTTTTCATTTTTGCTTTATGAAATTGCTAGAAACCAATTTTTTACACTTTTAAGTTTTTGATCCACATAATGAAACCCCATTCTAGAATGTTTGCATCAAATTTTATGCTTGAACACCAAGTTTTGAGGATGCTCTTTTTCCTGCCTCTTCACCAAGTGAGGTATTTTAAGGAAATCTTTGCCTACTTTGTAACTGACATATAAGCTTTCACTGTTGTTTTAAACAGTTGTTTACAGGTGTTAATGGCCAATAAACTGTTCATATCCTTTGCCCATTTTTCTACAGGGGTTTTTAAAATTGATAACTGAGTTTTAACTTTATTCTTAATTCAAAAATTTAAGAATATTAACCTTTTGTCTATCACAAATATAACTCATCTTTCCCCCTAGTTTTTCATTTCATTTTGCAATTAGGAAAGATGTTTTTTTGTGGTATCAAATGAATAGCTACAATTTCTAAGATGGATACAGTGACTGTTTCATTTCCACTTGACCAAGTTAAGTGTTGTTTTGTTTTCTGGTCATAACTACTTCTTTGTAAATGCTATTTATTGCTTATACAAGTATGGGAGGAGGAGGTCATAAATTGATGAGATATGGAAGTTTATAGCATGGCAGACTAACACTATGCTTGCCGCAAAAGTGACAGTGTTGACATTCTAAGCTACAAATCTGTAGTTATAATAAATGCATAAAACCATTCAATATGTGTTCAGTGGGTAACATGTTCAAGAGGAATCTACTGTTCTCCATCAGACGAACCCTTAAGCCCATGACGGAAGGTGTGACGGGTTAATACTGTACCTGCTACTCCGTCCTCCCGCACCTCACCGTCCTCCATGAGATGAACAATGGGCAGCACTGCTGCACAGATGCATGCAGGGAACACGGCCTGTGGGGGCTGTGGCACATGGTGGTTTGGTGTGTGTTCCGTGGTGTGCTCCTCATCTGGAGGGGGAGACAAAATCAGAGTGCTTTCACCAGTGATGTAATTCTAATACAACAACATTTCAGTTCAGTTCAAGTCTTACCGACTTAGTGGTACAATCCACGGCAATGATGAAATATCATAATTTTTTAAAAGTTGGATTTACATAGAGTGTCTCCTCATGTTAAATAACAAAACCAACACACTTCACAAATACTGTCTTTTTTTCTTGTTTTATGGAGAAAGAAGCATGGACATTCTGGGTAGATCAGCTCATAACATGAACTCAAATATCACATTTTAAGTGGAGACTAAGTCGTTTCTCACAGATGCAACTGGAAGTGGTAAGTATGAATACGGAGTAGCAGAAAACATATACACATGTTTCAGATGAGAATAACAGCCCACTCATATTCATGTTCTTATGTTTACTGATAAATATGATTAATAATAAATTTGAACAATTATTTCATATGGGAATACAATGAGTTTAGATTTAATAGTCAAGGAATGTAGGAAAGACATTTTACAGCTCAATAAAAAAACTAATTTTATTATTAATACAAAGTAAGTCATTTTTCTAGAGTGCTTAAAGAAGAGGGAGTCTTTGATTCTCATATTTCAGTGTATGTAGTTATTTGGGATTTTAGAGGTCTTATGAAGGACTGGAGGGTAGGAGACTTACTTAGTTGCTCTCAATCCTGGTTTCACCCTAGATGTATGTGAAAATCTTTAAACAGTATATGGACAGATACACTGGGTAGGCACTTAAGGAATAATAAAGATTCCCCAAATCTACCACAAAAGCAATAAGAACACTGGAAAACATAGTCAAAATAAACATTCTCAGAACTTTAAAAATTAACCAAAATCTGAGAACAATTTAAGTGTTTGTTAAAAATAAAAAAACAGAATCTTGGTATGATTGCTAGTGTTTCTGCTTTTTTAACTTTCTCTCTTCACTCTGCCTTTCTTTGGCTTCTTGGTAGCCTTGGAAATTAGTAGCTGCATATCCATGGCAGATGTAAATACCAGCAGCCTAACAGCCTCTAGGGGTATAGCAGGTTTGGAGCTCCCAAAAACCTTGTCACTAGAGAAATGTCACTACTTGAACTATTTAGCCACTATTTGGAAAATCCCCACGCAGAGCACTTGTCTTCATTTGACTTGGCTCAATGCTTGCTTAGTGCAAATGATTTATACCCAGGGCATTGGCCAAAAAGAATTAGCAAACAACTGTCTCACATTACAGCTGGCTGAGGTGCTTATATCCGCTGGGGCAAGCAAGAATCTGCAGAAAAACATAAAGGAAAATCTGGAGAATGTAGGTCTCTGACACATTCTTGGTATCTAAATGGCTGCATGCATGTGCAAGGGTGTGCTCTCGCTCATGAAAGACCTAAATTCCTAACCTTTCACTTCTGGCTGATCTTGAGGCTCTGCCCAAGCATAAAGTGAAACAGTGAAGGCCAAGGCAGAGTCTTAAACTACTGGAACAGGAAGGTGACTCAGTACATCTATAGAGCCCTCCAGCAAAGGCTAGGAGACTCTTTAGTACATGGCATCTAAGAAAAAGCTCTGTCTAATCATTACCTGATCACTAATTTAACTGAAGAGATTTAGGTGATCATACTCAAGAAAGTATGCAGATTTTTAACAATTAGTCCAGAACAGTCAGTAACCAAACAAATAATAACACAACTTGTAGCAATAACACGCCCCAATTTGGAAAGAGGGTGTCTGATTTTCAAAGCTGCCACATGATACAACTTAAATTTTCCATTTTTTGATAAAAAATTATGAGGCATGCAAAAAAAAATCAAGAAAATACTGCCCATAGAGAAATAAAAGCAGTCAATAGAAACTGTCTTTAAGGAAGCTTAGATTTGGGACTCAACTAGACAAAGATATTCTATCAGTAGTTGTATTTTCTATTTTAATACTTTATAAATGTTACATAAAACATGACAGCTATAATACAAAATAGCAATAAAAATAAATCTGTCTTTTGCATGCCATATCTTTTACATGTAAAATGGCAAATATAAATCTTATTTTATCCATAATTACATTAAGTAAAAATGGACAAAATATTCCTATCAAGAAACAGAATAAGCGGTAAAAATAAAAAGTGAAAAAGAACTTGAGAGTATTATGTTAAATGAAATAAGCCAAACTTGAAAAGTCAAGGGTTGGATGTTTACTCTCACAGGTAGAAGACAGAGAGGAAAAAAAGTGAGGGGGGAATCTCATGAAAATTTAAGTGAAAGGGAGCCCAAGGTAAGGATAGAAAGGGAGGGAAAGAAGTTGACCAAATTATGTTACATGTATTCATATGTGTGTTTATACATATGAATATCTCACAATGAATCCCACTGTTATGTATAATTATAAGGAACCAACAAAATCAATTTTAAAAAACAAACAAACATGACTCAAATATATAGTATTTATTAGAGTCATATAGTTTCAGAGACACAAATAAGACAGAAGAAAGATGGAAAATGTAGGTCTCTGACACATTCTTGGTATCTAGATGGCTGCATGCATGTGGACAATAGTTAAGAGAAAGCTGGAAAGTCTATATTATTATCAAATTGAATTTTAATATAAAAAATTTTACTGGAGGCAAAGGAAGACATGTTGTAACTATAAAAATTCAACCTATTGGGAAGACAATTTTACATGCATCTGTAACAACAACAGAGCCCCAAAACTTAAGAAGTAAAAACTGACAGAATTAAAGGGAGAAATAGATAATTCAATGGTAATCACTACAAACTTCACTATCCCACTTTCAGTAATGTTTAGAACAACTGGACAGACTTCATCAAGGGAATAGAAGACTTGAACAACATTATAAACCAACTAAACCTAACATACATATGCAATAATAATAAAACATTTTTCTGAGACATATTCAGAATGTATGCAATCAAACAAGCCTCAATGAGTTAAAAAAGGTGAAATAATATATTTTCTGACCCTAAGAGATTAAATTATATATCAATAATTGTATAAGAACTTGGAAATTTACAAATATATAGAAATCAAACAGTAAATTCCAAATAACCAATGGTCAGATATTGAATCACATCATAAAATACTATTCCTTGAAAAAGATCAATAAAATTGATAAATCTTTAGATAGACTGAGAAAGAGAAAAGAAAAAAAAGACCCAAATTGCTAAAACTGAGGAAAAAGAGGGCACACATCACTACTAATCATAATTATCAATATAATAAGGATTGCAAAGAAATATTAAGGACAAGTATACATAAATAAATTAGAAAATGTAGATTAAATACACAAGTCTTTAGGAAGGCATAACCTAAAGAAGTTGACTAGAGAAGAAATAGAAAATTTGAATAGATTTATATCAAAGAGATTGCTATATTAATAAAAAAAAACTTTCCACAAAGGAAAGCCAAGACCCAGGTAACTTTATTGGCCAATTCCACCAAATACTGAACAGATATTTAACACTAATTCTTCACAAAAACTTCTAAAAATTAGAAGAGAAGAAAACACTTCTTAAATCAGTCTAATAAGTCAGTATTGCTTTGTACTGAAACTAGATAATGACATCACAAGAAATGAAAAACAGATCAGTATCTCTTATGTGTACAGATGAGAAAATTTTCAACAAGCTATTAGTAAAATGAATCTAGAACTATATAAGATTATATACTATGACCAAATGAGATTTATCTCAGAAATGCAAGGGAGGATAAACATAAAAAGCAACAAATATATCTTAATAGAATGGAAAAAACTCATGAGAATTTCAATAAGTACAAAAAAGCCTTTGATAAAACCCAACACTCTTTCATAATAAAAAAGAAAATACAAAACTAGGAAACGAAGGGCACTTCCTCAACATTATAAAGGCCATTTGTTAAAAACCCACAGATTTTTTTTTTTAAATAAAAAATCCACTAACACTAACTGGATTAAGTTAGTGAATACTTAATAGTAAAAGACTGAATGCTTTCCCCCTAAGATCAGAAACAAGGCAAAAATATCTGATCTCACCTCTCCTATAAAAACCATACTGGATGTTTAGCCATTATTTAGTAAATAGATGTTTACTATTATCTAAATATGTAGATATAAATATATCTATATATTTAGATAATAGTAAATATATCTAATTTACTATTAGATAGTAAAATAAAGAAAAAAAGGACATCCAGATTAGTAGGAAAGAAGTAAATTATCTTTATTTGCAGATGATGTCATTTCGTGCATAAAAAAGCCTAAGGAATCCACAAGAAACTATTAGAAGTAATAAACTATTCATTAGAGGCTGCAGGATACAAGATATAATATACAAAAATCAACTGTATTTTTTAAAGACTTTTTAGTTGTAGATGGACACAATATCTTTATTTTATTTATTTTTATGTGGTGCTAAGGATCAAACCTAGTGCCTCATGCATTCGAGGCAAGCACTGTATCATTGAGCTACAACCCCAGCCCTCAATTGTATTTTTATACATGAGGAATAAAAACTTAAAAGTGAAATTAGAAGAATAACTTATTATTTTAGGGGGAAGGTGGGTACTGGGGATTGAACTCAGGGCCACTTAACCACTGAGCCACATACCCAGCCCTATTTTGTATTTTATTTAGAGACAAGGTCTCGCTGAGTAGCTTAGTGCTTTGCTTTTGCTGAGGCTGGCTTTGAACTTGCAATCCTCTTGTCTCAGCCTCCCTAGCTGCTGGGATTACAGGTGTACGCCACCATACCTGGCAGGAGAACACTTTTAAATAAACTAGCATCAAAAATAATAAAATACTTAGGAATAAATTCAATGAAAGAAGTACAAGACTTGTACACTGAAAGCTACACACATTGTTGAAATAGGACCTAAATGAATGAAAAAGTATATGTGTTCATGGATCAGAAGACTTAATAAATCCCACAGTGATATACAGATACAATGCAATGAGATCTCATGTGTCTTTTTTAAGAAGTCGACAAAATGATCCTCCAATTCACATAAAAGTGCCAAGAGACCAAGATTAGCTAACATAATTTTGAAGAAGAAAAACATATTTGAAGAACTCACATTTTCCTTTAAAAAATCTTACTATAAAGCTACAGTAATCAAGACTTATGTGTCAGTATGCTACTGACACAAAGTATGCACTGAAACAAAGATTGAAGGATGGATCAATAGAATAGAAAGATCAGAAATAAACTATTACATTTGTGTTCAATTGATTTTTTTACATTAATCCAAAAAAATTAATGAAGAAAAAGAATATTTTCAATAAATGGTACTCAGACAACTAGATATCTACATGCAAAAGAATGAAGTTGAATTCTAATATCATAATTAAAACATTAACTCAAAATTGACTGGACTCTTAAATATAAGTGCTAAAGCCATACAACTCTTGGGAAAAAAACATAGGAACAGATCTTTGTTATCTTGGGCTACACAATTGTTTCTTAGATATGACACTAAAAGTACAAGTGAAAAAATTTTATATATATATAATATAATTTTATATACATCTGTGTATATTAAATTATATATAATATATACATATATATTCACATATATGACTTAAATAAAATTACAATCTTCCATGTTTCAAACTTGCCATTAAGAAAGTAAAAAGCCAAACCATAGAATGGGGGAAAATATTTGTGAACCATTTATCTGACAAATGGCCTGTCTCCAAAATATATAAGTAATTCTTATCACTCAACAATGAAATTAACCAATTAAAAATGGGCAAATAACAGTCTGGACACTTTGTTTTACATCTACATAGTTCTTTCATGAATTGAAATAAATGCTTTCTCATTTGTATTTCATGTAATTGTAATTATATCTTTTACATTAAATGATATGCAAATTTAATACATAAAAAGTAATAAAGGAAATACAGACAAAAGATTCAAATAGACATTTTCCTAGAGAAGATATATGAATAGTCAATTAACACATGAAAAGATCATTTGCATTAGCATAATGCAAATCAAAATCATAATGAGATAGCCATTTCACATCCAAAGGCGTGGCTAAAACTAAAACAGACAATAAGGAGTGTGGGAAGAGATGTGGAGCAACTGGAACCCTCACACTTTTTGATGAGAATGTAAAATGGTACAGACACATTGGAAATACTCTGGCAATTTTCCTCATAAAAACTTCCACATGTCTGTTCCTAAGAGCCTAATTCATAGTAGACAAAATGGAAACAAACCCATGTGCCCAGAAACTGATGGATAGACAAATAAGAAGAATTATGTCAGTGTGATAGAAAATTATTTGGGAATAAATAAGAATGAAAACTTGATACATGCTACAACATGGATGAACCTTGAAAATATTATGCCAAGTGAAAAAATCCAGTCACAAAAGACCATATATCATACAATTCCATCTATATGAAATGGTAAATCCATAGAAATAAAAAGCAGATTAATTCTTGCTGGGTTCAGGGAAGCAGCAGATGAAGAGTGATTGCTAATTGGTATAGGGTTTCTTTTGATATGAAAAAGGTATTTGAAAATTAAGATGGTGAGTGTTGCATATTCTATGGATATACTAAAAGCTACAGCACTGTATACATCAAAGAGATGACAGTACATGAATTATTTCTTATTAAAAGTGTTATGAAAATACAGATATATCTTGGGTCCCATCTCCATAAGTTGTGAATAACTAGCATCAGTCATTTTTCCAAATTCCCTAGGATTGTGTAACAAAGGGTTGAGAATGACTGCTCTATTTGTTCCATTTCTGTATATATTTTTTGCTGACTTCATAAATCAGTGATGATATCTATATAACCATGTAGCAGTTAGCCAGTTGTTCATCATTAGAGAAGTATAGTTTTTATGTTTTGGGAGCTGAAGAACATCAGTCTGCCTCCCACCCCTCCCATATCAAGAATCAGACTTCATTATAGAAATATCATGATATTTAGTCTTAATTTGATTGTTAAGTTACTCCAGAACAACGTCCTACACTGGAGTCATTGAAGGAGGGTTTAAAAGAACCAATACATGGGTCCTACCTTCAGAGATTGTAATTGTGATTGGTCTAGACATTTTTAAAAAGCTTCCCAGTTGATTGTAATGTGTAGCCAGGGAAGAAAACCATTTACTGCCTACAATAATATCTTCAGGACTGTCAGCAATATGATTACATGTAATGTAATTAAAAGAGGTCAACTTAAAAATGAGAATTCCTGGTGAAATCAACATTCTTTTTTTTAAGGATTCCACTCTGGTTTTTCTTTTTTAACCTCAAATCATCAAATAAGTTATTTAATGAGGACAGTGTAAAAGTAATAAGGCGATGTTAACTGGAAAAAGATTCAAAACATGTGAGCCATGAGGAATAAAGAAGGCATTTGCAAGAGGACATACCTTCGGCGCTGACAGCTGAACGCACAGACCAGACCGACCCCCGGCGGAAGGAATAATTCCTGTGGGAGGTGCTCGAGGTGCAGGAGGGGCTCACGGACAGTCGGCGGGATGCCAGATTGGTGACTTCTTCTACTGGCAAACAAAACAGGGCATGTGAACTTTACAACTCCATTTATCATCATCACAGATATAGTTATGCTTATACCACAAGTATATACTGCTCTCAGACCACAGGGCTTAAGTCACTTAGAATGACTAGGAAACAACGACTCTACAAAAGACAGACAAAAGTTCCTCCTAAAGTTTTCCAGGAAGTCAGAACAAAGAATCACTGAAATTAAAATGATTTATAAATCATTTTTATTATGTCAACTGACAAATTGTCTACATGTGTGAAGGCTGGAAATAGTTATTGGATTAACCCTATTTTTAATGATGAAAGAGTGGTTGCATTTACTTTAATACGAATTCTGAATTTAGCCAGAATCTAGAATCACAACCAAGCCTTCATCCAAGATCTGACGGGTTCCCTCAGCACAGCTAATGTTTTCCCTAGGAAATGGGCCAACTCTAGACTTTAGAAAGCAACAACTTCTTTCTTTGGATATTGTCAGAAAGTGATAGAGATGGAGGGGGCATATCACCTCATATCACCCAAGGTCATTAATTTCTATTTAAAAACAAGTCCTTTCCCTGTGACTCAGCCCCCAAAGAAGTCCCGGGTGCAGAGGGCACCTTCTTCTTCCGGCTCTGAGTTGGGTGTGCAGGTGGGCTCATAGCAAGCCTCCTGGGTGATGGGGATGGCAGTAATGAGGCTGGCTTCTCGACCCAGGCGTTTCTTCTCTTCCTCCTGCTGCAAGTTCTTTAAGATATGTTCTGCTCTTTGATGAGAGCGAGAGACAGCTCGGGCAGAAAAGGATTTCTGTGGAGACATGAAGGCAGGTTTATTTAGTAGGAACTCTTCCTGCAAGGTCAGAGTCATAAAGAATGACCTAATGAATTACACACATGTGATAGTTTGACCTTAGGAAATGTTAGGGCATTTATGATCTAGTTTTATGGAGATTTATTTGTTTTTCTACCAATTTTCTAAGTTATGTATGACTGAGCATTTTTTAACTCAATTAGAATAGTTATTGAAGAATATCTGTAATTTCTGAAAATAATCTTATTTAACTTTTAGGATTTTTGGTGATATCAGTGATTTACTTTTTAAACATTAACACTACATAAAATTTGGTACACATATTTTTGAACTGGCTTTAAATGAAGGATATTTATTACATAAGGTTAATAAAATAGAAAGTTGAAACCATGGAAAAGAGGAGGAAGGAGATACATCTCTCATATAAACCAGTTAGTATGTGATTTATTCCATTTTTGTAACCAAGTATTTATTACACTTTAAATAACATTTGTAGATAAACACAATGGCACAGTGTGAATACTTAAAATTGTAGAAATACAATTATTGAGTTTAGGAGAGTTGATAGTGTGACTATGGTTGAATATAAAATTTGATCTGTGTCTACTAGTACCAAAGGCATAAAGGAAAAATAAAAAAATAGGACAAATTCACTCTTCAACAGGTGAATTTCACTTTGCAAAATGCCTATTCTATTTATGCCTTCCTTTTGCTGAGAAAAATTCCAAGAGCTCTGGAGACAGTGGTCTCAGTGCAGGGAAGTGATCCTGGAATTCTTTACAACCAATAGGAAGCAATCTCTATGTACAACAGCAACTGCACATCTCTTTGTTGGCCTATAGTAACATAAGCTTCTGGAGACTGATAAGAGATCTTGGTAACTCTTCTAAAGGTTGGCATGCACAGAAGCCTTATTTGCTGCATATTAACATAAGACAAAAGGTTTACTATGACGAATGGCACAATAGCAGTTAAAAAGCATTTGATTGGACAATTCATTTTCAGAACGAGGTGGTTAAGCTGGCTTGTTATATAGCAAAAGGTAAGAATTGTGGAGGGAGAGAAAGGGCTGGTTACAGAGGCAGGGGACTTTGTTTCAAACATATTGTAAAGTCGGGAGAGAGTTGATTGGCTCAAGGGAATCCATTGCCTGTATGGGAGAAAAGTCAAGAATCTTAGGCTGGTGGTTCAGGTGTTGTAATTACCACACATATGAGAAAAGAAACAGATGTGCCTTTCTCTTTAGCACTGGATCACGGGTTATGAAGATACTGTACGTGAAAAAACTAAAATAAAACAGGCAAAGTGCAATGGGTGAAGAGTTCAAACAATTCTCCAAGAAAACTGCAAATGCCTTACAAAGTCTACATATGATATGCAAAATGTTCAACTTAACTTCAATATTCAACTAAATTTTTCAAAAGGGTGTGAATTAAAAAAACCAATAACTATTTTTTGCCACTTGAGGTGTCAATTTAAAAACACACACATTACTTGGAATAGAAAAGATGTTTTTCTTAAGGAAAAATGTGTAAGGTAAAATGGCATAACATTTTTTGGGATATTTTGTTAGATGTATTGAAAGTCTTTAACATGTATATATAATTGCCATAAATTTGATGGGAATTTATTCAAGGAAAGATGATAGATTTGTGCAAAGAGATGAGTTCTTCTATTTTTGCTATATTTTCCAAATCTTTTACATAATTCATAATTTGGAAAAGTAAGTAAAGCAGGCATATTTTGAGAATTGACTTTATCAATAGCCTCATATTCTTGGGTTTTGTGTGCGAATAGCTGTGTTCTTGACTTAGCTGTTAATGGGTCACATTATACACAGCTGGGATATGGAAGAGCAGCATAAGACCTGAGGTCTGAGTGATATGTGTGGTGATGATATTGATGACCAGCAAAATAAGAAGCAAAAGAGGAAGTGGGAGTCCCCAACTCTCTTCTTTTTCTTACTCTTGCAGGGTCCGTATTTTTAACTTCAGGTATTTCACATCTTATAGATTAAATTAGTATGTTTGCTGTATAATAGCAGCAAAGTGCTTCCATTGGTCAAGAAATCCATGCCTAATGCTTTTAATAATTTTATAGGGTGACTGAAGCTTTTATAAAACAAAATCATGTGATGCAAATGACCACTACTAGGTGTTAGTTTCTTCTGTCCCAGAAATGAACAACTCTATGAATAATATTACATTCTCTTAATAAGAACAAAGGAGTTATCTCATACTTATTGCTTTTCTCTTTTACATGTACTCCAGGCAACTTGGAGATATGGGGACAAAATGCTTGATACTCACAGACTGATCTTCATTAATGGGGTCCTGGACACTCCCACTGCACTGAGGGACCCATGGAGGGTCAAACATTGGGACAGATGGCATTCCAAGCACTGGGGAGGGCAGGGTGAAGTTGATACTGGGAGGCGGGATCTGTTAGTTGATAACAGAAGAATGAGGTGAGAAAGATGAAATGTGAGCCTGGAAGGAGTCTGAAGTATAATTAAGACACAATCCATTTTAATAGGTGTCAAGGACCTACGGTGACTCCTCACAGAATAGGCAAGAAACAGAGAGAAGAGCTGTCTGCAAAGCTTTTTTGCTGGAGGACACACCATGAACCTCTCTGGGCCTCAGTTTACTCATCAATAAAATGAAAGAGTTTCAACTAAATGACATTTAGTTGTGTTAACTATCTTCCTCCAAAGGTAGACAGATACATAGATAGATAAGATACACACACACTTATTCTTTTAACAGCAAAATGCATAGAAGATTACAATCCACTTATATGTGCTTACCTCTGGGGATGTTAGTATGCTATTGAGGTTTTATAGAAACTTGATTCTCTATTTTACATTCTTCTATATTTCAATTTTTCTTTTAGCAACAAGAACTCATTCATGTGTGAGTTATGATTACTTATATAATTAGAAAAACAAAAGACAAGGTTTTCCTTCACTATGCATTGTAGCTCCGACATTCTTGGATTTAAAAAAATCTTGGGTTAGTTTTGCTGATCAAATTCTCATGTGGGAAGTATCTCTCACCTTAAAAATCTGCTGTGCTCCCTCCTCCATCCGGGGCCAGACCTGATAGCGAAACCTCCAGAGCGTGTGGAATTTGAGGACAGCATTCAGTCTCTGCACAGTCTCTGGGTGGTGGAACTCTGACATCAACATGTCAGACACAGCTTCAGGAACCTTCACAGCACACAGCAGAAACATGGCAGCTAGAGAGAGTTAATGATTCGTCAGCTATACATTTTTAAGTTTTGCTTGATTTCTGGGGTTGGGAAGAAGTGGTAGCTGCTTAGATCTTCTGAAAATGACTCCTGAACTCAGAGCCAAGCCACCAGCACTGGCCAAAACCACTAGAAACCAAACATAACTCTGATTCACCTATAATCATCTAAAATCTGTTGCAAAAGCAGCAACAGCGTGACATTTCAGTAGAATAACTTATGCTAAGCAAGGCTTCCTTTGGCTCACAGAGAAAAGAGAATGCCAGAGGAAGCCCATGAAAAAACAAATCACACATCAAAATACATTATTTATGAAGTGGCTAGAGTCATCCCACGGTAACCCAAGAACATTACATAAAATCCAATGCAATGAACATCAATGTAGCAGTGTCCCTGTAGCATGCTCTTTTTAGGTCTTTAGGGAATAGACCAAGAAGGGGAATAGCTGGGTCAAATGGTGGCTCCATTCCCAGCTTTCCAAGAAATCTCCATACTGCTTTCCAAATTGGCTGCACCAATTTGCAGTCCCACCAGCAATGTACAAGTGTACCCTTTTCCCCACATCCTCGCCAGCACTTGTTGTTGTTTGACTTCATAATGGCTGCCAATCTAACTGGAGTGAGATGGTATCTTAGGGTGGTTTTGATTTGCATTTCTCTGACTGCTAGAGATGGTGAGCATTTTTTCATGTACTTGTTGATTGATTGTATGTCCTCCTCTTAGAAGTGTCTGTTCAGGTCCTTGGCCCATTTGTTGATTGGGTTGTTTGTTATTTTATTGTCTAATTTTTTGAGTTCTTTGTATACTCTGGATATTAGGGCTCTATCTGAAGTGTGAGGAGTAAAGATTTGTTCCCAGGATATAGGCTCCCTATTTACCTCTCTTATTGTTTCTTTTGCTGAGAAAAAACTTTTTAGTTTGAGTAAGTCCCATTTGTTGATGTTCATAGCAGCACAATTCACAATAGCAAGACTGTGGAACCAACCTAGATGCCCTTCAATAGACGAATGGATAAAAAAAATGTGGCATTTATACACAATGGAGTATTACTCTGCATTAAAAAATGACAAAATCATAGAATTTGCAGGGAAATGGATGGCATTAGAGCAGATTATGCTAAGTGAAGCTAGCCAATCCCTAAAAAACAAATGCCAAATGTCTTCTTTGATATAAGGAGAGTAACTAAGAACAGAGTAGGGTCGAAGAGCAGGAGAAGAAGATTAACATTAAACAGGGATGAGAGGTGGGAGGGAAAGGGAGAGAGAAGGGAAATTGCATGGAAATGGAAGGAGACCCTCAGGGTTATACAAAAGTACATACAAGAGGAAGTGAGGGGAAAGGGAAAAATAATACAAGGGGGACAAATGAATGACAGTAGAGGGGGCAGAGAGAGAAGAGGGGAGGGGCGGGGAGGGGAGGGGAGGGGGGATAGTAGAGGATAGGAAAGGCAGCAGAACACAACAGACACTAGTATGGCAATATGTAAATCAATGGATGTGTAACTGATGTGATTCTGCAATCTGTATATGGGGTAAAAATGGGAGTTCATAACCCGCTTGAATCAAAGTGTGAAATATGATATATCAAGAACTATGTAATGTTTTGAACAACCAACAATAAAAAATTAAAAAAAAAATCCAATGCAAACCACTTCTGTATCATCAGTTGTATTTTAAAAATACACATTGCAGATTCTATTAGAAACTTCTACCTTTCTTAGAGATAGAAGAGATGGAGAAGCAAAAAGATTTCATGGATCATAATACTTCCATTTTATTTTTTAATTTTGGGAAAAGTTAAATATCAATAAGAGAAAGGTCAGGTGCTAATGAACAATGAGACTGATAAATACGCTAAAGCACAGATAAAGGGTCAGAGGCAATCATAAAAACATATTCTGGAATCTCTCTTGCTTTCTCCCCAGAGCCTCAAAACACGATCAGACAGTCTTGGTAGAAGACCCAGAGCGGGGCCTTAGTCCTTTGTGATCTTGGGCAAGCCTTTTAGATTCTGTTAGCTTCCATTTCCTCACTGATAAACTGAATGATGATGACACCTGACTTCAAATTTGTTGTTAAAATAAATCAAAGAATGTATGAGAAAGTGCTTTGTAAAGTGAATTGTGTCACACAGCTCTAAAGTACATTTCATCTTTCCATGACAATGTGGTAAAACGGGAAGGGCATCTACAATGTGCCATCAGATCCGAATTGGATTTTCTGGCTAATTCTGTTGTGCAGATTGGATAAGTTCCTTCAACTCTCTGACTTGAGTTTTCTCATCTACAGAATAGTCTATCAGTAACAAGTAACAATATAGAACTATATTACACTATATGTGTAATATAGTTCTATAACAAATGTTAGTTATTGGGATCTTTGGTTTATTAATATCCTTTTTATTCCTAGCCTACCAGCTGCCTAAGTCTCCACTCTTTCTCCTTTTTTTTTACTTCCCTTTAAAAATATACTCTACACTGCTTTAATTTTTAAACATCATGCTCTCTTTAAATCACTATAAGGCTCTAATCTCTTTACAACAGTAGTTTCCTTATAATGCTTACTGATTATCAGATCCATTGGTATTTTTTTACCGAATGTTTTTTACCCTTAACACCTTTGAAACAATCTACTTGAGACTTACTCTCTTTTATTTCCATGGCTTGAAATCATTAATTTTCTACTTTTCTGATCCCTTTTCCTGGGTCCCCATCTGCTGCCATTATTTCAGCTGTCACCTACATCAACTTGTTCCCAAGTTTATCTCTGGTTCCAGCTTTTCTCTTTTTTGGGGAGTAGGGGTTACTAGGGATTGAGCTCAGGGGCACTCAGCCACTGAGCCACATCGCCAGCCCTATTTTGTATTTTATTTAGAGACAGGGTCTCACTTTTGCTGAGGCTGGCTTTCAACATGCTATCCTCCTGCCTCAGCCTCCTGAGCTGCTGGGATTACAGGTGTGTGCCACAATGCCCAACTGGCTTTTCTCTGTACTTCTTCCAGGTCATGTCTCCCAACTCTATGTCACACACTCCCCTCACCTAAAAAAAAAAAAAAGAAAGAAAGAAAGAAAAATCTCTATTTCTAAAACCAAACTATTTTGCCGCCACATTAAACTTGGTAATAATTCAGTCTTTTATGCACATTTTATTTTTGGCTCAGAGCCCATGAGTAATTTCTCATATAGCAATTTTAGAAAGTCCACAACCCTAACTCTGCCATCCAGGATCTGTCAATCTAAGTTCCACTCACCTCTCTAGTATTATGGATAGGTGGTCTCTCTGGAAAGCTACTCTAGGGGTCAAATCAGTCTCCAGTCTTTCCAAATAAGCCAGTTTATTTCCACACCAACATCATTTTCCCTGCTTGGCTAACTTTTAGTCATTCTGAAAGCCTGGTCCACCTGCTTATATTTTCCCTTGGAGTCTCCATGACTGTCCTGATTTGGGAAAGAATGCCTTCTGTAGCTCTCCAAGAGAAGCAAAAACCTGAGATTTAATGTAAACAAATATATTTTCTGAAGATATTTGTTATAGTGTAGTATAAAAGAACAAAAGGCTAGAATCAACCTAAAATTCTACACACAGGTCTTGATTAAACAAATTAAGTTGGGGTAAAACTATAAAATAATTTTAAAATGCTCTCCAAATATCAATGAAAAACTGCAAAGTGCAAAAGCTTTTATAATATCCTTGTAGGAAACAAAAACCTGCAATATATACACAACACACACACACACAAACACACACACACACACACACACACACACAAAATGTACCCTAGAGGAATTCCTGAAAAACTTAATTGTTGCCTCTGAAGAAAGGAACAAGTGGTCATGGGAAAGAGGATGATACTTTTAACTTCATAAATTTTTGTACTACTTGAATTTTTACCATGTGCATTTTGCAATCAACATAACTATGGATAAATAAAGGAATATGTATAAAAGGGGGGAAACGAAGAGCCTACATTTTGTATCTACCAGATGTTTTGGACAAGTCACTTAAATTTCATGAATTTATTTTGACATTGTAATTTGGACAGAAAATTACTCTCATGAGATCTGATAAAGTTAATGATAGTGATGCACAGTAAATCTAGGAAATAACATAAAAAGAATTTTATCTTTTAGAAAATATAGTGAAAATGTAGGTTTGGGAGGGAAATTGTCTCTCCAATTTCTTAATACTGCTGGAGTTTGGTGCATGTCTCCTAAAGACCTATGTGTTGCTCCCCAGGGTGGTGCTACTGGGAGGCAGAGGGTGAATTGGGGCCGAGTGAGAGGTCCTTTGGTCTTTGTGGGCATACTTTTGAAAAGGACTGTGAGATTCTGTCTTTTTCTCCCTTTTGCTTCATAGTTATGAGGTGAGCAGTTCTGCTCTGCTATGTGTTCCCCACCATTTACGTCTCGTACCACCATGGACTGGAACTTCTAAAATCATTAACCAAATAAAGCTTTTCTCTTCATAGATTGGTTATCTCAGGTATTTTGTTAATAGTTTTGGAAAGCTGACGAACACATATTCTGAGAGAGATCTACTGTTCTTGTGCAAATCACGTGGTGATTTTGGAAAAGAGCACTCAAAACCTGGGTCTTATTTCCTATAGCATACAACTATGTTTACAGTTCTAGCAATTGCCACCAACCTAATCTAGAGGCAAAAATTAAATGAATTCCCCTCTCTCTTATTTTAACAGTATGGCAGTGGCTGCAGGAGTGGGGTCCCAGGTGGTCTTTCTTTACCTGCTGCCCCTGCCATGTGCTCATCCATGCTGAGCAGGAGCTCCCAGGCTGCTGGCTGGATATCACCATACATCTCCTCTGTCAGAATTGGAGCTGCCTTGATTAAAAGAGATAAAGGAGCAGGCGACAAGCTCATCACCTGGGAAAAGATGGAAATCATGTTTTAAAATCTTTTAGGACACTTACTACTGTCTTCTTCCTTATGAGTAACTTCCCCTCTCTGATTTCCTTAAATGACCTGAAAATTCTTTCTAAAAGGGCAGCATATCTAGTTGGCATGGTGTATGAGCTTTATACTTTTCAGTTGAAGAAAATTAGAAGGGTAAAAAAAACTCCCTCACTAATCTTGTAATGCTTTCATCACAAAATCAGCTTTACAACCACCCAAGAATAAATTGTAGAACACATACAACACCACAAGAAAAGACAAATACCAGCCAATGTATATTTGTCTTAAAAGTCCTGTTTGACTTCTAAAGACTTGCGTATTTCCTTCCTGTTGGTAGATTTCTGCTGAAAACCAGAAGCAAACAGTAACTTCTCAAGGAGTCCTTAGAAAGCTATTTTTCTAAGCCAGCATGAGCTTCAATGGCATTTTCCTTTGAAGCAGTATACACTGTGGTTATAACCCCAGGTCCATCCACAAAACATATTTAATCCATTATTTCAGATAATATAGGCAGTAAATGTAGGTTCTGGAAAAGTCATAATTTTAAATACATTCCAGAAAAACATGAAAAATTTGGTTTTTGTTTCCCTGCAGAAAGGTACAGTTTAGAGTTTAGCTTACAATAGCAACATAATAGTGTTATGATTAGTAGGTAAATATAGTATTTTATTTAATTCATGCAATAATCTTTTGGGATGGGTCTAGTGTTATACTCCCCATTTTATAGATGAAGAGACTAAGACCAAGGAAAATTAAATAACCTGTGCAGAGTTCCAGAGCTACAGCAGCAGACACGTGATCCAGACTGTCTCATTCTGAAACCTATGGGTGTTGCCACCACACACTGATGAGAAATCAGCTCCACTGGAGTGGGCAGACTGGGGAAAGATGTGGCTCCAGCTAAACCCCTCTGGCCTTGTCTGTGAATCTGGATGCCTAGCAAGAAGGATTTTTTCCTAGCACACTTGGTGGCACTTTTCTCACCAGTTAAGGAGTCCTTTATGTCAGCATGGTGCCAACTTATATTGTGTTTCTCAAATGCTTGTAAATAGGCTGTCTGGAACTTCTTCCCTATTAATGCTCCATGGATTTTTTTGATCCAGGTGCCAGTACCTGAAGTCTGATGTATTTCAGCATCCCAGAATCCTTTTTTCCTTCCAGGTTGGCATCTGAAGCTCTCTTCTTCAGAGAAGGTGTCCTCAGGCATGACTTATCTGAGCACTGAAAAGAAGATGTGAAATGTAATGAAGGTGCTGTGATTTCTCAAACACCAACATTGCTTAATTTCCCCCCAATCCTTCAAACAATCACCTTCTAATGGAAGGTCTGGTTTAATGCTTTTTAGTGGGCCTATGTCTTATTAAATTTAGGAAAGAAGTTAATTTTGCAATGAAAAGGGAGCTTAGTACATTTTAGGAAACTGGAATCCAGACAGGTGGAGTAACTTGACCAAGTTATAAAGCTAATTATTAGCAGAATAAGGAAAGGAAAAATATCTTCTGATTTCCATTTCAGGGTTAATTATATTCCATCAGCTGGTTAAAAATACAAATCTTTTAAACTATTGAGTCAGATAAAATCCACTCTGTTCAACAGTTCTTTTATAGGTTGCAAGGTACAATTTGAAACATTTCAACTCATAAAAAAAGAAGGAAAATATTTCATAGAGAAGTGTTAGGACATTAAAGGTCAAAGAGAGGGGTTTTCAAGTGTTATGGGTTGGATATGAGGTGTTCCCCCAAAGCTTCTGTGTTGTAAGAATATTTAGAGGTGAAATGATTGAATTACAGAAGCGGTAACCTACTCAGTCTATCCTAGTTTAAATGGAGTAACTGGGTGGGAACTGTAGGAAGGTGGGGCTTGGTCGTAGGAGGTAGATCACTGAGGGTGTGCCCTAGAAGAGTTCTTGAGGCCCCTTCCCCTTTTTTCTTTCTACCTCCTGGCCTTCATGAGTGGAGTAGCACCTCACCACAGTGCCATGATGTTCTGCCTCACCTTAGTCCCAGAGCAAAGGAGTGAGCCAACCATGGACTAAACAAACAAAAATAAACTTTTCCCTCTCTAAGTATTTTGCTCACATCAATGAAAAGCTAAGACATCAAGGAAGTACGAGCTTGTAGCAGCCATCATCTAGGTCTCAGTTGTATAGGTAAAATGGTTTCTTTTTTAAGTACTCATCTGCAGGAGGCAGCAGCTCTTCTTTCAAAATGTCCCCTCAACCTGGGTTCAGAAAAGCTCGACTCATCTGCATAAGGACAGATGAGACAATTGCTTCCTCTGACTCCATAACTGCCAACCAATGGAGTGAACTGAGCAGCTGGGGACAGGCCCTTGTTTATTTATCCTGAGTTCTGATTCCTCCTAGTTTTGCACTCCAGGCAGTGAAAAGAGGGAGTCCTTTTTCTTGTACAGACTAAAGCTCATTTGTTTTTCCAGTGCCATGTCAATGAAACACTTTCTCCCTCAATGCCAAGGGAAAAAAAAAAAAAAAAAAACAGAACTTCAGAAGGATTTTTAAACAGAGCTTCATAGTGTTATAGATGGAGATATTTTGAAAGAAGGCAAATCTAAAAGTACGTGCATGTTCCAAGAAAGACTTTTGAAACTCTGACATAAAGACCCAAGACAATGAATCTGCTATTTGGCTTAGTATGGAACCAACTTTTTAAATGGACCTACTTGGAAACAAGGGATCAGAGCTCTTGTGTTTTCTAAAGACAAAAAAACCATGGAAGTGCATACTTGGGAACACATATAACTTGGGGAGAGAAGCATTGCATTGCTGGTCCCCTTCCTCACCCCCACCCCCGTGAATGTAAAAGCCATATTCAGCATAAATAGCATGCTTATTTCACGTAACTTGAAAACTGTTCCAAAATCACACATAGCAATAGTTTTCCATATAAATAAATGTGTTTTGATATCTTTTAAAAAGAGGTAAGATATTTAAAAATCAGTATTTCCCTGTTTTAATTCTTTCTACTTTTAAAACAATACACCTACATTATAGAATATCTGGAAAAGGCAGAAAAACTATGAAGAAGCAAAAAAATCCCCCAAATTGTGAACTCAATGATAGTCATTATTTTATTCTTTGTTTTCCCCTCAATGCACCTTAGCAAAACTATGATGATGCTTTGAATGTAGCACAACAATTTTAAACAATTCACTTCACTATGATTTTATAAATATTTTCCAGGTAGTTATAATTATTTTAAAATATGATTTCTGTATTTTACAAATATTTTGACCTGTTGTCCTTTAGTTGGACATTTTGCCTTTTTCAGGGATACTTATGAAGAGTTCTCCTTGATTTTAACCAAATACTCAGCTTAGGGGAAAAAAGAAAAAGGATGAGCATTAGTCCCTATATGTTGGGAAATGCAGGGTTGTGTTTAATTCTGCCTACCAAGACAGAAGATATAAGTCCAGCACCTCATAGATCACATATTTAATGTCCTTTATTGGCTCTATTTCTCCTTCTGTTTCTGGTTTCATAAGAGTCAGCTAGATCCTTTCAAAAAAAACTCCTTAATTATTTGAATAAGTTCAAATAGGTTTCTGCTTCTTGCAACAGAGTATTGGCTACAGAGGAATAATGCTTAGTTATTTTAAATAAAATATTCATTCACTTAATAATTCAAGATTATTTTTTATGTTAATCATATGTCAGGAATGGGGTCAACTTCTGGAGATAGGTTGGGGAGCAAATCATCATGAGGTTTGCACTCTTGGAGACTGTCTTTCTAAGGAGAGACCGAAAGCAAACAAGCAAGCAAATAAAAGGGCCATGATAAGTAAAAAAAGGAGATACATGCCATGAAGCATGGTTCACCCAGGAAATAACAAGGAATTTAAAATTCAGGAATGCTGAAATCAGCCTACTGGGCTCTCCTAGAAAGGCATTTCCCCAGATTTCTGGGAAAAGCACCATGCTAAATGAAGGGCAAACTCTGTGCTTCACATATGTTGGACATATGAGTTACGGATGTTATGTTGGGCAGTCATAAGGCCAAGAAATCAAGACACACAGCCTGGTCTCAGACTCACAACAGTGTTGTCTACAGCTTTTGAAAAACATTGTTTCTGCAAGACAGCAGTGGACCTCTTTCCATTTGCATTGGTTTTATAAAATTTACCCACATTCAGTCATTTCTATTTTTGGACATGTATTACCATCCTCCTACCTTTCTTTTTGGTTGAAAGGAAAAATTGTTTTATCTACTCCTTTTTATCATCAGCAAGCACTAATTGAACCTTTATTTAGAACATAGGATTGGACAAGGTACAGATGGGAAACCATAGAATTCCTTGGTGAAGAAAATATATACATATAGCATGATAGTTTATATACATAAAAAATAACCTTCAAGTTTGGAAGTGCACTAAAATAAACTCACAGAACATACTGTGAGTCCCCAAGTGCTGGAATGTAGATTAGCAGATTGATCAGAGTGAGATGGGTTGCAAAATGTACCGGCTGTCACAAATACATTCTGCCATAAAAACCAATTAAAGAGCAAACAGGAATGAAGTACCAATTGCTCACAGTCAATTCTAATCAGACCGTTGCTTTTACTCTTGATTTATTGCCTTTTTCTGTTTTCATTTTGGATCTGGAAATGTGGCATTGTTCATTTGTGTGACAGATTCAGAAGAGGCAAATGGAAAACATCATGAGAGGAAAAAGATGCTTGAGCAGGAAGCGAACATTTTGGAAATAAAATGTTTGCCACAGAAGACTCAGAATGTTCTTTCAGCTCTCTACCTGAATGACTAACTTCAATGTGATGAGGATACATTTCTTTGGCTTAGATTTCCTAGCTGTAAGTCACAGAAGGTCCATAAGACTTTTCTGCTGCTTCATACCAGTGTCATGGGTGAGCAGAAGTGAAGGGCTCTCATGAGTTTTGCTAGACTATAATTTCACTCACTCATTCAATATTTATTGTTTCTCTGCTGTTAGTGAGTTCTTTGTTAGTGACACATAGGATATAAAAACTGTAAAACTTCCTCCGTTCTCAAAGAGTTTATAACTAAGTGACAGAGAGTGCTTGTTATTATTCATAGGGTGGAATACGAGCCTTCTCCTGGCCTACATGCTCTAGTTCCTATCTGCCTTACCATGTACTGCAGTCCTTTGTGTTTGCCTCTTCTCACTAGTTGGAAAATTCTGTGTTCAATTAACATTTATGCACCCTTCAGTTAAAGGTCACTTGTCACTTTATTGGAGAGGTTAGCCTCAATAAGCTGTTAGTGCAGTATGCCTGTCTATCACATTGATGGCTGTTGCAATTTTATATCAATCTGGGAGGCTTATTTGATTAATGTCTGTCTCTCAGACATTTGTCCCTTTTGCTCATTATTATACCAGCACAAAGTATGGGGCTTAGCATGGCCCACAGGTTCTTAAAAACTTAGTTGTGTAGATAAATGGAGAGATGGATGAATACATAGAGGAATGAATGAATGAACAAATGAAGAATAAGAATATAGCAAGTAAAATACCTTTATGATTTAGATGAAAAAAGAAGGAAGGAAAATAACATTTATTGTCCACCTGTAATATGCCCTGTGCTTAACACTAGAGGAATCAGAAAAGGTTTCAGGGATGTGATGACATTTAAGTTGGGTCATTAAGAACGTTTGGGTTTGACAATATATAGATTAGAGATGAAATTATAGTTTGAGCAAAGAAGTGGCAGCAAAAATTTCAGAGGGTGTATAGAGAACAATTAACATTAATTTAGGCTCATGTATTTTTGCAATTTCCAACATATATTGTTTCCTCTTAAAGCTAAGGGAGTTTGTATACGAAGAGAGAACTTACATAAATTAAAATAGATTTTCTTTAAATGTGATGTCGTTTGTGTTTGAAATATAGAATGTATATTAAAATACATGTATACATGTATACATGCATACACACAAACATATACATAATTTTTACTTTTATGCCATTATTTAGAAGTTCATACAGTTCATTGTAACTCACAGTTGGTCTTTTCTCCAATTTCATTCTCCCTAAAATTTGTGTAGTATGAATAACATGAGATATGGTCTAGTTAAAAAGCCCTGACTTTGACTGCAAATTAGTACACCATGCTTCATACCATGCTTCAGTCTAAATTGACCAAATTACCATATCTAGAACTCTAGCAATAACAGCTAACCATGGACCTAAAAAAGCAAGGGAATTAGAAAGAAAACAATTGATCTTTCTACCTGGTCCTACTTTGTTCATGTTGATATATGCTTAGTTGTGTAGATAAATGGAGAGATGGAAAGCAGTATGGAGATTCCTCAAAAAACCAGGAATGGAACCACCATATGACCTAGCTGTCTCATTCCCTGGTACTTATTTAAAAGAATTAAAATTAGAATACTACGGTGAAACACATCAACCTTTATAGCAATGCAACTCACAATAGTCAAGATATGGAACCAATCAGGTGCCCGTCATTAGATGAATGGATTAAGAAAATGTGGTATAAACAGAATGGAGCTTTACTCAGCCATTAAGAAGAATGAAATTATGGCATTTGCTGGTAAACAAATGGAAGTGGAGACTATCATGCTAAGTAAAATAAGCCAGACTCAGAAAGTCAAGGGTCCAATGTTTTCTCTCATATGCGGAAACTAAAGCAAAGGAGAAAAGCAAGAGTTGGGGTTGGAAATCTTAAAAATAGAGGGAAGATCAGTAGAGCAGAAGGAGAGGGGGAGAGAAGGGGATGGAAAGGGGGAGGAAATGCAGAATAAATTCAACAAAATTACACTATGTGCATGTATAAATATTCCACAGGGAAATTCACTTTAATATATAGCTATAAAGCACCAATTAAAAAATATATAAATGAATGGAAGGAAGAGTAGAAAAAGAGGAATGGGGAGAAATGAGGGAAGGGAAAGGGGGCATTGGGGACTGAAATGGAGTAAATTAAATTCCGTGCATGTATAATTGTCAAAATGAACCCAACTATTATATGCAACTATAATGCACCAATAAAAGCAAAAAATTAAAAAAAGTTCTGACTTTAGTATTCCATATTTCTAAGTTAAAGTTTAGCTGAATATTTTTTTTAGATATGAATTGTGGACAATCTCATCTTTCTGAGACTCAATTTTTTCACCTATAAAATGAAGAGAAAAATACCTCTTGCATAAAAGCACTTTGTCAATGATGTGTGTGTATGTAAATATATATATATATATATATATATATATATAT